CTCTAATATAGGTTTTTATTTTATTATTAATATTTTAAAATATTATTACTCAAAATCGATTAATATTCAATTGAATATTTCAAATCTTTCAAATTCCTGAAATTATCTTTTAATAAATATAAGATTCTATTATACAAATTTTAAAATCATTATAATGATATTTGAATTTAATATCGATTTTTAGTTTAATAAATCAAATTGTGCAAGATACAGGGTTGTGCAAGATACAGGGATATCGGTTACATACTCCCCTAGATCATAAAGCTTCTATCAACTACATGTCATTGATCTACCTCGACGTCGACAATAGTGAGCTTCAGATCGATGACCAGCCAGATTGAATTTGATGTTAGCCTTTTAGTACTGTCTTCTAAGATTATCGTGCATTATTGCATTTCCATCGCACCAAAGCCCAACCAACAAATGCCGGATCATAGACACACCACTTTTTACCTGCTTTATAATTCTAAGAGACTCAGATCAAAGATTACAGGAGAAGGGAATCTACGTGAAGGGTAGTGTGGTTGCACCTCTTTGGATGGCCGAACACCAACTCTAGACATGCTCACATGGATAGATGAACAATCTGCAGAGAATCAATCCAATCAATGACTATCTCTTGTTCTGTTATTGGGAAAAGAATTTATTGAACAAATAACATTTCATGAGTCCTCTCTTCCGCTTTCTAATTTAAATCTATAGCATCCTTCGTATTCTCGCAACTCCGGTATCCCTGTGTCTTGCTTTCCGCATTCATATATGTCCCAAATGTGTCTTCTTATCTGTCACTCGTATCATTCCAATTTAGGATCTGCAGCCGCAATGATTAGGATTGTGGTCGTGTTTTTGTTTGAGGCTAGAGATGGATGAAAATTACGTGATCGAGCTGGATTCGAGTCGAGTTTACATGAATGATTGACGGGCATTAGTCGAAGGCACATGGCTCTTTGAGAATTTGTTCCTACGAAATCTGCAAATATATTGATTAGCATCAGTTCAGTTATTTTTGTTTGGATGGATCTTAGAAAACTTATTGAAGACTGAGGGAGATTTTATTCCAAGATCGAGTGTCTTACCCTTTTCCAAGCTTGAGACACTTTTCGTTTCTTGCGATTTTCATACTATCGTAAGCCCAGATACCATGAGGCACGGGCAGGATGAGGTGTATAGGTTTGTAATTATGATTACCTCAAATGAATGCTTTTCAAATAGTCACGCGGGCGTGGGTATCAACATATTCACTGAACCATGTGAATTGATTCTTCGACCATAGATGGAACTGGCCCGAACCCCAGAAATAGATCTTTGGTTCTTGTACTCTTTCAAAAAGCTTTGGATACCTCTACAAGTGTGCGACAACGAAAAGACTACCCAAATCAGCAGCTAGTCCATTATTCCCTGAGTTCATCATCAAAATCATGGCCCCTTACACACATAAAATAAAGAATAGAGACGGGATATCGCACCGCAATACTCCTACTGCCGAAGCGCAGCGTTCGGAAGATCGCAAAAAGAGTAGGCTCATCTAATTTTGATACGCTTCTTTGTTCTGTTACCTACAGAAATGGATGGCTAACAAATCATTGTTTCGTAGAGAAGAATAAATCAAAAGGTAAGAACTTCTGCAATTCTAGTAGCCACCTCGCGCAGTTCCTAATCTCTTGGAGATGCCTCTTTCGTCACATCAAAGTTATTGCTAACGCATACCACATCCATCATCGGTCATCTGCTAATGCGATCTCACAAATAGGAAAAATTTCTAATAATATTGCGGCTCGATCCGCTATCGCTGCGAGAATACGCCAGGCATACCGCAATCAGCGCCGGCTCGCAAAACCCGCAGCCTTGGATTCGAAGGATGCGGAGACTGGCGGTGACGTTGGTATGAAGGGGGATGAGGAGGGAGGAGATGAAGGTCCCAGCGACAACGTCGATAAGGCGATGGATATACTGCAGGATCAGAAGGAGGATAAGAAAGGAAGCGAGGATAAACGAAGAGGGAATCGCGGAGCTGGAAGTACTTGGGAAATTTCTATTCGGTAGATCTTGTTTTTGGAGTTGTCGCGCTTCTCTATCACCGATTAATTCCAAATTATTTACATGTCTAACGTACTTTAAATATCTGATATGTATAATTCAGGTAGAGAGATCTAGACCGGATATCATAAAAATAGACACTTATTATTTAGAATGTCTGTGGGCTCTGTGAAGGGAACCTCACATCACATTTCTTCAGCGAGTTGAAATCAAATACATTAAAGTTAAATTGAGCCACCATGATTGAATTCTTTAATTTTTTGGACAGGCATAAACATAATAAACATAATGATGAGTATTCAGCGATCCCACAAGGCTGAGCCATGCAAACGAGCATAAAAAAAAAGTAAAAAGATAAAGATATCGTTACGGCCCACAAAGAAGTATCTCAGAAACACTTGACCAGAATCAAGGCACACAAGTACGGACTTCATTTCGTAAATGTGGCATCTGTCAGCGGTCACCTCGGTAGAATTAAATCCACTACGCGGTGGGCTGACGCCCACCAATCCAAAGATGGCTCCTTCAGGAAACAGACGTGAGTCTGTTTTCTGTATCCCCCCAGAACAGGTATAATCACATATGCTACCCACTACACTAGGCCCGCGGCCGCGATTATGTCATTTTTTGAGGGTTACATAAAGGATTGGCTATATGTATTTATGAATTAAGCGAGGTTGGGAAATCTTTGTTGGTGGTTGATAGGTGCCGAGGGAAATTTATAATTCACCTTCAGCTTTTGGATGTGCTTGGGTGATGGGATGATTTCGGAAAGTGACTGTGGTATCATACTATAGAAGAAGCAACTGGGTAGCTGCATGTAGCTCATAGGTATCGCTGGCAAGAGTAAAGTCAACATAGATAGGGCTCATGGAGATATATTCCAAAAGCACAAGAATCTATTTGAGAAAGTGGTAGCATATGAAAATATAGAACATGCTTCGGCATGCTAGAAGTGGGCGAAATGCTCCATGCTGTTGGCGGCCGAACAAAAATGACGCTGAGAGCAGTCGTAATCGATTGGCGATGAGGTGACATTATCTTTTGTATTTTAAGTTTAGACAGGACCCCATCTGCTTCTTCGGAACTACAGATATCGCGCGTAAGATTCCGCGAGGCCAAAATTTATCAAAAAGGAACGAGTAGATAGTGACTTTATATTTAAGCATCTTCTGATATTGAGAGACTATAATCGCAGGAGACCAGCCGCCAAAAGGAAAATTGGAAATGGTAACAAAATCAAATGATACCTGCAAACCGGGTCCCAGCCTTATTCTAAAGACTACTTCGGCTGATTACGAACTCCAACTTGAATACTCGACGACGCTTATTCCCCCTTGAAGGAGATGGAAGAAAGATGAGTCTGCTCAGACCCCTACTTACATACAAACTCCCGGAAGCCTCTCTTCTTTCCCTTAACTACACTGTTGAGCCTGTATATCTACCTTCTCTCGCTCTAGTCCAAAGACTTCCTAATCGTCTAAATGATATATTCCCATACCCAACAGCTGCAGAGATTACGCAGTATCCATATCCGCGATGATAATGCATATTGATGAAGACGCGCGCGACCTCTGTTGCGTGCGCTATTCGCAAATTGAGAGCAGCTTAGTGGCAGATAGTCGGGGTTTTTCGAAGTTGGAAGAACGATTGGTTTACTGGAGAGCCTAGTGTGCGCCAATAGTTAGCATTGTTTTAGTTATATTCGTTATGGCATTTGTGGACTTTGGACGGAGGATGAGTGGGATACTGAGCGGTAGGAAGGTTCTACTTTATGTGGCATCATATTTTCTGTTCAGATGAACCTGGGATGACGAGTACCAGACCGGCAGTGTTGATGAAGCTAAAGTGGATGGTTGTGAAAATATAGAATTAGAGAACGGTTTTATTCTGAACCTTCCTCTTGGTGGTTGATGCTTGGTGGTTTTTACTACAAGAACCAATGTTGATAGAATGCCACCCTGTCGCTGGTGCATGTCAATCTTGAAGTAAAGCTCAAGCGGTATCCAAAGATGTATATGAACAATAACAATAAGGGCTTTTGAAACGATTGAACATTGTATCAATTATTCACAGGACTAGACCGCGTCTCTTTTGCCACAGATTAGATTTTACCATACTTAATTGAAGCTATCGTCTAATGTAGACGAGCGAAATATGGATATCGGATGTAAACAAATCAATAATAACAAATTCACGCGACTTGCAAGCAACCACTTCCCCTCCATGCACTCCCAATCTATCGGATTTACAGCGTGAAACCAAATTTCGATATCCACTTGCCCGCTCGTAATTCGCTAGCAATACGATCAATCATGCCTCCAAAGAAAGAACCAAGATTTAAGCCCAAGGCAAAGAGGGCAAATAATGAGTTGGGAGCCGAGAGAGCTAGGGCGGAGAGAGAAAGATTGGCTGCGATTGCAGCACATGCTGCTGCTGTGCGAGCAGAAAGGGGTAAGTTACTCACTCACCTGCGCGTTATAGAACCTCCTTCATAGCATCATGCGCTTTGATGAAACCATGCAGTTCGTGTATCATTCTTCGATGTGCAATGCTTGAGATATGTTCATAGCTGGACATGTTCATATCTCTAAATGTCTCAACTTGATCCATGATTATCATGATGTGCCTGGGAGTTTTCACAGTTGTCCTCATTATACTAACAAATGCTACTATGGCAGAGCAAGTGGAGTCGAGAATGAGAGGGAGGAGAAGAGGAAGAGGAAAGACGTGGTGCTCCGGCACATAACCCTTCTGGCACTGGTGGTTTCTGGGTGAGGGTAACGATCGTGGAGATGAGGAGGGAGAAAGAGATCTTGCGGGCGGTTCTGCGGGCGTTGGTTCCAGCATATTCTCCGGTCTAACATATAGACCAAAGAACGATAAGAGGAGTTATTCATCCCCCGCAATAAAACAGAATCAAGCTAATCATATTGGTGTATGCAGCACCCACGCCGGCGCAGATGGAGGAGCAGCGCCAGAAGCAAAAAGAGCGCCGCAAGGCACACAGAAGAAAAGTTCGGCACCTTAAGCGCGAGGCGGCAAAGAAATCCGATGCCGAGATTGTTAAGGGGATGGCCCGTTTGCGGATCGCGGAGCGGATTGCGGCGGGAGAGGATGTCGCTTTTGATGAGGACGAGGATGAGGAAGAGGAAGATAGGCTCTGGACTACGGTCCTCGGTAATTGGAGTCTGCCGGATGAGGACGATGATGATGATGATGATGATGATGATGTGCGTGGGGGAGCTGGTGGGCTCAGGGGTTCATTTGGGGGAGGTAGCGGTGATACCGGCGGCCAAAGTGCAAGCCAACCCCTTCTTTCCGGAAATTAGATAGCAATTATCTGGAAAACCCCAAACAAAGAGCTAACGATTCGCGTCCATATCCCTCAAACTAACACCCAAATCCCTCCTTCTCCTTCTCTTCTCCGCCCCTTCCCCTACTCTGTCTACTCCGAGGAATTCTAGAACCCATAACCCCATTCGATAATCCGGAAACTAGCTTCACATCAACTCACTGCATCAGTAATCATCATTTTAATTTCAATTGCCGCATAATATTGAAATTCATCGATCTTCATTCATTCTAGCGTGATATTTATCTAAAATAATCCAGCCTAATCTATCAAGTGTACGCTAAGAATCCAAGCAAAAGAGCTGATGATTCAATCAAAATGAAAAATCTATTGAGGAATGCCGGTACCACGGATAGCATCGACTTGTTCGCTGAGAAGAGCGTTGTTGGATGGAGCAGCGAGAGGTGGTCCTTCAGGGGTGACGTAAGCTTTTGTCATACCGCCGTCGACAACGAAATCCTGTGGTTAATGTTAGTCAAGAGGGTTTGCGGGGCTTAGAAAACGGTAGGAGAATAGGGGTGGACGGAATTAAGGAAGGAAGACCGAAGAATGGAGGAAAACATACCTGTCCATTTACAAAGCTACTCTCATCACTAGCCAAGAACAAAACTGCTTGAGCTTGCTCAATAGCCTCTCCAAATCTTCCACTTGGGAAGTGGATCTCACGTCTAAGTCTCTTAGGTTGATCATCTCCCAACCAATCTTGAAGAAGAGGAGTGTTCAATGGAGCTGGGCATAGCGCATTGAATCTGATTCCCTCCCTTGCGTGAACAATAGCCAGTTCTCTAGTCATAGCCAGAACTGCTCCCTTGGAAGCTGTGTATGCTAATTGAGGAGTAGCAGAACCGACGAGCGCAACAACAGATGCAGTGTTGATGATAGAACCACGGCTCTTCTTGTTCTTGCGCATAGAAATGACGGCGTGTTTGCAACCAAACCAAACACCCTTAACGTTAATAGCTTGAGTCAAATCCCAAATCTTCTCAGGGGTATCGATAGCATCGGCATCATCAGCATGCATGATTCCAGCATTGTTGAACATGATATCGATACCACCCCACGATTCGAGATGAGCAATTGCGGACTCGATATCAGATTCTTTGGAGACGTCGCATACTTTAACTTCGACCTTGTGGGCGGATGGAACTAGTTGTCTGAGTTTTGCGGCGGCCTTTTCGAGTGCTGGTGCGGAAATATCGGCCATGAGGACATTGGCGCCTTCTTTGGCGAAGAGGATACAGGTTTCAAGACCGATTCCCCTGGAGAGGGTGTTAGTATATGTTGATGATTGATTTGATTTCTGATGTGGATATTTTTGTGATATGGAATTTCTCATGTAACACTCTCACGATTCGCTCGAATAAAGTCGTCGCTCGACCCTTTGCAAAAATGAAGGAGGTCACGTGTGTGGCCATACCAAACTCTCATCACTCAGAAGGAATTGATAAGGGCATCACTATGAATAAAGAAGAGAAAGCAGATACGATACTCATCGTCCTGAATTTTCAAGTCGCGTAAATCCCGAACCACCCCGAAAAATCTATATCAGAACAAAAGGGACATGACTCACCCAGCAGCACCAGTAACGATGGCATTTTTACCATGCAGTCTTCCCATTTGGAAGCTGTTGATGGTAGGAACTTCTCCGCTGCCAGCCATGTTGAATGTATTAATGATTTGAATACGGTGTTCTATTGAAGATCCTGTCAGCGATTGATGAATTCCCCACCTGTCTCTCTTGCAACGAAAATGGAAACTTACTCTTTGTTCCTGATATAGATATCTCTGGTGGTGTCGCAAAGAGGAATGTCAAAAAGTTTCAATAGAGTTGTTGAAAACTATTCGCCCTTATGAAGAATTGTAGAAGTGTAGAAGTAAGTCGAAATGATCAGAAGATTTGTTATGAAATATTATTTGTGATTGTGATGACAATTGAATTTAAGAGAGAGAATGTGGATGCTGATGTGTCACTGGTATAAAGTACGGAGCACATACACACACACACGCTCATACACTTGGTCCGTTCTCGGTGGGCAGTGGAGGGCAAAGTGGTAGAATTCGTTATCGTTCCGAAGAACATCCATGGATTGGTTCCCGAAACACGATTCAGGTGTTTAATGAATGGCAAATGAAACTCACCGCTGCTTTTCTGATAAAGGGAGATTGAAGTGATTGAACTGATAGGGAAAAGAGGATGAATCGTAAATCTGTTATGATGCTCTCCAAACTCCCAAGAAACCCGGGGTTCAATGACCGAATCAGGAAATAGAAAACCTCAGATGATGATTTGCGATATGGGTCATTGGTTGTAGGGTAATGGGTAATGGGTATTGGGTATTGGTTCAATTGATACAACACAGCTTTTGTACGATGTTTCATGTCCACTACCTCATCTCATTGTATATATATATATACATACTGGTTGCTTTCATGTCCCCACGTAGGTATTGTTCGCTTTGGTATAGCAGCCTTTACTAGTTGAGAGTCTGAGTCTAAATCTGAAGTCTGAGGTTGGATGAGGTGTAACCATCCTGTCGCGGGGTACAGAGGAGTGAGACTCCCAATCTCTTGATAGGTGATAGACGATAGACGATAGACGATAGATGATGATCAGATAGATGATCATAATTGTCATGGGCGATCTCAAAAGGTGGGCGCTGTGGAATGATGAGGAGACTATCAATGCTGTCGTGATTGATATTGCTGTCGTTACTGTTGACTAATGAAGTCATAATGATACGCCCTTTACACGAATCCTCGTGTAATCACGTCGGAACAGATCAATACATGTAGTTATCTCCAGGGCTATTCTCGTTACATATCATGATTTCGTGGAATAATTTGCTGGGCATTGATGCACTGCACAGTTGTTCGGTAGATGGCTGCATATCAATCATTTACGGTAAGATATGTTGCCACTTTAATTGAGAAAGATCATCCGAACATCCACCGATGGTCTTGAAATCCGCCAAGCGATGGTCGTGTGAAGCATGATGACATTAAAGCAGCATTCACAATAGCCCCTCGCTTTATCGCAGAATCTCTTATCGCAAATTGTAGGGAAACTTCCTTGCTTTACTCTTATCACTCTTTTCCCCCTCTTGAGGTGTACAACAATCTAAACCTCCCTCCACATCCAACAAGCCAGATCCCAGATATCCCTTCAACTCAATCTGCCAATCGTTCTCAAAGATACTGAACTTAACAACCAACACTCACTCCTTACGATTCCCTCTTAACTCAACGACAAGATGCCAGATACTCCAGAATGGATAGCTTCACACAAGCAATGGGATGAAAAGACGGCCGAGAATCTCACCGCACTTCTCGAAAATGATACAAAAGTGAAATTGGCCGGTATTGATGTCGATGGTATATTGCGCGGGAAGCTTGTCTCCAAGAAGAAGTTCCTTGGTATTGCGAAAGAAGGGTTCGGATTCTGTTCAGTCATCTTCGGTTGGGATATGCACGATCAAACATATTTCAAGGAATTGAAAATCAGTAATGCCGAGAACGGTTATCACGATATTATTGCGATTCCAGATTTGAGTAGTTTTAGAAGGATACCTTGGGAAGATAATGTGCCATTCTTTCTAATCAGCTTTTATGATCCGGATTCCGGAAAGCCGGTTTCTGCATGCCCGAGGGGATTGTTGAAGACTGCAGTGAAAAAGCTACAAGCCAATGGTCTGGGTGCAATGGCTGGAGGTATGAGCATCTATGAGCTCTCATAGACGTCATAACTAACAAGATTAGCTGAATACGAATTCTTCCAATTCAGAGCGCCGGCGAGCAATCCTCATGCACCAATTTCCGAACGAAACACATCTTCAACAGCAACCTTCCTAAGAGAAAACCCCGTTGATTCATTACCTTCGTTGACCGAAGGAATGTTTGGGTACAGTTTAACTAGACCAGTTCACAACCAAGATTATTATTACGGGATATATGATGCATGCGAACAATTCAATTGTGGAATAGAAGGATGGCATACAGAGAGTGGTCCTGGTGTTTTTGAGGCAGCTTTGGCATTTGGAGAGATTCAACAAATGGCAGACAAAGCAAGCTTGTTCAAGTAAGTTTGGAGATCTCGATACCATTTTAAGGACGAGAGGCTAATATGGTTAGATATGTTGTTAAATCAGTAGCAACAAAATACGGCATTACCCCGTGCTTTATGGCCAAGCCACGTCAAGGGCTCCCAGGAAATAGTGGGCACATGCACATTTCGATCGTCGACAAGGATGGCAAGAATCTCTTCTTCCGAGAAACTAAAGATACGGAAGCAAAATGGAAGGATATTGAGAATCTTTCGGATATGGGGCGTCATTTCCTCGCTGGAGTTTTGGAAGGACTTCCATATGTCATGCCACTTCTCGCACCAACAGTCAACTCTTACAAACGTCTAGTCGAAAATTTCTGGGCTCCAGTAACAGTATCTTGGGGTCTTGAGCATCGTGCAGCTTCTGTTCGTTTAATCGCACCTCCAACTTCCAAACCCGGGGCCACACGTTTCGAAATTAGAGTGCCAGGTGCAGATACAAATCCATTCTACGTACTAGCAGCTATTCTAGCATTAGGATGGAGAGGAGTGGAAAAGAAATTAGAAATCCAACAACCACCATTAGGGAAAGGTCAAGATGTAGGAGGAAAAGCAGATCCAGGAGTTAGACTAGCGAAGAACCTGAAAGAAGCCACTGAGAAATTCATGGAGAAGGATAGTATAGCGAGAGAAGTATTTGGAGATGAATTCGTAGATCATTATGGTGGTACGAGGGAACATGAAATCAGATTGTGGGATGAGGCAGTAACGGATTGGGAGGTTAGAAGATATATTGAGAGTGTCTGATTGTTGGATAGATGGGCACTATGTCAAGAAAAATGAAAACTTTATTTTGAACACCTGAAATTTGCACTGTTCGCTGGATTTATGGACTCGTGCTCGTGTGGTGTAGGTATGTATGTTAGTCTGTTGGTATGAGCTGATGTAGAATAGCTAGTATCTGCCTATGACGAAGATTCAGATTATTCCTCTGCTGCCACAATCCTCCATTTTTGGTGAACAATACCAGTAATTACCACACTCCCGATGTACTTCATTCCCTTGATTTCTTTCCTATACCAAACTATACGCATCCAACAAGCAAGCTGAGTAAGCACATGCATAATAGCTAACCCTCGAAGGTGGGATGAACAGGTGTAAATTGGGTGAAATATTGCAATGGGTATCGTATGATTACCGACCACACCAATTAATACCTCCCATTCCCAGAGACATTCAAGATACCGTAAATTAGTTCTGAAATGCAGAATATCGAGATGACTTTGAATATATTTGACGGGGAGACTATTAATGTCCTATTCTATGGTCTTGGAGCGTAAGTCGTTATCTAATATTATACAAGCAGTTTGGGTCTGAGCTAATGCGGGGTTGCAGGATTGGCTCTGTTTACGCATTCATCCTAAGTCGAGTATCAAACGTACGATTAACTGTCGTAGCAAGATCAAATTATCAGGCTGTAAAGGAGAATGTGTGTTTAGTGTCATATCACGAGTAATTCATCAATAAAGCTAACACGCTTGATAGGGACTGAAGCTTATTAGTCAGAATCATGGAGAGAACACCTTTTACCCAGCTAACGGTAAGCCCTCGTTCTTCAACTTCATGTTCGTTACTTATACCCTATAGTCATCACAGCACCCGACGAAGCACCAGGTTATTATGATTACATAGTTTGCTCTAACAAAGCTATTGGTCAAGAAGCTGTAGCTAAATCTCTTGCACCAGTAATGCCAGAATCAACGACTATAGTACTTATCCAAAATGGCGTTGGAAATGAGGATCCGTTCCGAGCAATTTATCCTCAAAGTACCATTATTTCCTGCGTTGCGTGGACCGGCGCCATTCAAAACACGCCCGGTATCGTTCATCATACCAAAAGCGAGAATCTGTAACTCGGACTCTTCACAAACTCGAATGTATCAACAGAGATTGAGAACCAACGATTAAAAATCTTTTCGGATCTATTATGCGCCGGCAAGACACCACATGAAGTTTTTTCGCCTTCCAGATTGCAGACCGCACGCTGGGAGAAAGTCATTTGGAATTGTGCATGGAATTGTCTAACTACACTTACACGTCTCCATACACATGAGTGGCTCAGTTCTTCCCTAGAAGCTATGAACATGACGCGAACGCTTATGGGAGAGGTAGTTGCTGTTGCAAGGAAGATGGAGGTAGATATCAAAGATGATTTGATTGATAGATTGATAAAGAGGATACTAGGGATGCCGAGTATTGGTACGAGTATGTTGACTGATACGTTGTGTGGGAGACAGTTAGAGTTAGATGTTATACTTGGAGTGCCGGAGGGAGTTGGGGGTGGATATGATGGTTTGTGAGACGGTTTATACATTGCTTCAGGGAGTGGATTTGGATTGAGACAAGGGGGACCGAAGAGTACTTGAGATTGAGGGCGAGATGAGAGTGGGAGGCGAACGGTTTGTAATCTGTTCTAAAGAATGAGATGGAAGATCCTGAGTTTTTTCATGACTTGTGGTCTAGATCGCTATGGAACTCGTGTTTTTGTCTACCAAAATGCTGACAATTATTTATTCGACATTGAGATACAACAACTCTGAAAGACATGACTCGGTATCGGCGGAACTGACAACAATACGAGAAATTACTTCACCAAATGTGCCTTTAAAGTAATACAATCCGATATATAATATACACAACACCTTATCAAACAGATCAACGTTTCCACCTGCCTATTTCGGATAGGTAGATATAAGATGCATCGCGTCTGCATGTCCAGGGATCACCGGAAGTAGTGGGGTATATCCGGCTAGGCCACCCTTTTTCAACATCACAACAACATGACATCTCGAATACTACCGATTCATGTATAGGCATCAATATTATATACTTTCTGAATAATCATAGTACGCCATTTGATTGTATTGATAAATTATTAGATACCTAGATTAGATAATCTAGGCAGAAACTTCTACTCCTTTCCTCAAATACCCTTGACGTTTCGCCGCCCTTGATATCTCACTCGCCTTCCACAAAACATTTGTCCTGAACAATTTTCCAAATCTTCCCCTTTACCATAACCGAAATATCCTTGGCATTCTTAAACGCTTCCATTCAGATAACATACCGTAAATATGTCTCTCCAAACCTTCCACCTCTTTTCCGCCCTTCCAAAAGAACTCCGCGATCTAGTTTGGCTTCATGCTATTCCTCCTCCTCGTATAATAGGGGTTGAGGAAACTTTTGAATCACTCTCCCATTTTGAAAAGAGAACTTTTGGAAAAGAAATTGATGATGGGCATGTTCATCCCGATTTGAAATATTTTGGGATCGATATGGTGGCGCCGATGATACAGGAATTCGTGTTGGATAATGGGCTGGATGTTGAGATTGGGGATTTAGAATTTGAAGGAGACGCAATGAGGCAGAGGGAGACGAGCAAGGGGAAAGAGAAAGTAGAAAGAGAGTTTGTACCTCTGTATTTGAAATCAATGGACCCTCATTACCGACAAGGAACCACTCCCTCCCGACTTTCTGATCCCCTCCTCTACTCCTACTACCAAGCGACCCGCCGTGGATCCCTTTATTCTCATTCTCCCATCCCCTCTCTCCTTAAAACCTGTCGCGACTCTCGCTCCTGCATGCAACGCCTCGGCTACACTCTCACCTTCTCCACGCGTACTTCTTCTCCCCGCGTTTGGTTCAACTACACTCAAGACATCCTCTTCCTGCGTGCCCTTGATTCCGATATCAACGAAGGAATCATGTCTGAGCTTGTCGACGGCACCGGGACAAACATCGGACAATTTCGTCCTGCGGAATTCACACAGGTGAGACGCCTCGCGCTCGATTTCTCAAAGTGGATAAGTTGGGACGAACACTGGCAGTATGAGATCTTGCGAGTCGTGAGACTTTTTCGAAACTTAGATGAGCTGTTCTTGGTATTAAACTGCGATTGGTGGTTCCAGGATATTCGCGGGGGGTTCATCACGGGACTTCCTAGACATCCTACTTTTTCGTCTGCTTCTTCTTCCCCGAGGAATCCTTATTTCTCCCCTGATTCTGCATCCTCGCGTCCATTCCCTATTCCCGAGCATTGGAAATCAGGAGGCGGGATAGATTGGAGTCATGGTGGAGGAACCACGTTGAAAAGTCCGGCAAATTCATCGTTTCCATGGGGATTTAGAAAAATAGAAAACGAAGGGGATTTTTGGAGAGATTATGTGACCCCTACGCCTGGGACGTTCGCGCTGACGAATGATGGAAATTATCGGTTTAAGATCAGGGAGTTTGAGAGGAGGGGGGAGGGGAATGCGAGGGGAGAGAAAAAAGATTTTTTTGAGGAGTGGAAGAGAGAGGTGGAGGAGAGTTTGAGGGTGAAGTGGGAGGAGGATAGAGAGAGAGGTGGTGGAGAGTGGAGAGTGCCGAAGATACAGTTGGTTTTCCTGCGACAGGAGGATGGTTTGGATAACATTTGATCTGGGGATATTTATCTGCTTGAACATTAGACGAGATATCTCCCAGCTTTTCGTCTGATAATACACTCTGATTGGAAATGTAAACAAAAGAGATTCCCTACGCGACTTTTTGCCCTCTGCACTCCACGTTTCCATCCATCCATCCACCACCACGATATCACCACGTTTATAAACAATTGTTTAGGTGGATACTTACTTTCTATTCACTATCACTCATCCATAATAGTAAAGATGGCACGCGAAAATCAAAAGTCGGGGAGGAAATTTAAGCCAAAGCCACGAAGGGCAACACCAGCAGAGAGGAGAGCGAGAAAAGAGGCAGAGGAGGCGAGGCTACAGTCTGGGGCCAATGCTGCCGCTGCAGCTCAGGCAGCTAGACTTGGTAAGCTTGAGGATTTTGTGTACAGAGACTCGATACTTGACGTGGGGAAAATGTTTTTGGATCCTTTCGTGAGGTTTTTGGATAGATTGGAGTGTTGCTTGTGTGAAGATCTGTGATTGGGAATGGTGATATTATGTATTTCTATGTTATGGTGAGGTTAATGAGTGTCTACTGAGCGACGTGAACATCGGTTTTGCAGAAACTCTCACATTTGATGTGTTAAGGATGAATTGGAATGTCTATTGTTGCAAATCCGGTGCTAATATTCCTTTCTTTGATAGAGGAGGAAAGAATTGAGAGGGAGGCGTTGGTGGAGAGGATGATGAGGGGGATGAGAGGAAGAAGTGATGTCGTTTTGGGAGTTGGCGGTGGAGCCATGCATCAGAGTCTGGTCTCACGGCCAAAACGTAAGCAAATTTCCTTCTACTATTTCTGAGAACCACTTATGGATCATTCAACACTTCAAACATTTCCTCGCATCCAAAAATCATCGATAGACACAGCTAACCATCTTCTCACTCATCAATAGCCCTAACCCCAGAGCAGCAATCTGCTCGAAGACTCCACCTTGCGCTTCGTCGTCGAGCAGCAGATGCCCGCCGCAAAGAAGCACGTCGCGCTGCGCGAAGAAAAGAGTGCGCCGGTCTCATCAAGAAAGTGCGCAATCTGCGGATCGCAGAGCACGCCGCTTCTGGTGGCAATATCGACGATGAGGAAGAAGATGAAGAAGAAGAAGAAGAAGATGGGATCTTCGAGTCTCTTTTTGCGGGTGGTGATTGGGGAGATGACGATGAGGAGAAATATGGAGGTGGTAGTGGGGGTAGAGGTGGCGGACTTGGTGGAATGTTTGGTGCCCAGGCCATGATGGTTTAGATAATTAACTTTTGGGTAGGGATAGAATGTAGAGATCAAAAAGAATCATTTAATAAGTATTTCATGCATTCATACCCGTACTATTCGGTGTATTCGCCTCCTTCTCTTCCTCGATGTTCTCAACTCCGTCATCGTCGCTAGCTTCATAATCATTCTCCATCGACTCCCTTGCGCACAAATAAATTAAGTCTTGATCGCTTCCAATCCCTTTATGTATAGTATGATGCAAACATGACGTAGTTTCAATGAAGAGTTCGTAGGTTTACATGTCGCTATAATATGAATTTAGCAACTTTTATGCCCCGGTATGAGATACTAGGGTTTTTTTCGTTTCCGCTACATGGAGAATATCTGAAAATTCATGTAGCCATGTTCGTTCCGTAAGAAGTTGGAATCCAGATCAGCCATAATGGATACACATAAGACAATACTGCAAGTCCATTCATTAGACACAATGCCATGGCCAGCAACATCAAATGACAAATTGCTCGCTAGATATTCACCCATTGATATACCCTCCTCACCTTCTCCATACTCGAACAAACTGAAGCGCATAATACAGGCCTAGTGCAATGGTAGTATATCGCGTTGTGGGTGACGGCTAAAAGTGGGTCCATACGGACTCCAAACAATCCATAGGTTTGATTCCTAGCAAGTGCAATCCCGAGGAGGTTCAAGTCCTTCCACGTGGATCTCTTTGGATCTATAGAATTAATCTGGTCGATTGGCGAATATGTGACTTAATCGTCATAACCGCATGTTGAAGCCGTAATTGATTCATATAGTGATATTGACGAAACTGCAAGTTACGCGGGATTGCACTTGCAATTGTTTTTTTGATCTTCCATTCTCTCTTTTCATTTTTGGCTCCCATATGTAAAATATTCTCATATTTTTGCCAGCGTCAATTTGCAGTCCAGATGAACACAGAATGAAAAAAGTCTTGTTATTGTTTTACGCTTAGGTTCCGCATTACGATGGTCGTCATAAGTCTGACCCATATCTACACACTCAACTTTCATCTAAGCCGGGCGCATTGAAACTAAACAAAAAAGCCACCCCATCCATAAGATCCTCGCAATCTACATGAATACACAACTTCTCTCCAAAAACCAAACCATGCCCCCGCTCTCAGAACCGTCTTATTTGTAGATTGATTCCCCCTCGCTTACTATCTCGACCACCCTTCTCCCTTCTCCCCCTTTTCCTACCTATCTATCTCTCTGCCTTTCAAACCTCCTTTATACCTAGTACATTCCAATTTAACACTCAGCTCAGAAAAAACACCTTCCTAACCACCTTCCGCGCTCCCCCCCAGAGCCTGCGGAAAAAGAGACCACAACCGCTATCGTAACTTGTCCTTAACACTGGCAGTGCCCCCACTTGCTCCATCCGCCCTAATAATTCTTGTGATTTTCGTTCCAGTTACTGGCATCGCTGTGGTTCGTGAAGAGAAGTATATCAATTCCTGTTTTTACCCGATCTTTGGGATTCCTTTTCTGTTAGATACATATCAGATGTTATGGATGTCTACCTGACGCTTTGTTGGGTGACGGCAACTTGTTGGATTGAGGGAGGAACGTAGACCTCAGGAGGTTGCGATTGCACGGCTCGTAGAGAACCAGGAGAGTTTGGCGAAAGACAGATTGAAAGTTGAAAGGTAGCCAGTATTGACACCGCTGAGTGCACATTAGGAGAAAGGAGGAACGTTGTACTGAAAGGCGTACTGGAAAGAGAATTAAAAACGGGCAGTTGAAATTTAAAATCAATCAATTGATATTAATATACTCTTCAAACTATATTTGACCTCCTCAACTATTCCATTTCATAGTCTTCCTCAAAACAGGCTTCATCTTCGACAACCATTTCCCCGTCATCTCCTTGCTCATATTCTTCTCCATACTCCATCTCTCCATACTCTATCTCTCCATCATCCTCTGCTTCTAAGTCTTCATCTTCTTCATTGGCATGTGACCGTGTGTTCCTGGTCTTAGGAGGGGGCCTATCAAGACCCATATCCACTTCTTCATTATTTTCATCCTCTGCAGCAGCATTATTCATCAGGTAATTCGTGAGTCCGCCAGGAGGTCTTCGAAGAATCGGTTGATTTTCCGCATTTACGGTCTTCTTCCTACCACCATGTCTTATCTTCCGCCCGTCTGGTCCAATGCCTCTCAACTTATCTTCCGCGGCCAAAATCTCGGCATCCTTAGCCATCTGATCTAATCTTTGCTGTCCATCAGATTTCCTCATTTTCCCTGTCGCCATAGCTTTTCGAATTCGTGCTACTTCGGCTGCTTGTTTTTGTTTCATGACCGCCCTCCATTGTCGATTGGTATTTCTTCTTTGAGCCATTACTGTAACATGATCCCTTTCGCGCCTCGATTCTTTAATCTGAATCAAGGATTGCAAAAAGAATGCTTGATTTTTTCGCTGCTCAGAAGCTGCTACACCGACCGGTATCTTCAGCTCACGGATATTACCCGATCTCCAAAAGTAACTGCGACCCTTCCCACCAGAATCCGGATCTTTGTCTTCGACTTTGGTGTTGACAGAAGTTATGCGCGCTGAACTCGCAGCTAGTAAATCGACGTCGTTTGATACGGATTGTAAAATAGGTAATTTACTCGCGGGATCGTGTGCTGTGAAGAGTAACTCTGTGCCCATATTCTCTTCCCATCGACAGTAATATATATTTCCCTCATAAGACACGACTGGGTGATCTTCATGCAATCCTAATATTTGCACTTCTGGTTTGGGCGCCGCTGAAGCTTCTCCTCCACGCTGGGTATCCGCGATGAAAGTCGAGTATTGTTCTCCGGTTGATTTCTTGGGAGCTTCGACGGATTTCTGTTCTATCGATACTTGCTCAGGTGGTGCAGCTTCAGCTTCTGAAAGCTCTTCTTCACGTTCTGCCATTTCCTCATCGTCCTCATCGTCCTCGGCATCGGGTGATTTCTTCCCTCTTCCTTTCCCCTTGCCTTTAGCTTTCACAGATTTGTCCTTATCAGTTACGATGGTAGTCGAATCTCCTAGGTGTCTTCGATGTTTTCCAAGACCAGGATTTAGCCATTTCTTAGCATTGCGACGAGGATGCGTTTTCACCAATTTTCTTTTGATAGGAACATTTGGATTTGTTAAATCGAGAGTTACATAAAATATCTATCGCACATGTTAGAACTTGATAATATATAAGAGCTTCTGGAAATAATTGCCTCTTTTTCTGTAGTAGAGTATTCGTATTCGTAATCGTCCTCATCATCTTCTTCTTCTTCCTCTACAGTGTCTGCGACATTGATGCTCATAGGCATTGAGTATGGATTTGGAGGTGGGGCATCTGCTGTAGAAGCAGAGCCATGTTGATCGGCCATCAGGGTCTATGGTATGGGTGTAATGTTCGATGGATGATTAGAAGCTGAGGCATCTGGTATGGCGCTCGTAAATTTACGAGGAAATATAGATTAAATTTTGCCAAAAAATTATAAGTAAATAATGAAGAAGTTTTGTGATGAGAGCTTGAAGTTCATGAAATTTGTGAATGCCTCAGGCCTGATATATTTCTAACCTCGACTCAAGAATTTCAACAGGGTGTCGGTTCAAAAGTATATTACAAATGGATTTGATATTTTCATCGTCTTTCGTATGCAATCATATTTCTGTTTCTTTTCGAAGGGACTGGAGAGTATATTGTCAGTCTAAAAAGGTCTCAAAACATCAATTCGGATGCGCAAGTGAAATATATAAGATTTCGGCATCGAAGTCCAACGATGAATTTCATAACTCTCAACTTCGTGCTTGGAGCCAATAACTAACTCAAGAACAGCAGGATGGGTTATTTTCTGAACATTGATAATTGTGATTATTGTGAACATTCTCGATATCTCCATGAAATGTGGACTGCTCCACTGTGTTTAAAGAATTGTTGTAAAACAATGAAAAGGAGTTCTCAAAAGAGCTTAGACATCCAACACAATAACAACATAAGATCAATTCCTCTTCCCTCTATAGCTTTGCAACCTCGGACCAACTAAGCAGTGATTCCGCATTCCTCTTCATTGTCACAATCTCCCTCATAGATTTGCATACATCCCTCGTCTGAGTCCCCTAAATAAGATGGCCATAAATTTCAATCCTCACAGGGGCTACCTCGTGGAGTATACTTGAAAGAATGACAATCACTTCTCCAGCGTTCCCATAATATGTGGAACGACAGCATAAGGAGCCTCCGTAACAGGATGCGTCAAATCAACCTTACTCCATTTTCCAACTCCTCTCAAAGACTTCTCCGTATCCCTCTTGAGGGAACAACCGCCAAATAAATGAGGCCAAGCGATATTGATCAAAGCTAAGTATGAATTAGTTTTGCTCGGCTCATTCCCGTAGGTTAGAACTTACATTGATACTTGTCAGTCCAATGTCCCTGATCCTTGATCACATGTTCATAAACTGCCCATATGCCCCCCTTTCTTAACTTCTTATACAAATCCTTAATCATTTCCTCGGGTTGTCCAACACTACACAAACACAAAATGGTAACCACAGAGTCTACACTGTCATCTTCAATGCCCCATTCCGCCAGACCCTCAACTCCACATTCGGCAATCTCATAGATATCAGTGAGACCTGCCTCCTTAATTCTCCGTCTCAAAGCTTCATATTGATCACGATTTGGTTCTACACCATAAATCTTTGTGACCTTTGATTTATCAAAAACATGTAGCCACTAACATATGTTAGCCACTGACACGTTTACCTCCGCCTTCCTTTTATCAACATGACGATATCGAACAAACATACCTCACCACTACCAGGACCAATATCTAGTACAACACCTCTAGCAGCTTTAATCATAGGCTCTGCATTTGTACTTGCAGACTCTCTAACACGAGGCCCATAGACTGCCCAAAATCGTGCAAACCATGCATGTTTGAACTTGTCGACAGAACTTAAAGTAGCGATATTGGAAGAGACGAGAAGGGAAACAATGGTGCCGGGTAGAAATGTAGCAGAGGCAAACATGAACTGAACAGGAAAGTAAAGGTGTTGAAGCACATCTATGATATATTCCTTGGTATTCATCGTGAGCAGGAAAATAGAGAAAGGGAAGTGGGGTAAAGCAGAAATAATGGGCAAAAATACGAGGAAATCGGTGGGTGGGAAATCCACCTTTTTTATATTGTCCAAACACTCGTCAGCTTCATGGGTTGGGTGGAAACAAGGCCAGATGAAGGATGGGTGATATTGAAGAGTGGATGCTTGATTGGTCAGTCGAGGTTAGGGTTGGGTGATTTGATGATATGTATCATCGCATATTCGTCAATCAAATATAATATAACTATAATATTAGTCAAATCGCATTATATGTATGACTAATCATAAAATCCTATAAAATCCTAAAAATCCTTATAAAATCTCTACAAAAAGCTATTTTGAAGCTATTTTGGAAAGAAGACAGTTAGTACCAAAGTCACATGATGAGCACCTGATTTTTGGGTCTAATTATACACTAAATTGAAAATTAGAACCGGTCAAAAACTTTTTCCAAAAACGACCCACTTTCATCCATCCTGATGGATTCATTAGTCCAAAAAACACGTGCATAATCTTGGCATAATATTTCATCACGCCCAAAAAGCGTTATAATATAGAATTATATAACCAACCCCAAGATTATATAATTCGCCCATCCCTAGTCGAGGTCCGACGTGATAGTCCCACCTTCATAAATCACCCCTTTGATAACGACATCTATCTTTGTCTTTATATCCAAAAATCTCAAAGAAGACACATTGCATTGAGGTTCGATCTTGCCCCGGAAGGTACTATGAAATACCCTTGAACGTATAAGAAGATAAGAAGTATCTTGATATATCTGAGAGTGTATTTTCTTGAGGGTTTCGGTCCCACCGCGTTTCTAGAGTTCAGAACAAGCGTTCAGCACAGAATTGCGAGGTTATCACTTTCCTAGGGGACCTCTGATGAATCTTTGAATCATTTCTTCCGCTCAATGTACTTATGCTACATATTTCTCATTGTTTCTGCGGTAATATACAGAGTTCGGAGCCTCCCGATATCTAAAACCTTCTCATCGTCGCTTCATGGATTTTCACACAAATTCTACAAAGTGCTCCCATAGGGGCAAAACAGAGCAACAACGTGTGAGAAGTGTTGGGTTTTCGTGGCTCTATCCGCTTGCTACACCCGACATCAATCTCTTGGTTATCATTTGTGGAATTACTGATAGTATGGAATCCTATGGAATTAGAGTTGTTGGTAATCTATGAGGGATTTCTAGATATCTGTAGGGTATGTCAGCTAGGTTGATGCCGAAGATTATATTGACATGTCAGACAATACTCCAGCGAGTTCTAATATGGAAGGTGTCGGATAGTTAATGCAAGGAATTCGTAAGTACCATGCACATCTGGTCGTCTGTGGTATTCATTGATTCAAGTGTGAAATAGACACCATGTCTGATGCGGTCGAGCATGCCCACGGTAAGATTATTATCAGGACGAATAATATTCCCATCATGTTTCCCTCCATTTTTCCATCGTCCATTGACTTCTCAGTATCTACCTTTCAAAGCCTTCATTCAGCTCTGGTACTTTCCCAATCATCAATCACTCTCTTCTTCATTTCAAGTTATCGATACTCTTTCGCTGAATTTGCTTTTCGGCAAAACTTTCCCTCTCAAGGCCCTTTCGTTCCACTCCTTACTTTTCTGCCCATCTCAGCTTATTGACCCTGGGAGAACCAACGTCTTCTCGCTGGTCTACGCAATTTAAAAGTCACTGCGTAGACCAGTCGCGAATCAATTATACCTAGCTAGCAATGATGTATCGATCAAGCCACGAACCTCCAATATCACTCAGGTGGCAAAGAAATCTCGATACTGCAGCCCAGAAACATATAATACATAATATCAACTTCCTACTTTACAGATTCATGGTATCACCATCTCTTCCCGGACTCCCACTCAACAGCGACCCCATCTCATACATGCCCATCGCTCTCATCTTGGTCTTCACAATGTACTCTTCTGTTGTAAACATATATTGAGATTTATCAAGATTGATTATCCTGGCGATTATGAATCTTGTAGAGAAATCTACCGAGGGAGACTATGCCAGAAGTAAGAACTATGGAAGTGGGAGGAGAAGGAGTAAGATTGACATCAAAAATTGAAGAAAGCAGGGCTATCGAAGGAAACGAGGGCATGCGAGTGGAGAGATAAAGGCCTGGCAATACAAGATGGAAATCGTTGGACTGGTGATGGTTGAAGGAAGTTAATCATTTTTTTTTGTGGAAACTATGTCGAATGTCTTGGACAAATATAAGGATTTTTAGAAATTTGTCTTTTATCACTAGCGATCATGGAAATTCATATAATGTCAAAATTTGATGATACAAGGATATATACATACGAATCCTCATCTGAAAACTGTATCCTCTATTTTCAACCCACGCTCCACCACAAATGTTCAAAGTGCAAAAACCTATTGCCATTCTGGCTTGAAAACCTCCTTACTCCATGGCTCACTCGTCAAATTCGTCAAACCCTTGATATTCTCACAAGTCTTCCTTCCACTCATTGGTCCTGGACTTGGTACCTTAACACCTCCCTTATTATAAATTCTTCCTACATCCTCTCCAACCTCAGATCCAGACTTGACATTGCCATCTTCGCCTGTAATGGCGCCTTTTCCAGCTTCCGAATTGGCAATTTCCGAGGCGCTGGATTGAAGCGCCTTGAGTAATGTGACAGTCGACTCGGGTGTCAAGTCTTCGTAGAAATCGTCGTTGATTTGAACCATTGGTGCATTTACACATGCGCCCAGACATTCGACTTCGACAAAGGTAAATAATCCGTCCTTTGTGGTGTGGCCAGGCTTGATACCAAGGTGCCCTTCGATTGCCTTGACGATTGCATCACTTCCACATCCACCCAATTGACAAGGAGTCTATTTATCGGAGAATCACATTAATACTTGTTAAGAAGGCGGAAATCCTCCGCCAACTTGGAGAAAACATACCGTAGTACAAGCTTGCACATGGAATTTGCCCACTGGAGTTCTGTTATACATAGTATAAAAGGTAGCCACTTCATAAACTCTCATAGGAGGCATTTCCAATAATCTAGCAACTTCGTTCATAACACTCAAACTAGTAAATCCATGTTGACGTTGTCCAAGATCGAGAATCGGCATAACGGCTGCCTTTTTGTATTGTGGAGGGTATTTCTTGAGGATCTCTTCGATGATCTTCTCATTTTGAGGTGTGAATTTGAAAGGAATAGAGGCATTATTGTCGGGTGTATCGCGATGCTGTGAGATTTCATGTCAGTAGCTAGACGGTACAATCGGAGCTCCATGAGGAAGACATACAACCATGAGGGAATCGCTGGATAACCTGCTACCGGCAACAAATGACCGACATTGTGATCTTGAAGCTATTCTTGCTGGTCTGAATGCTGATCGGAAGACGAAGGGTGTTATTTTGGTGGCCATTGTCGCGGTGATGTGGCGCAATGGCGAATTGTTACTTGAGGAGATATTTATCTATGATGTTGATTGATTTTAGTTCTCGGATGGTCGCCGTATTGGTATCGTCCATTGTTTAATTGGCCGATAGATTTGGTAGTAGATTTGAGCATGACGCGGGTATATTTCGGTATGAGTGGGATATGTTTAATCTTGCTTCCCCTCATCCTTGTGATCCAACTTCTAGTTTCACGGATACTTCTTCTGTAAAATGTCGAAATTGTGTTCTTTAAATTCTAAATTCTGGTATCATTTGAGTATAATCGTCTCATCATCATCGCTCGCAATGCTTTTCATTCAAATCATTCCTTGTTCCTCCAACTATCGCCATTCTAATAAGAGTACTCGTCTTCACAGCTGCCATTTCGCAAGTTTCTTCAGTTGAGTTCTATTTCTGATTCTTGAAGAAGACTTCGTCAGTCAACTTTCGAAGTAGGTCACTTCCATGGGTCATGTGAATGTTCGAGTCGGGTATCAAGTTTTGAAGTTTTGGAGTTTTGGAGTTTTGTCCTGATGCATTCTACAATTTCCTGATATAAAGTATGAGATTTTACATTTGGCCTTCGGGAGATCTACCACATTGACACCATTGTTTGTCCTGATCATACCTTTTCTATACAAGTCCCTGTTCTAGGCGATAGTCCACGATTCATAATCCAAATACTGTTTATCAAACAAGATATTCTCAGATTCTTTATATCATGTTGAATGCTTTCTATCTACCCTTCCCATATGATATGGTGGGGCAAAATGATAGACCGAGCTTTGGATGATAGCTCCAGTGACCGGACCGAACCACCAAATCCATTGATCTCGAGGTTTATATTAGCAGCGGCTTTAGCTTAGGGAGGAAGTCCCACTCACAAGCGAAATTGCCTCTCGCAACTGCAAAGGCAAAGCATCTCGCTGGATTCAATCCCGCTCCCGGGTATCCAGGCGCAAGATTAATACTAGAAAATGACACAAGGCCTAATGTACAACCAACCATGAATGGACCTAGGCGTGGCCCAAAGAGCTTCGCCTGTCGGGGATCAAGAGCAGTACCAAATGATAAAATCCTATGTCGTCAGATCAAGGCGAAACAAGGAGATTCTGAGACTTACAGCATGATACATGTCAAAATTGCCTCGATCAGGTAAGCCTGTCCTTCGCTGACGTTTGTTGTCTTAAGGAAACATCCTCCTCCATTGTATCTTTCGCAAGTTAACTTACTACTAAACGCCCATTTTTATAGAAGAGCTTCTTGACCCTGACAGCCCTTTGCAAGTCCATCACTACTTGGTGTCTTGTGTCTCGAATCTTGAAAATGGGAGTCAACTCACATTAAAGTTTTCTGCTCTCCTAAGCTTCCTCTGATCAAACCACCCGCAAGTGCTGCTCCGGTGGTCTGTCCTATCATGTACAACATTCCTCTTGGAAATCCGGTAAGTCCAGTGATGACCGTCGCAAAAGTGATGATTGGATTCATATGACCACCAGAAGCTGGCGCGAGTGCACAAATGAATAGTGTCAAAAGAAAAATATTGGTAACGCCAACATACGCCGCAATTTGTGTAGTGTCAGAATTTCGAATTGCAATACTGATAAAGGCAGACAGATAGCATAGGCATGTTGTTCCTACGAATTCTATAAACTATGGAAAGGAGAGTCAGTGGTAGGTCAAGGAAAGATTCATGGGAGCGACATACAGCACTTTTCCAAACTGTTGCATCAGTCCATCCATCGGTGAGGAAATTACCAATCCGATCACTGAATCCACTACTTTTCGATACTTTTCGTTTATCTTTCCTTAAATCCGGAGCAAAGGATCCCGGAAATTGCGCACATGATGCAGGAATTAGTTGAATTTCTTCGTTTGGAGGACTTTCTGATTCCTCGGAAATCGGAAGGGTAATTTTGAAGTTTCCTGGAGCACCCATTGTGAATTTAATTGACATACACAGAAAAAACAACCTTGGAAAACTTTGGTTGAATTGGCGTTCCTATTCAAAACTGTTAATGTAGAGGTTGCTGCAAGCTGCTGATTCATCAGAAGCGAGAACGGTAGTGGACCAGGAGTCGACCATACACATTGACTTCCACGACAAAACTAACATTACAATACGCAAGAAAATTGTGAAACTTTGAGTCAATACATACACTTCGTCGGAACTCTTCTCAATAGACTAACAACAATTTGATAGTTCTCATCCATCAATATCCACTGAAAGGGTCTCAGCTACTCAATCCACCTCGCCTGGCGCATTTGATCGGAGAACAAAGACATCTAATGCGCCACATATCTTCATGCTCAGTGAACTTTCCGCATTTTTCAATGACAGATTATTATCCACACTATCAATCAGTCAAATATCTATTGCACAAGAAAGCATTTTTCGGTAATGATCAGCCACAACTGCAACCACACGTCAAGCAAACTCGTTCTACTGGACGAGATTAACCACGATAATGCAATACTGCCAACTTCCCAACAACTTTCTGCCATATTTGAAATGCAATTTCGAGGAATCCGGTAGATATTTGAGGCCTGAGAGATCATTTGGTCATTGAATTTAGAGATCGATAGAATTAATACACAATGTATTGAGTTCATTTCCTGCTTGGTAGTTGAATTTTTCATCTTCTCGTACATCACATGTCATCTCATCTACTGTTCTTCGAATTTTACATAATCCATGGAGTATTTTGCACACTATCAAGTTTCCAGATCTGGACTGTATGTGGTTTGACAGTCATCACCAATACATTTTGAAGATATTTCTTGGCTTACGGAACTACCAATGTATCCAAACAACGAATAAGCCTTTCTGGCATACACACTGATCATCGTGCGTTGTCAACTATACCTCATTTCGATTTCCTACATGGCAATCACATAAAGTAGCATCCGGAGCAGAATACCCGTGCCGTTTCATCTCATGTACCTTTTTTAAGACGCCACAACCGTATTTCCAGGAAAATTCCCCGCAGATACCCGTGTCTGCTCTTTCGGTACTTCAAACACTGTTGCTGATGGATCAGTACTTCAACTATAGCCATGAAATTTCTAGTTCCTTGGTTTTAAACATGTATATATTACTCCTGCGTTCACATAAGACTCACAAGTTCCAGCGTACGTGAAGGTGGCATGCAGAGCGGAGAACTTAATCCGGGCTTCAAGGAAATCCTTGAAAATAAAGAAGGAATTGGGCAAAAACCATGGCGATGGCGTAAGTGCATCTCGGTCGGCTGCATGTTACGAGTGAGTTGACCTGGTTTTTTTTGCTTCTGGCTGCAAAGTGGTGTGATGTGTGCGGAGATATAAATCTAGACATTATATCATCCCCTCACTTCCTTTCTCCTTCTTCAATCTTACAGTCAAGCGGCTTTTACTCACGATAACTCACCTCAACTATCAATACATACACAAATACGAAGAAAAGAACCCCAAACATTTGAAAATGCACGGGACTGATATTTTAGCCTTGGCCCTTCGCATCGGCCAATTTGCTTTCAGTACCATCGTCGTCGGTCTTACTAGCTCACATCTTCACTCGGCCAGAGCTGAACCATCATGGTCTAAGAAACGATTCATCTACACCGATGTTGTTGCTGCTTTAGGTCTATTCTTCTGCTTGTTCTTCATGTTGCCGTTCACTTGGAGCTTCATTCATTGGCCGATCGATTTCTTGATGTTTGTTATGTATATGATTGCTTTTGGTTTACTTGTGGATGTAGGTTATATCTTCCCTCATTTCGATCCTTCCTCTTACCTCCTCACACCATCTCCATCTCAATTCCCACGACAACATGGAATATGAATAGCTGGATATAACTAATCATAACGGATAAATCTAGTTCATCTCGCCCCTCAACTGCGGCAGTATATTCAACTGGTACGGCGTCTTCGGTTCTTCCGCTTGTGCGAGATGGAAATCAGATGTCGCTTTTACATTCCTGGCTTCATTCTTCTTCCTCGGTTCTTTTCTCCTCGTACGTTCTCCCCTCTCTCTTCTCCACGTACTTTTACCTTCCCCCGCTCTACCCCCTTCATTCAACAACCCCATAACTCTATATCTCCCCCCTATCCCAATACTAACACATCATCACAAAGGGAACATACATCCACCACCGCAACCGCCACACAATCGTCACCGACCAACCGGCCAATGGTCAACAAAGCAATGGTCTCGGTGGTGCACGCAAGAGGTGGTATCGATCGCGTGCCGATCCATCGCACATCTGATATCTGCGCGCTTAGCTCTACTCTAAGTTTTGATGCGATTTTCTCGTGATTATCGATTTGAAGAGAAGTGAGATGTCGTTGGACTTGTGAAATGGAAAATAGGAGGAAGTAATAATGAGACGGCGGGACTGGATATGATGAGATCGGATATGAACGTTACCCCCTTCTACTTTTTACCCCCTATTTCATACTTTTTTCTGTACCTATTTTCCTCGAAGTCATTCCCTACTTTTGGTTGACAACAAACAGGCAGGCAGGCAGGCAGGTCGGCAGATTGGCTGTATGCCTGTCACCGTACATTATGATGAGAAGAGCTGAATGGTTTCGTTAATCTTTCCTTGGACATTATTGTCATGTACTCTTACCCATGTATCTATTTTGTGTGTAGGTCTCTTAATATGAATGAATTTATGAGAGCGCATATTTGACGGATACATGAACTTTTACCCCTTCTTCTTAACATGGGAATGATATAATGTGATGGTATGATAAAAACTAACAAATGATGTAACATCAAAAAGAACTTCTAAAATTCGCTGCTGTGTCTCTGGGCTATTCATACATATTTCCATTCGCATTGCATCACTCACTCAATCGATCAGTTTTCACTCCCGATACTTTTGTTGATGACCACCTGGACTCCTTCAACTCCAATTCCGACTCGCTGTTCTCTACCCCGTTCATACATATATGCATCATAGTTCATCCTTTCCTCCCGTAACTGGCGTCTCGGGTCTTCCACTGTCTTTTGCCAAATCGACTCCATTCTTCTTCCTCCACTTTTCCCATAGAGCCCAGAAATCCTTCTCCATACCCTTGTCCATCTGATCCGGCAAGACGACTGTGTACTCCACAACCAAATCTCCGAATTGCGTATCATGATAAACACTATCACCGTCTTCATGCCATTTTGGCATTCCTTCTCCTTTCACATGTTCTACATGACCCGGCTGAACAGTTTGTCCCCTTTCGCGAGAAAGCTGCACAATGTGTCCGTCTAAGTGGGTAAGATTTCTAGTCCATGATCCCATCCATGCTTCTCTCAATGAGAGCATTTCGCGCCAATGAAGATTATCGCCCTTACGACGGAAGAATGTCCCGTCAACTTTTAATTCGTTGTCTTCTTCGAGATTCGCTTCCTTCTCAACTAAAGTAACGTGAAGATCACCGGCAACCCAATCAGGAGATTCGTCAGCTTCGTTTTCATAATTTATTGTTCGGCCCTTGGGGGCTCCGCGCTCGATAACTAGTGAGTGCGTCTGGACTTTGCGGATGACGCGAGAACCGGAACAGACGGGACATTTGTGTTTGATTGTTTGTCCTTTTCCGTCGCAGTGATCACATTTTACCTGTACTTGTTGGAATATTCCAGGCGCGAGTTGATGTTTCTTTAATTGGACTCCATGGCCGTGGCATACGTTACAAGTATCGACTTGACCATCGGCAGATCCAGATCCCTCACATTCCTCACATATCATTTGTTTCTCGAGTTGAAATTCGGTGGTATGCCCATTGTAGAAATCGCGGAGGGGTATTCCTACTCGCACTTCCATATCGGGTCCTTTTCGTTGTCCATGGCCGCCGCCGAAATGTCCGCCTCCGCCAAAGAATCTAGAGAAAAGATCGAATGGGTCGTGGTGACCTCCACCTTGACCTCCTTGTTGTCTTTGCTTTAGTCCTTCGTGTCCATATTGATCGTATATTTTGCGGGTTTCTGGGACGGAGAGGGCTTCGTAAGCTTCGGCGATTTCAACAAACTTTTGTTTAGCTGTTTCGTCTCCTCTGCGCATCACATTAGTAGTGATTCTAGCTTCAGTGGAGAGGTGATACATACGGGTTCTTGTCCGGATGATACTTCTTGCTCAAAGTCCTATATGCGCGCTTGATATCTCTTTCTGAAGCTTGCTTGTCTATACCAAGAAGCTATTACACAATTAGCCTTTATTCTGCCCTCTCAATCTCCACACTCGCAAAGCTTCTTGGAGCTACAGAAAAAGAACATACTTGGTAGAAGTCCTCTGCGCAAGCTGCCAATTGCAGTATGCAGAAGAATAAAAAGGTAAAAGGCAGCCACATCTTTGCGCCAGATATGCGCTCACAAGGAGCTAGATAGATATTTTCTCTGCACGAATTGAAATATATGAACTACAAGAAACCATGCGTATATAGTCGGGGAATATCTAGTAAGAATAGAATTGCAAAACAAATCAATGTATTGCTCAATACAAAGGAACGTTAATTTGTATGAGTTGTGTTAGATTTACAAAGAACATCGAAAAAGATACCAAGCTGGCCTTATTGATAGCATCGATAAGAGATTACAAGGGTTGATGAGATTTTATACGTTGACCTTCAGCGTTGCCTGATGTGATGGCTGATGTCGGGTAATTATCGGTATCTCAAGCTTGATGGTCTGCACTTCAGGGACGTTCTTAATTTTCAAATCAATCTCATACGACGAAGTCATTTCGAGCATTTGATCTCTCTATAAGAATCATCTTTTTCAAAAAGCCGGTGCAAAGTGAAGGTTAATAATCCACAATTCTTCAAAGAGCAATATACTATCAGGTCTAGGCTCGCTGCGCAATCTTCGAGACCTTCAATCTATTCAAGAAGTCTAAGACTGGACATTTTGCATTGCTGAAGAAGCAAATACAGGATTGAGGGCTGTCACTAAAGACTTGTCAGATCACCCGCGAGGTATGAACTGAAATTTGTGGAAAATAAACATCCTCCGCGACTAGCGGAAGGAGGATTTCCAGACAATGGTCGATCCAAGGGATATGCTAGTGCAGTCCTAAAAAGGTAGATTGCAAAGCCCTGGGAGATCAACCCAGTGAAGACCTGTTTCTCTTTCTGGTGATAGTTGACCAGCGTTAACAGCAGAGCCTCGATATTTAAATGATGCAAGAGGCAAAGTTGTGATGATCAGCCGTGGTGTTACAAAAACTTTGAAAATTCACCTCTTCTTAGGACAGGAGTATAGACTGTAAAGTCTTGGAGGCCTGGGCTGTTGTCTTTAATGTATAGCTTATGATACCAAGCAGGTTCGGAGTCTTGTCTAGTATAGGTAGGTAGATACATATTCCGCAAATCTATTAGCCGAGTTTCTTCGAACCTTCTTTCTTCCAATCTATCCCGTATCATCTTATTGGTCAGATCTGACAACATACCAAACCGAACCACCAGCGTGGCTATGGTCCCTGATGACCTTTACGAGGTCAACCAAATCCCTGTCTGGAACCGAAGATCTGGTTTTGACCCCTGCGATATTGTGACGTCAGATCTTAGATTCATCATTCCTGTCGTCTCTGCATGTGTATATAAATGTATGTGTATCCAGAAAGCGCAGATCAATCTTTATCAATATCGAAAATTACAATCTAAAATCAAACTGTCTATTTCATCCCAACAAAACAAATTAGCAAACGAGGAAAAATAAAAAAGAAATATGCCTATCAACGATAAATCTGGAGTTTCGGGTGGTGTTACCTGGGTTACCAGTACTGTTGGGTATGTTGTTTATTTCCTCCCCATCTCTCTTCCTTCCATTCCTTTCTTCTCTCTCGCACTCATGTTATCCTCGGCTCTTCTGCCCTTCCCAATCATACTCTCATTTATAGATGCAATACTTCAAATTTTCTCGCCCACGGAACGGAATCTAGACTAACATAACTCAACAGCAATGGTGTCTCAGGCGTCACAAACACAGTGGGAGGTGTAGTTGGAGCTGTTGGACGAGGATTGGGAGAGACTGTAAATGGAGTTACCGGAAATGCAGGTTTGTCATCCTTTTACTTTTCCTCGTTATATACAAGTTCACTTCTTGTTTTCATACCTTTAGTCAGCAATTCCATCTTTCCCAGTCATCTCAAACAAGGGGAAATGAGATAAAGATACCAGGAGGAGATCATTAGGGAAGGCAAACATAAGCTAACAAGCATGTATCAGGCAAGCCAGTAGGCGATGGCATCAAAGATATTGGAGAGGGCATTGAAGGTGGAGCAGCACGTGTCGCGAAGGGGGTCAAGAATGCGGGGGAGGGCCAGCATGGACCTTTGAGATGAGGAGTATATCTTTCGGGTTCAGGGTTTGGGCAGTCTGCGGATTTGATATGATACCAATGCTTTTTCATTAAATGGGCCGTCGCCTAGAAATATATGACAAATTTGTGGTTTGAGATAGCCATTCTTATTTGATACTTATCTATTTCACGGGAATTATTCATCGCATGTCGCGAACGAATATGGTGATTTGTCATCGCTCCTATGTTGTATAAAAAGTATTTAATCATCATATTAACATTCTGGTAGGAGGCACAAGCGGTAATTGGCTCATCATTCGTTTTGGCATTTCGGTCAATGGCTAATGACACCACATAAGCATACCATCATTTTTACCGGCTCAAAAACCAAAACGACATCACTGCCCGAATTTACTGATATATATGTATGTATTCAATTTGAAAGATATAGACTTCCATCACAGCTCTAACTTGGGCCCACCTATATCCCCAAATCAGCAAAAATTTCCCCATGTCTGACCGCCAAGCGTCTTATCAGCACCCCTGACATCCACCCAGAGCTTATCATTATCAAAGTTTCGTAAAGCATAGGAAGAATGTAGTGCCGGTGATCTAGAATAAGGTGAATAACATTTTTTTTATGGTTGGGGGAGGTGAGATAAAAGACGTATGGAGAAAATGCCAAGAAGGTGACCGCTGATGCGAGCGTTTCTATAGGTTTCCGAGGAGGTGGTTTGTTGGATAGACGATAAGGGAGTGAGGGTCTTGGATGAAGTTTGAGTTCTTGGAATGGGATTTAGAGGGATGTGAAAGATGGGATGGGATACTTAACACTTGGAGAATCCTCTCTCCTCATATATGAAGTCTCGATCCCTATACATATTTACCGGAAGCGGAGCTTCATACTCAACCTAACATTGATCGCACCCATCCAGCACCATGAGTGCCCCCGTCTTCAACTCTTCCATCCCCAATGGCGGAGATCCCGAACTTGTAGATGTCAACGCCCAATACTCCGGTTTGGAATTCCACTACACATATATAGTTTTCTGCGGCTTCATCGTCTGGCTTATTATTCCCGGTATCGGACTCCTATACAGTGGACTTGCACGAAGAAAATCCGCTCTTACCTTGTTATTTCAATCGCTTCTCGTAGCGGCAGTGACGACTTTTCAATGGATGTTCTGGGGATACTCACTTGCGTATTCGCGTACAGCTGGACCTTTCATTGGCAATATGGCGAACTTCGGACTCAAAAATGTGATGGCTGCTCCGTCGCCAGGCAGTGCTGTAATTCCGGAAATTGTGTTTTGTTTGTATCAATTGCTTTTCTGTGCCTGTACAGTGCAGATTGTAGTTGGTGGTGCTTTCGAGAGAGGAAGAATTGTACCGAGTTTGGTATTCGGATTTTGGTGGGCAACAGTTGTTTATTGTCCTATTGCTTATTGGACTTGGAATTCTAATGGTTGGCTGTATAATGTAAGTTTCTCCTTAGTTGCAGATTTTGTGTAAACAGCATTCATTAATAAATGAAAAAGCTCCCTTCATTGGATTTTGCTGGTGGTGGACCAGTTCACATTGCATCTGGGTGGTCTGCATTGGCATATGCTCTTGTACTGGGAAAGCGCAAGCACACCGGCGAAAAGTCCCATGGAAGGCCACATAACACTACTCTCGTATTCCTAGGTACCGTGCTAATTTGGTTTGGATGGTTTGGATTCAATGGAGGCAGTGCTCTCAACGCTTCTGTCAGAGCGATGCTTGCTGGATTTAATACCAATACTGCTGCATGTACCGGAATGCTAGGATGGGTACTTGTCGACTATGTCAAACATGGTGGCCGATTCAGTCTCGTGGGAGCCTGTGAGGGGGCCATTGCCGGACTTGTGGGAATCACTCCTGCTGCAGGATATGTTTCCGTTTGGCTGGCAGCGGTTATTGGGTTCATAACCGCAGTAGTTTGCGCGCTATTGCAGAATGTAAACGAATGGCTCCATATCGATGAAGGAATGGACGTCTTTAAACTTCATGGTATCGGTGGAATGGTGGGAAGCTTTTTGACTGGAATATTTGCAACATCCTCTAGTATGTGTTTTTGTCCTTAAAAGCCTGATACCTAAGCTAACTCCGGAACAGTCAGTATGCTCGACGGAGTGACTTCAGCTCCCGGTGGTATCGATGGTAATGGAATTCAAGTGGGTAAACAGTTCGCAGAAATCACCGCGATATCAGCGTACTCATTCCTCATATCTTGCGCTCTTCTCTATATCCTGAAATTCATCCCAGGAATGCACTTGCGCGTCACAGAGGAGGCTGAGATTCAAGGCTTGGATATGGATCAATTTTTCGATGAGCAGATCGGTGATTGGGCAATATTTGAGGAATTGGATCAACGAAAAATGATATTGGAGGCAAGCTCGCCTGGAACCCCACGGGTACAAGAAGTACAAGGTCAGACACAGCAAGCTAAGAAGGTATAGAATATTGGCAAAGGATTGTGTATGTCACTCCATCCTTTCGATCGAAGTAGAACATACATTGCAATACATTCAGTTCTCGCGATTTTTCATCATTGACATGTGGTACTGCAGGACAATCATACTTTGTGTAGCAAAGGGTATTGCTGAGCATGCCACTGAAGTTTTTAATAACATTCAATCTGTAGATACAGCGAGTGGAAATGCAGAATGCTTTTCTGTGCTTTGTCGTATGAACTGTACTTCCCACAAGCTTTGTGGACACAGTCTTTTTCATTTCTCAAAGAAAATAAAAACACCGTTAGACTTGAAATCCACGCTGTTAATGTTGTATATTACACTAAACAACATGTAGCCGAGCATTTGCCAGATGTAAAGCAGACCTTCCGAAGAATAGATTTCTATTCCCGAGATTCCGGGCGCTTAGAATCCGAATAGTCAGTGTGAAATGAGCTGAATCATATTAGAGTTGATAATTGAGGTCAAGCTTGTAAAGTGACGATGCCTTTCTAGTCATATCTAGATCGCAATCACGTTGTGTCGCCGTCAAATTTTGCTTAATATCCCATTTATGATTCTTGGTACCCCACTTTGGTTCAAGAGGCTGGGAATAGATGTCTGCACGTTATCGATATTAACCGAACGCGTTTGAAGAGAAGAACAATGGAGTTTAAATTAAAATATCTGGCTAACGCGTGCTCCACCACCCAAAAATAGAGTTCATTCTGGAGTGAAGTAAGAATTTAGCTTATTGCGTGAGAAATGGGGGTAGAATCGTTCATATTTATGCTTCGGGTGCGTGCACTAAGTTGCAAGACCCGCTAGTGGTAACATCTCGGAGCCAGGATAACGACGCCAACACACGTGGATTCAAACGCAAAATCTTTCTACATCCAAAATTTAAGATTTCTTCAATATGTATGCGAATCCTTCCGCCCACATGGTAATGGAACGCTATTGACAAAGATTCAGATACGGGGCAAGCTTGCCTTCTTTCAACTGTGAAGGATCTCCCAGGATCAACAATGGCTAACCCACACACTGGGTTGAAACTCAATGCGGCGAACCTTCCCGCTGCTAATCACAGACTCAGGATTCCTCCATCCAAGTATATCATGAATCGTAAAAGGATACTTGGTCCTATATGCTTCCAGAATTCTTCCATTGAAGCAAAGGTTCGAAATACATGATATATGATTGGTCAATCAGATCCAGAGGAATTTGATAGAACTAAACCCCATGCTACTTGCCATCTGGTATCTTACAGATCTTGAGATGAGCCGCGAGGGACAAACGACATAAAATCCTTAGTGGGATGACATGTAAAAGCACAGACGCTTTTCAATATCTGGCTCAGCGTTTGTTCTGACATTTAGATATATAAAGTCTGGCGTCACCTTTGATTATCATTCCAATTTTCACAGCATCTTCACCTTCTTCACCTTCCTCTTTCTCTACTTCCTCCCTATATCCTCCTTCAAGTGTCAATATCAATTACCAACATTGAAATGGCTATCTTCAAAGTTACTCCATTGCTTTTGGCTGCTCTCACAAGCTATTTCTCCCTTGGAGCATTTGCCGCGGTATCAAACATCACTTCTTCCGTCACTATTAACAGTGTTACATACCACAACGTTGAGTATGTTGAGAGAGATGTGGTCGTGATTGGTGGTGGATCCTCTGGAACCTATGCAGCAATTGGTCTCCTCGACGCGGGCAAGACTGTGGCGGTCATCGACAATAAATCTCGCATGGGAGGTCACACAGAGACCTATACTGATCCTGCAACGGGAATATCAGACGACTATGGTGTTATTATCTTCCACAACATCGAACTTGTCAAAAACTATGCTGCACGTCTTAACATCACTTTGGCAGCGGCAGACACAACAGAATATGTTCAATCAAGCGTGTATGCCGATTTTCGAACTGGTCTTGAGAATTCTACTTATACGACTGCTGACTTTACCGCTGGCCTCATGCTGTACATGGAGCAACTTGCAAAATATCCATACCTTGAAAATGGCTATGATTTACCAAACCCAGTACCAGAAGATCTTTTGCTCACCTTTGGGGAGTTCGCAATCAAATACAATTTCGGCGATCAATTCCTTGGATTCATGTTCAACTTTGCTCAGGGTCTGGGAGATTTATTGGCCAAACCTACTTTATACGTGCTCAAGAACTTTGGTACCGGTGTCATCGAATGTTTTACCACTGGCTTTTTAGCAACGTCTGCACAGGATAATAGCTTAATCTACGAATCGGCACAAGAAATTATCGGCAACGACAGCGTTTTCCTGAGCGCAACAATTGTGTCAGTAGACCGAAGCGGTGATTGTGTTCAAGTCCTCATCAGCACTCCTTCCGGCTACAAATTCATCATTGCCCAAAAATTGGTCTCCAGCATTACACCTCAAATTAACAATCTTGCAGGATGGGATCTTAGCACTTCGGAGAAAACTCTTTTCTCTCAATTCAACAACTCCGGATACTACGTTGGTGTTTTTGGTAACACTGGTCTCCCAACCGGTATCTCTGTTGTCAATGTCGCCGACAACACCACTTACGGATTCCCACCTCTTCCAGCCGCTTATGCCATCAGCCCTACTGCCATCCCAGATGTCTTCAATCTTTACTACGGTTCCGCAGTCTCTATCTCTGACGACGAAGTCCGTGCTGCCATGTATGGCGAGCTTGAAAGACTCCAAATCACCGGTATGACCAAGAGCACACCAGAACTTCTCGCATACAGCAGACATACACCATTTGAGTTATGGGTTCCAGCTGAAGCCATTGCTGCTGGTTTCTACAGTGATTTGTATGCCCTTCAAGGTCAACGAAACACTTTCTACACTGGATCTGCTTTCCATGTTCAAGATTCTACTATGTTGTGGCAATTTACCGAAGCATTGCTTCCTAACATCACTGCTAGCTTGGCATGAATAGCTTTTTTTTTTTTAGGAGGGGGCCTTTTTTGTACATAGTTTTAATGAAATTTTCGCAATGAATGGATGCATGATGGATGGATGAAATTAGGGTAGCACATATATAAATAGCATACGATACCAAAATGAAGCAAACTATATCTGCAATGATAGTCTGGAAGGACTCTGACGTATGAACTTGCCACATTTTAGATTGATTTGAAGGTTGCAATTTCAAGGGTCCATTTGAATGTTGCATCTTACTTTCGCCTTCGCCTATCCGCATCGAAGCTACACAACTATTTCACCGATCTCTCCAGTAGCATTGAAAAACCACAATCACTCACGTCTTACACTCAAATCCAGTATGTAATTTCATCTACCTCTATCTTCGTTCCTAAATGTGTGGAGTACTTACCAAATCCCGGCCCCACTCCCCGGTTCGGTTCCAGGCCCATCACTTCTTCACAACCACCCGAACCAGCCAATTATAGAACATCCCACCTATGGCCCTTCCAACCCACCATACAAATGCGCATTGGTTATGCATTGTTCATCACCCGTTTAATTTGCGAAGTATCTTGATTTATTGATAACTTTACTCGTACGGGACGATGATTTAGTTTTGCGGGCTTAGATATTCTGGGTTCTGTCCGTGTCAATGGACTGGGTAGGGGTAAAGTGGGTTTTGATGTCTGACATGGTGTTTAGTAGATGAGCGGTACTGTAAGACGGGAAGTTAGTTGCTATAAGTGTTTGACATAAAGAGCGCATGAAGATATGAAGAAATGCAAAAAGGAAGCATCACGTGTATATCATGTGGATGGGGTTGATTTGTGATGGATGGTCTGTGCCTGTTTTCTCAGCTGAAAGACTGCATCCACAAAGCACGTTGATGACACCAAAACAATGCAAGAAGTCAACGTTCAACAGGTTTGAATGTAACGAAGGGCTATTTATGTCTTGGGCGAAGATATGAGGTTGGCTTTATATTATGACTGCTCTCATATCCTCGCTATTTCCTTGATTCTATCAGACAGATTATATCCTTCCGAGTCTACTACATCCTTGGAGCCGGAAAGAGATCTCTTCCCTTCATACTATTCTGGTTAGGAAACTAGTACCCAAGATCCAGACCCCAACTCTCTGTACATATAAAGCCGTTATCTTTTTCTTCAAATCCTCGGCGCTCGTTGTCACTTCTAGCAAGATCTCACAATTTTTGATATACTGTCCAGTGTTCTCAAGATGATCTCTCCCATATCCATCCCAAATCTGCTTGTGGCTCGGCACTACGATCTTTGGTCGCAAAGTCTCGATCTTAGCAACAGCTCTTATCCACTCTGCCCTTAATTCCGCGGTATTGGTCTCAACAAGATATTGAAAACATTCTCCATACACGGCATCGCCAGTTATCACGAGCTCTAGACAAGGAATGTGTAACACTGTCGTGTTATATGTGTCCGACTGTCCGAATCCGACAGCTTGAAGCAAGTGATCCTCAAGATAAAATTTTCCCTCGAGAGGTAACGGCTGGATTGTTTCATCCTGGGTGGGTATCTGATCTGGAAATGTAGCAGACCAGGACTCGACAAATTCTGCAAAATTCAATTGTTCGGCTACATGTGCTATATTTCGTTCAGTGGCTTCAGCAATCATATCAGGAAAATGTTGCTGGAGAACTGGGATCCCAAGGAAATGGTTGTCTTGTCCGTGAGTGATGTAAATGTGGGTTAGGGCTTTGTTGCCGATAATTGCGGAAACCCAGTCTGCTAGTGCATGAGACGTTCCAATGTTGACTGGAGCATCAACGAGGACGGCAGTCGACTGGCGAAGTGTAAAGGATGTAGGAGAGATTGTGTAATTATGTTATGTGATGGGTCAACAACAGGAAGCTCGGGAGCGTGAAAGACGTCCCATAAGAATGGTGTTGCAGGACGCCGGATTGCAACGGCCAAGCTGATCGGGATGAGGATGGAGGTGAGTACTGAATTGGAAGATAGCATTGTATTGAATTGTTTAGCTCTACTTGTTGATGAATTTCTGTTTGAATTTTGTTCCACCCCCTTCCTAGGAAAGTCTCTCTTTATATACACTTTTCAATTATCCCAGAGGCATGCAAGATTACTCGTCTCCCCAGACAACCATCACAGCTTTGTCATATTATGGTGCATTAAGTCCGCCCAACGTAAAGCCACCATCGCAGATTTAAACCAAGATAGACAGAATACTCAGCTTATTTATCCAACATATGTTCAGTAAACGTTTAGTTTGACTCGCCATAAGATAGAAATTCTTTCAAGCGAGCTTACATGTCAAGCGTCATGAAAATTTGTAAGCTGCGCGGAATACGTGTGCTCACTGTGTTGAATATTAATCACGGGAAAACCAGAATGCAATCAACTTTTTCGGTGTGGATTTCGCTTGGAATCTATTTGAAATTCGTGGTCTGAAACCCGGACGGCTCTATGTATTATCTTGTGTGTTGCGAGTTTCTTCCCTATAAGTCTGAAAATTGCTAGCAACGAAGACGAAGCCTGTAAGTTGTGGTCTTCCAGTGTGCAAATCCAAGGAGAGGTTCACAGGCTAGCTTCTTTGTTTTTCATGTGCGAATACATTTTTATGGAGGGACCAGTAATCCAATGCCTTCATTCATAGTCACTTTATCGAGCATTTCCATACTTGACAATTTATTATGTTTCAAGAAAAATCGACAATAGTTTCTCGAATTTCACGATTCACCCACGAGCTCGCATCGGGTTTAGTGCGACCACAAAAATATACCAGCACCACAATCTCACGGTACGGCAATTTTTGCCTTGCTCTGGCCCAAGAGAATATTGTCAGTAGCTGCTGGAATAATATGTTTCCGTCGGGTGGAAGGTATCCAAGGTTTTTTGGCGTTGGAAGGGGTTGTGGTTACACCAAAACGCAACTATTCAGGTCATCTAGAATCAAGCAAGCAAGCAACCTACTCCCTTTTTTAAGCTCCAAATATGCACTTATCTTCTAAACCCACTTCTATCTTATTCACAAACATGAATATCTCATCCACATCTTCGTAGGTTACGATGAAGCTCTTTTGGAATGAAGAATTGTACTTTAGATCTGAATGAAATCTATGAATGCCTTCATTCAATAAACACTATCATATTAGGGCATTCTTATCTTCGATCCATCAGATTATGGCAAACTATAAGGGCGTTCTGTAGTGGAGAAAGTCCCGCGATTCGCAATCTCGCCTCGCAACTGATTGTAAGTTTGCCTTCGAATCCTACTTCCAGTTTGATAGGACAAACACCTGGACTCAGTGGTTCTTTCATTATATTGATGAAGTGATAGAAAGACTTTTAGCAGAGAATGATGTTCATGAATCATCCTGCGCTAATTGAAGATGTATGATATTGAAGAACATCAGAAGTTGGCTATAAAAGGCTTCGCTTTGTAAGTAATTATTTTTCCATCCTTCATTTCCATCATCAAATACAGCTCGACCTCTGGAAAAATTCACCGACAATTATCAAAATCACTCAAATCAATACCGATAGCTAGGCTTCCGAGCCGAAATAACACTTCAAGCCTAAGCATCCAAACAGAACGTAGCCACAGCTTAAGATTGACTGCGACATCAATAAAATCCTGATCCACCTCAATCTAATCATAACTATGAATCCCTATCATGTCTACGTCTATCCGCACCGTCCAGGACCTCCTCCAAGGGGCCATCTAACTCCCACCAACATTCGCGACTATTACGCATTTCCTCAAAATCGACTTTCACCTCTTAGAATCGTACACGACGGTAACAATCAATCGAATGAAATTGTACGAAGACAGCCCGTGAATGTGGCTAGAACCATGGAGCCTGATGCGAGAATGAGTGGGCCATATGATAGTCCTTATGTTCGATATGTTGCTTATCGGAGAATGGGATGGGGTCTGTAGTGTTGAGAGGCGGCTGTGAAGGTGTGGTGCGAGTTGGGAGTGATGGAGAAGGAAAGACATTAGCCTGAGAGCGGAAGATAGTCTGAGGGTAGAAACAATGCTTGGCAAGAGTGTATAGGGCATGGTTTTCGCATGAATATTTTTAATGATCTAGAGATATAGATGGAGAATTAATAGTAGACGTTGTATTTTCATGTAGCTTGTGCAATGGTGCGAAGATGATAAATTCTACTGCTCGATACAATTAATTGAGTCTATAAACTTATAATCCAATCTTCCGGACTATTGTAGACTCATGAGGCTTTTCCACAACAACCTGCCTCTTCTATGATACGTAGACTAGCAACCCTTGGTCACTTCTGGTGGATTTTGTTTGGAAAGACGGATGGTTTCGATAAGCTCCAACGTCATTTTCCAACACTGAACTGTGGCGACATAACAGGTGCGCGTGGTCGCGTTTATAACGTTCCCCAGTAAAACAATTGAAAGAAGAATAACACAAGATGGAAGAGGTACGCCTGAAAGCTGTTAAAACGATACATAAAAAGAAAAGCAAAAGCACATACATTTCATCCATTCAAGGCCATTCTTGAAGTCTGAGTCGCTATTTGCGGTACTGGTTCCAGCACCTCCGGCATCGCATAACCATTTACAGGAACAAATATCTGCAGCCCTTTAGGATCCTGAATTGGCGGGAATTTGAAGCCAACTCCTTGGAAATCGAACTCAGTAAGATGCAAGGACGAAGGTAGGTTCAATTGCTGAAATATATCAGTCGCATAGGTTTTGTGTAGATATATCCCGTTGTGACCTTCTCTTTTGTGGTCGTATGGTAATTGGGGTGAGATCTCGGGGAGACAGAGTATGATTGGCACATCGCTGCCGTGTCCTGATGTGTATGGATGAGTGAGGCGTTTGCGACAGACTAGACACCATGAGGGCGTTGGGTTACTAGAATCCATCGTGAGGGGTAGTAGATGATGGTTTTGGATAATCTTGGCAAGGGGTTTGATAACGAAGAATACGCAATTGCTTGGGGTAGAATTCTGTTGGTATTAGAATAAGTGATGCGATGCGTAGATGTATTGGATACTTTGAGTCTGGTTATCATGTCATATACCGTGTTTGAATTCAGAGATTGTAGAAAATCAGAATTCAAGTCATAGTATTTATTCGAGGTCACAATGGAAAGAGCAATTATGGTGGTGGGCACGATGGGAAGAGGCATCGTGATGAAGGAGCAAGATTGTAATGGGAAGCTCCTTCCTCAACTCAGTTCGTCGTAGCTTTAACTTCTCAGATCTTCTGCTGCTACATAATTATCAATGGACGCCAACACAAGTTCATCACCTCCAGAGAAGTACGTTCAAATTCAATTTGCGAACAAAGTAGAGAAAGTTCTAGCTTCGAAGATTTCGTTGTCCACTAAGTAGCGCCCTATTGTGACATGAGTTGTTCCAAGCAGGAAGAATATCAATTGACCAGGTCTATTTTGGATTCGCCCATCATACTTCGCCTCGCCTATCTTCTCAACATCCAGAGCGATGGCGTATTCTATGTTACTTAAGTTCCGTTTTAAACCACGAGTGAGTCCTTTGCACCGCTTTCCATTTTTCTGAATTGATAACGTTATTGATTCGAAATTCATCTATAAAAGGATACAATCAGCATTTCAAGCTTTCCCTTAATGATCCTGCCTCTTTTGGTGATCCGGAGCCTTGTATAAACGAGCAACGTCGGGGTTGAAGATACTCAAAGCTACCAAGCTGCATTAGATCTGATACGCACCAGAAGCTCATGCTGCCTCTCGAGCTAATGAAATTCAATTAGATGTTTGCAACAAACTTCCTAAATCTCTGTTGATGACTTTCGGAACACACCGTGAAAACTTGGAAGAAATCTATAGCATTTCAGCTCTGACTTATCTGTTGGAAGATCCTCATTTTTAGTGACTAATCCTCTGTGGCTGGACCCGAAGTACTCGAGTGATTAGTGATCTAATCATTCCCTGCGTTCCACACCCTAATACCCAATGTGTGCATGTCGTCGCTTCAATGTGCTTTTTTCATCAACATTCGCTTTATTTACGACAGAACTTCCCCAGGGCATATTTTATAGTACTCCACTTCGGCCCTAAGAGCTGTCCAAGCAGCCAAGCTATACGGGGGTGAGTGGAGACGAGGGAAATTCCGCAAGGCTTCGGCAGAAGTAAACGAAGTCTCGGCTCCCTCAAGCTACCCCTGCTTTGACGTGGTGATTGAATTGCCATTTTGGGAGATTATGGCTGGGAATTCAACATTTCGGGACCGAAAGCTTGCTGGAAATTTCTTTTATCACATAGATTAGTAAAAAGAAACGAGATCGAGATTGATTCTAGTTTTTTAAGTTTGCGGACATAACGGTCATTAACCAATACGGAGATATCAGGAACCAGAGATCGGTATACTCCGCTTAAACGCATAATTTTCATAAATTATGATGGCACAGATGGGCACTGACTAGCTTCCAATGCACGGACTCAAAGCCGGGGAGATCATTGGTCTACCCCATCTTATCTTGTTCTAGTCAGGGGCTTCGTCCAATGTTGATTCAACCTTCTGTGAAGTCTCCTGCCTTGCACCTCACATACAACGAAATATGTATGGATATTCAGGGGATCAAGGTTGATTTTAAGGTTAAGTGCTTCGGTAAAACAAGGATGTTCAGCCTACCGAGTGACATTCCTCTCACGCAACCACATCTTAATTAGAGATGATACTGATTGCAGCCGATGTCAATTGACCTTCTGTATAGAGTTCCGAAGTTATATTTGGAGGGAGCCGTTCGTGAAACTTGTGGAGTGCCGATCTCGTCATCATTTATCAGCGATGGAGAGTTTTTAGAAATCATTGCGTTGTGATAAAACTGGCGGGTAAGCATCGGCATAGTGCCAGTGCACAGCAGAAATGGCGAGATCATTGCATTTGGTCACGATCAGCCTCGTTGGCAGATGTATCCATGTTTTCTTTTGTGGGAAACATATATAGGTGCTTCCCATCTTCTACGGTGTATCTTCATTTCAGAGCAGACCACGGGTTGTGGAGTCATTTTTCACTCAAATCATTCCTGCTTCAACTCGATCCAAAATGTATTTCTCAACTGCAGGAGCACTTGCCTTGAGCAGCGTCTTCGGCACTTCATTCGCCTGGGTGAACAATGTTCCAATCGATACTTCGACACTTGACGAACTTTACCACAAAGCCCTCGAAGAAGATAGAAAATTAGTCATAGCTTCAGGTGGTGATGGTTAGTAACTTCTCCGATGGCTAGCTTTGATCTCATCGTTTTTCTGTATGAATAAACATGTATTGACACAATTATAGCCGGAGTCCAAGGTCAAAGCATGCAAGCAGCTTGGGCTGCGCGATTCCCAAAAATTACTCTCGATCTTACTGTCGACCTCTCCAAATACCACGACAGTCGAATTGATCGAGCGTACTGGGCTAACAATGAAACCGTTGATATCGCCATGCTCCAAACTCTCAATGATTTCCAACGATGGAAGGAAGAGGGACGCTTACTGTTTTATAAGCCTCCGACTTTCGCTGATCTCTATTCGGGAGAGACGGATCTTGACGGTGCATTTTTGCCTGTTAACATTGGTTAGTATTTATTGCTTGATGAACTATGCTCGAGTATGTTGTATTGACTATTTCCTCCAGGCAGCTTCGGAACTTTCTCCTGGGACAGTACTTATGTCTCAGCATCCGACGCTCCAACCAGCTATGCTGACCTCCTAGACCCAAAATGGAAGGGCAAGATTGTGGCCACCTACCCCAATGATGACGATGCAATTGGATATCTTTTCTCCATCATCATCGAAAAGTACGGGTTTGAATGGCTCGATGCTCTTGCAGCACAAGACGTTCAATGGGTCCGCGGAACTGCCACCCCAGGGTTCGTCATGCGGGACAACCACAACAACGCCACCAAATCCGCATCTGGTTCTTCCCCTAAGGGAAGAGTTCTCTCATTCACCACTTATCCACCCTCAAACGAAACATACTTTCAAATGGCGCAACCAGCAGCCCCAGAGCAGCACATGGCATGGGCGCAAACAGCTGCGGCTTTTGCTTCTACCAAGAGACCTGCTACTGCTAAAGTTTTCTTGGCTTGGGTTACCAGTGATGAATGGCAAAAGGCTTCAACTTCTGGATCACCTAGAAAGAGCTTAGATATCGGTGGCACAGTTTATACGAGTAACACAACACAGACTAGTCAATTCAGACAGTTTATGCAAGATCGTAGAAGAGTTGAGTGGTGGAAGTTGCAGTACGAGACTACGTTGGGAACGGCTCAAGGAGTCAGTCCTTTGGCCTTATACCCATAGTTTCAGAGATCGGTTGGTCTAGAGGCTACAGGAGAGCTAGTGGAAGTAAGAACGAGGAGGTATGAACGGACGGGATTGTTTGTATAATGTGTGCTCCGTGTATTTTTCAAATTGTATATATTTTAATAGTGTAAAAGAATTCATGGGTTACCGTTGAGCTATTGCAAGAGTGCCTGCCACGAGTTCATTTGAAAACCTGCTCCTGCTAAACCAGACCCAAACAACAACTTCGCCGACATCATTCTCGTCAATGCTGCTTGAAGTGAATATCACAGGATATTTTATGTCTTAATTCTCCCTAGAGAAAGTGCCAGAAAAATACTTATTCAGCTGAGTCTGATGTTTATATCCAGTAAAGGACTTTGGAAAGTATCACTATAAGTACAGAGTGGCTTATCGATCCATGCGCCTGGAACGAGGTTCATTAAAGGAGGATCTTCGATGAGCGACCTGAATTTCCCAGCAAATTGATCTGTTGGTTCTGAGAACCAAAATTTCCAATCCTCAGCACGAGAACCGTAGCTGAATCCGATCAAACTTGAGAATCCTAACTCATAAGTGGGAACTGACTTCTCAGAGCGCCGAATATTCAAGGTGTCGACTCGGCTTATGCGACTCAAAGAAACCAATGACTTAAAATTGCTGCGCTTTTGCACCTTGAAAATAGTTCGTTCTTTGTTGCCATATTGTTCTAGATCAATACCAGAAGACTGCAATATCTTGATCCAGTCAAATATTTGCCGTTCCCTGTGGTTTATCCCTGTATGGAACACAGTGTCTTCCAAATTCTTCGGTAGAAGTGTAAGTCCACAATGGCCAGTCTCATGGAGAGAAACCTGTGCTGCTATCAAATCCCGTAGAAATTCTTCCCATGGTTGGTGTTCAGGAGTTGAATAAGAAGTACCCCTGGAAAATTCTTCTTTAAACTTATAATTCCTAAAGCTGGTGACCTCCAGACACAGGACCTGGAAAAATTCCTTTAGCGCTTCTTCATTGTAGTGCAGCCTGGCGTGAACCGATAATTTTGACCCGCCTAGTAACGATCTGATGCACTGATGGTTATCATGAATCTTCCTGCGTTTTAACATTCTTGCCGCAATGCTGCATTTTTCCGAGAATAGGGGCTCCTTCAAGAATGTGTGGTGCTGTATATAACTAAACATATCCTCAGGCATTTCTGTTTTCTCGAGAAAGTGACTGTTGCCAGAAAATTCTTCTTCCGCCCCTCCTCCAACAAGGATGTAAAGTACTTTCAAAGATTTCTTCCGGGTGTCGATTCTACCTTTCGAATATGGTGAAGAAATTAGATACTGCAAAGGGGTGGCACTAGCATTTTTGTTCAGCTATTGCGGAACATCTAGTCAAAGTGAACTTCGTAAGAGTCTTACCCTGTGCAATAATCTCCAGCTGAAACATCGGCATTTGCAGAAAGAAGTAACTTACATAGATTATGATGACAGTTATATGCTGCTATCTGTAGAATGTTAGAGCCGTTAAATAATCCAAAGATTCGGAGAATTTTTGAAGACTCACATGGAGAGGAGTTGCTCCTACCCACTCTTGCATAGTCTTGGGTTGAAAAAAGCGGGTACTGCAATAAAATCTGTCATTCACAAAACCTGTCCGCTCTCGTAGCATCCTTTGCACATTGAGGATATCACCACTAACGACACAATCAAAGAAAGGCGTATTCCCGTCCAAAGTGCGACATGCTTGAAGGTTGATATCCTATCTCAACGAGGATAAATCCTTAATGTACATACATTGCCAAGCCCTGCTGGATATCCAAGCCGGAGGGTGGTACACAGTTTCGGACTTCTGGAACGCCCCTTTGTGGTTTTTTTGATAGATTTTTGCCTTCCGATTAACCCAAAAGTGAAGGTGATCCAATTCGACGAATTCTATTGTTTCATAGTTTGGAACGGTTCTTGTTCATAAAAATCATTATCCACAGGGAGTCTAGTTTTGGCCTTCGTGGTGATATTAGCGGTTTGCGCTAGGACCGCGCTGTCCAGAGATGCTTTTGTACTAAACGTAGGCTGCGGAAGTTCTGAGTTCAAGAGGTGATTCTGCCAGTGTTGTAAGAAATGATCGAGTGACGCTTGTACATTTGAAGCGAGAGTTGAGGATTGTTTTTGTAAAACTGTACTACGACCTGTCAGTATAATATTAAGGATAGTTGCAGAAACTCACTTCATCTGCCAAGATATGGCTAAATGCATGGATCTGGTGGCATTTTTCATTCTCTTCTTCAATTTCTTTAATTGCTCCGCCTTCAATAGAACGTTGGCAGAGCCCATTGTGCGTTTCCATTTTCGATTGGAGTTGATATCTGTGGTCAGGGCGTTGACAAGCCCGTCTAATTTCAAAGAAGCATTCTGACATAGTTTTATACTTTGATCAAAGAATCCACCTGTAGGTTGACATGAAACTGTGAGCTGCGCTTGCTCCTTCAAGATACTGCGAAGGATGGTATGGTGACTTTCAATCTCGTGCACAAGGATAGCGATATCGTCGGGTGCGTCCTGAATTTGATCCCAGTAATTTTTGAGCTTGATGATGCTAGACGCAAGGTTTCCAGCCAACTGCGCGATACTGATCCCACTGGCAATAGTTCCCAGAACTTCGGCCACCGTTAGTGATTGTGCTGAAAAATCTATGTTCAATCTGTATGAAAAGGTCTGAAGAGCTGGAAGATTAGTTTTTAAAAGTGGGAGGGGAGGGGGGGATGGGATATACAAGTACCATTCTATTCATACTGCGCCATGTGAGGCAGTTTGAGGCTCGATAGTCGTACAAATGCAGTCAAGCGCACCAGACTCTTCTTTGCCACCACTATGTGCAAAGTGGCACTAATCAAATGATCGGAGAATGTATGATCGGAAGCTTGCATATTGATCAGGCAGTGTCGTGAGCCGTGCGACAGCCATATCGTCACGCATTACCAATCATTGTTCCAAAGAATAGGTTCTCATCGTTTGACGGGAGTGGAAACGGGAAGGCAGGTTTCTCATTTGATCCAATTGTTATTGCAGTACAAGAGCTTGTATTCCCAATAAGCAGTTATAAGCACTCTTTCGAGTCAACTGCCATGGTTTGAACTGCGCTGCGAGCTCAAATTATCTGCACTCAAACGAGGGGCACCAAGTCCAGTAAGGCTTTCACGAAGCCATAAAGTTACATTGCGAAAACGCCCAGAGCTTCCTTTCTGAAATCGTAAAGACCAGAAGGAAAAGGAGATTCTGGTAATGATGCGCGTCAGTGATGAACAAGATTCCTCGCTGAAGTGGTATGTTGTTGTGAGGACGGAAAATGGACCGTGGAAAACATCGGAGGATAAGGCATCTCAAGCACGGGCCACCGTATGATGGAACTTTCAGGCTACGAAGTGGCACATTAGAATGTAGCAAAATTTTCGTGTTGAACTAATTACATGAACCTTTGATTATTGGTGTAGATACCTTGCCTATCAGTACTGAAACTGTTCAATAACATCCTCCCTCCCTAAGAAGCCACATCTCTCCACTAACCTCTCTCCCACTATTCCGCTATTCCCTCCATCACTTCCGAGCTTGCTCATGCCCCCATTTCCACCTCCAATGACAAAGATCTCTCCCTCTCCTCCCCTGGTTGGCCACGCGGATGTCCACCCCGCCATCGATCCATTAATCTTCGACGGGTCCCCATATTTTCCAAGAGAAATCCACGACAACGGTAAACTCTTCGCTAACGCATAATCACTTTCAGTAGGCTCAAAAACATATCCTGGAAGGTCGAAATCCGTGACATTGAAGAGATCAATATTATTGAAAAGATACGCAAGCTCACTTGTGTGGATAACCCCAAATCCAGCATCACCCGTAGCATCGAGATAGGAGGTTAGGATTGTTTGATTTCCAACGTACAAATATGACGGTGGATTTGTAGTGTTGTATTTTTTAGCCATGGCTTGGCTAAAAAGAACAGTGGGGCAGGCGAGCAAGACATCGCGAAAGACCTGGGCGCAGCGATAGTACTCGGCACTTAAGTTTGCGCTGGGATCGGCTTGGAATTCGGATACAGGATACAGATCTAAGAGCTCATCAAATGTAGTCATATTGACACCTCTGTACAAGTTGGACAGGAAATCTCTTGTATCATTTGCGGTTTCAATGGTGATAGATGTGAAGAGTGTGGCGTCATCTTCCATCCATCCACCAATAATGGGTACTTTGGCAAATTTCCCTTGTGCGAGGAGTTTCGATGCTTTTTGAGGAAGGAAGTCTTGGTCGACAATCGGGAGATAGATATCTCCGTCATTGCTGTCAGCGCTATCGACTTCTTGGTTAATCATGAGATTCAAGAGAGTCTCCATGGAGAGTGATCGCAAGCAGGCAATCGTGGCCATGGATTGATAATCAGTAGTATTGCATCCAGCAAAAGCAGCAACTGCAGCGGTGGAATTGAAGCTGATGTTTGAAGACATAGTTGGCTCGAGTGCAGTACTTTCCATTACAGCTGCGTGAAAGGGTACAGGCTTCGAGCCTCCGTACGCGAGAATTTGTAAACCCACGCTCAAACCTCCTGAGGATTGTCCGAAGATTGTCACTTGATCTTTATCTCCCCCAAATATTTCAATGTTCCGTTGGATCCATTCAAGAGCCAATCTTTGATCCTTGAGACCCACATTGAGAGACTTGTTTGGTCTCAGAGCTTCAGAAGCTGCAAACCCGAAAATATTGAGACGGTAGTTCATTCCAACATAGATTACAGGCTGACCGCCTTCAACAGATGCATGGATAAGTCCATCAGGTGCAGTGGTCCTCTCATTGACAGTGCCGTCAATTAATGCACCTGCAATGGTTAGTGGATTCGACTAATGGAGATTCATAGACTTACTTACCTCCATAGATGTAAACCATGACTGGCAACTTTGAGCCATCCTTAGCCCAAGATGGTCTGGCAATATTCAGATTCAAGCAATCTTCTGAAATATTTGTGACGTTTGTTTGGAACAAGAAACCCGAGTCTGGAGGCTGAGGGCAATCAAAACCCGGGATCGTAGCATTGTAATGATAGCCGTGGAGAGGGACGAAAGCTCGAGGAGGGGCGAATCTGTTTTCACCACTTGTATCTAAACCGTATCGGATACCCCGGAAAGTTTCCACCCCTCTGCTAGAGGTAATTCCTGTGTACGAGACATTTGTCCTGTGGTCCAGAACATATGGTTTAGCGTTAACATGATCAGTCAGTACAAATGAGATCAATAAACATGTCGTCGACCGCAAAGACGAGAAGAGCATCTCGACTTCAAGTAAATTGAGGTAAGGATTAGGACGAATGATCTAGAAAAAATTTCGAGACTATCACGCCTTTTTTTTTTAATAGAAGTTGCATATCCGGTTATCCCATCTAAATCTATGGATCCCACTTTGATCATTGTGAGGCATTTGTTCTCGTAAATGAGATCTACAAACAGCGTCCGATTTGAGTTGGCACGTGTGGATCTCCTAGCTCCACTCAAAATCCCGGAAGACTGATCTCAAGTTCTCAGCCCTTTGACTTCTGATTCACTGAGGAATTAACTTTTAATGTCAGCGATATTCGAAAGCTACACCTGGGCAAGCATGAGTAAAAAGGTGTGGCTTTGCCAAGTGGTTTTTGAGAATTGTCCATCAAGATTACGTCATGAATGATTTTCCAATCGTCAATTCTCTCCATGCTAAACCACTCCGGCTAAACCCACTGACGGTGCGTCCAGGGGAATCAATCCATCTCTTCGGGTACGGTCAGAAATTTTTCGAAAATGCCGATTTCGCATAGCCCCTGGCTGGAAATTGATTGATGCAGATAAGATCGCAAGCATGTTGCTTGCTATCTTATCTGATTGAATGTCACTGCTGTCACTATCCACTGCCTATCCCAAAAGGAGGTAACCATAGTTTGAGGTACTTCTTCTTGAGTCTCGACTCATCGATTCTGGAACGGAGAGTCGCATACTGTATGAACTCGCTGACTTCATATCAAAATGGCCCTCCTGAAAAAATGTATGTTGTCCCTTATACCTTAATTCCGTGTGAAGGAATCAATAAAGTTGATGGAAAATAGATCAATTGCGATGTGGCTTGACAATCGTAGACTCAAAAATTTAACCATGGTGAGGAAAGTGGTATAGGAAGTTGTTGATTTGATATAGTAGGTGATGATCTGCTCGAAGACACAGAGATTCCCAAGAATTGACTTCTGTACAATTTGGAGAGGCTCTCGCTGGATATCTACGCTTTTGATTGAAGAACGGCTAGACAGAAAGTGTCAATGCCCCACTTTCTGACACATGCTTTCTCTTCTCCGAAATTGCTCCAGAAATATCCCAACGCGTGGTGGTCGGCGGAAGGGCTCGGAGGAAACCCGCCTCTGTAAACTGGGCGGACACGGTAGACTTTGTTGCGAAAAGGGAATAACCCGAAACACTTTTCCCGAGTGCATAGTAAGCTTCGGCATGGAAGAGTCTTCGGCATGTAAAATACTAGCACATCTTGGCGGGCACGAGCATTTTTGAAGCCGATTTGAATGGATGTTGGTGTTTTGTGGTGAATACTGCTGAACACGAAGTTACAGATAACCATGATGATATATTCGCATAGAGAGTGATCGAAAGCTAGGCTTTTGAACGTCTCCGGCGGACCGGCGGAGACTTGAAAGGCTGATATGTTCAAATGATGTTGTAAATGTTTTGCACTGCTTAGACATCAAGCCATGTAGGTAAGGCTCCACCATAGCTTCTTGGCGGGATTTCGGCCGCCGCTCGCCGTGATCGTCACAAATCTTGATGCTCATTGATCAATTGACCATATAATTTTTCTCGATTTATCAGCGATGTGAGACTTGTAGGTGAATTTGATGGATTCAAACTGGATGTTTTGATGATGTTTACCTACCTACATCAATGCCGTGAATGGAATTGGGTCCGTCGATTTATAATCATGACTTTGTCAGGATAATTGGTTCGACAATCGAGCTTGATGAAGTATAAATATGTCGACAAAGATGGCTTCTCTGGAGATATATACAGATAAATTCTGAATTCCAAGTCCTTTTCAGCTTCAATCCTACAGATTTCTCCAATCTCTTTCTCCACACTTCCACAAGTCGTCATCATGGCCAAAACTATCGTCGTTCTAGGAGCAACTGGCATACAGGTATCCTATCTTTCACCTTCACACTACGAGTGGCTGATACTTACATTTATCATAGGGTGGTGCTGTAGCTGCCAAATTTCTCTCACTAGGGTGGAAAGTCCGAGGGATCACTCGAAATACCTCATCGCCATCAGCCCAAGCTCTCTCAAATCAAGGCGTAGAGGTTGTCAGTGCCGAGCAAGATGACCCAGCCTCACTTATCCCAGCTTTCTCTGGCGCAGAAGCAATCTTCGCTGTCACAAATTTCTGGGAACCGTTCTACAAAAAGTATGAAGAGCTTTCCAGGCAGGGAGATCGGGTCACTGGTGAATACGCTGCTGCCATTGAGATTCGTCGAGGCAAAGCAATTGTCGACGCCGCGGCCAAAATTTTGCACGAAGAAGGGAAACTTGAGAGATTTATTTGGAGTACCCTGCCCCCTTTCAAGAAGTTGAGTAAAGGAAAATATACCTATGTGTACCATTTTGATGCAAAAGCGGAGGTTGCGACGTATTTGCAGAAAGAGCAGAAGGATTTGTGGGAGAAGAGCAGTTTGCTGAATATGGGCATTTATACAACAAATGTGAAAGAATATGGGGACTCCTTCGGATTAAAAAAAAGGTATGACGTCATATTTCCTGGCTGAGAACTCGTGGAACTGATACGCCTACGAAGGATGATGGTTCGGGTGAATATGTTTACCACAATGCCAGTCCAAATGAAGCGGAACATCCATTTGTTGTACCGACTGATGCAGGTGCTTTCGTGGAATTGTTGGTTCGAAGTCCTCCAAAGCAAGACTTATTGGGAGTTAGCGAAGCAGCAAGTCTCGTTACCTTTTTCGAGATCTGGGAACAGGTAACTGGGAACAAAGTCACTTGCGAAGAAGTGACTGTCGAAGCCCACGATAGGGCTCGCCCAGGAGGACTTGGAAGAGAAGCAGCAGAGTCCATGGCTGCTAGTGCGGAATTTGGATGGGGAGACCTCGTCTTGCCTAAAGATGTAAGTTCTATCCCATGCGATATGAGAAAAATGTTTGAACTGACGTGTTCAGCTTGATTCCAATGTCAAATTCACCAGTATAAAAGAGTACATGGAAAAGGCAGACTGGAGTGGATATAGATAAATCTATCTAAAGAGATATGAAGTATTTTTCGAAGCTGTAAATCACTGGACTGGTCTATCTAGAATAATGGAGATACCGGATTAAGATAACTTCTTGTATGACCTCAATAATAGATAGACAATGGCAAAAAAACTTATTAGGCACTCCAACAATCCATGACTAAAGAAGTTGGTGTAAAAATTGTGAGACTCGGGTTCCATCACCTCAGTGAGGTGAAGTTTGCATAGTTGATACCCACAAAAGCAGCGGTAGATTACAACACTGGCTTTGATGTTACACTGCATGCCAAAGTAGCAAGGATTGATTTGAGTTTGATGAATTTGTAACTCCACCCACAGTCCTTACATCCCAAAATTCAAATCAAGTCGAGATTATCGCTATGGGCAGCCAGTCAGGAGAGAGAGTTTGACCCAAAAGATTGTTGCCGGATACCAGTAGGCATCCAATGGAAAATTTTGTTCCATTAGACATTCGTTCGTCGGCATCTTTGCTTTTATGTGGATATCAATAGAGCATAAGAATGACATTTCAAAAAGTTACTGGTTAAACACTCAGGTGATAATAGTAAGAACAACACTGTATTTTCGATTTGATCCGAAAATTATGATGATAAGACGTCAATTTGAAGAAATCAAAGCAACCTGGCGTCGGCACGAGTGGGTTCTGAATTAGTAAATTCATCGTTCAATTTCGATCAAAATATTATCGGAAAGAGATGTGTTGCGAAGCAGAAGAAGCAAATTTCAAGGCAAAACCAAATCAAATAATAAATGGCAGACCGAGTTGGTCCATAACGAAAGCCGCACGATTGGATCTCGAGAGTAGATTTCTAAGGCCGCGGAGACAGAAAGAGAGATAGAAGGGGCAAGAAAAGTCTCCAGCCAGAACTGAAAGCGTCAGAACGCACATTTTGTGATGCCAACAGGCAAAACAAGAAGAAGCAGAGGAAAACAGAAAAGTAGGAGATCTCGCGGAGAGGTGGATTTGACATATGGACATCGAAAGAAGTGCTCATATATAGATAATCAATATCGCAATGTAATGAAGATACCTGTTTCGAACTTTTGATCAATCCTGCACATGAGACTGGAATTGAACTCGGATCTGAATGGAAAGGATGTACCAAAGATCCTACAGAGTAGATGGCATATTATGGCTTTCGCACATATATAAAACCGTATTTGATACTGCTTCACCATTTAATAGACGTCGAAAGCTTGTGAAACGATTTATATGATTGTATGTTGTCCTTCCGCGTAGACTCTATCAATGTTAAAATCTCCACCGAGAGAAAGGATTTCAATGTCCTTTTCAAACACGCCACTTTGAAGACTTCTTCATCTCATGATTAGGCAATACTGGCAACAATTCCTGCAATGCGTTGAGTTGACTCTCAAAATGGTTTCAATTGATAATGGAGGTGAAAATTCAGGATGAACGTGGGATGAAGAAAGCAAAATTTCTATGACACATCTTCATTTGTTACTTCCTTCCTTCCTATTTCGCCATTTGATTACATAATCACCTCGCCCACAATGCATCTCAATGAACAAAACCACTGATGTCTACAAATATGCTTTGATCTTCTTGATATCATTATCTTCTAGTCTATCTCAAAAAACGCGCACTCGCCGTCATTATCACGGTTTCCTGACTCCATTTACATGTCCATATCACGAGATTTACGTTCCTTGATCTCGCAGACCTCAATCATGCTTTCAGAAACATATGGGAATACAAAATCTCAACCATCTTCAGATCAACTGTGCATATGGTTTGTCAGTCGGAAGATTGAAGCCAATCATATCAAGCTCTATTGCTATCTTTAAGAAACATCATCACATCTAGCACAATGCTTAAGATGAAAATCTTCACCCTTTCTCCTTCATCCTTCGCAGCGAATTGAGTGATTCGCGTCGATAAGACAACAGGCAGTCCCTATCTATGTGAGCCTCGACAGATGAGAGCACCCTAGCAGTGTACTATCTATGAAAAGCCAATCGTAAGCAGATTGCAGCATGAGAATGAGGAAGGTCGCGACAGTGACGTCCTCGGAAAATGAGGATCTGATGCAGCCCTGCCTTTCTGATGATGGAATTCGAGCTCAATCTGGGGTGGGATCGGATGAGATGGCGAAATCAAGACGTCACGATATTAGATGCTGCGCAATAAAGACTATCAAGTGGTGTTCTCATACCTCGGTTTCTCTTTGGATACAAGCATTGTAGTGTTTATTCATTACTCAATTGAAATGCTTATCGGTATCGATATCTTTGAATTCGATATTCATACTTTCAAAGATAGTTCCGCTGGTTCTATCGTCTCAGGGCTCCTTATCGGTCCCAAACGCTGTGACCATTAGCAAGCATGCTCCCCAGATTCCTTATCTCAACATCCCGAACTCCCATCTCAACATGGCTCGCATGTCACTGCATGGCTTGTGTTGTCTCCGTCGCGTAGGACATCAATGATGCTAAGTATGCAGGAATGAAGTCGTTCATACTGCATAGCAAGGCTCAATGATGGGATTATTTCACGGCATTAAGCCTTGGATTCATAGGTTATAGTTTTCTTATCTCGGATTTGGAGGAGCTCGGGACATAATTTAAAAGAATTTCATACCCCATTTTTTTAGGATCCCTTAGACTTACGTTCGCAACAATTCTGCAACACATTATTCAAAATTGAATTATTATTTTTTGGAACTATCAACACAATTAAAAGATTTTGATAACGTCTTGCGTGGCTGCGCTTCCCCATGTCTGAGGAAACAGGCAAGTCCTCTGAAAAGGGGAAACGCGATGGCAGCAACACCTCATCCATATCACGATCTGAACAGATCGCAAAAGCCGCCGAAATGCTGGGTGTAGAGAAAGGTGAGACGATATCTGCCGATGACGAGTTATTGGCATCCCTGGGATATCGAGCTGAATTAAAACGCGAATTCTCATACACCACTGTGTTCGGACAAAGTTTTGGCTCTATGGGAATCGCTCCAGCAATTGCCGAGAGTATGATTTTCAGCTTAGGCAGTGCCGGGAGTGTGGGAATGGTGTGGACGTATCTGGTTGGATGTCTGTTGCTTATTCCAGTAGCATTGAGCCTGGGGGAATTAGGAAGCAGCATGCCTACTTCTGGAGGATTGTATTATGCAAGTCTTTAATACCTGAAAATCATTGATTGACTCATGAATATTAACACTTGACAGTGGGTTGCACGTCTCACACCACCACGGCAGAGGGCTTTCATGTGCTGGCTTGCGTACGTTCCTTCATCCGTAACCATTTCCACACAAAACTCTAACTGTGTCTTTTTAGGGGGTACATGAACGTCTTAGGGTATATCTCGATATACGCATCGACAATTTATGCAGCGACTCTTATTCTTGGCGCGATCTGTAGTATCAATACAGATTCTGCTTTTGTCGCTACAAAATATCAAAATTACGGCATGTTCGCAGCAACCACCTTCCTGACCTTTGCAATGACTTGCGTGCCGTCACAAATCCTCTCTCGTCTTAATATGTTTTACATATTCTTACAATTTGCCATGCTTTTTGCTCTGATTGTTGCCCTCGCCGCTGGAACACCCTCAGAACTTAAAAACTCTGCGAGTTTTGTCTTTACAGATTTCGAAAACACCGGGTTTTGGACAAATAATGGTTGGGCCTTCATGCTCTCATTTCTTACCCCAGTATGGGTTGTCTCCGGATTTGAAAGTGCAGCGACCATAGCGGAAGAGGCCAGTAATGCCGCCAAAGCAGTGCCATTCGCAATGGTCTCTTCATTGATTACAGCTGCAGTGACGGGATGGGCGGTTATTATAACGATTGCATTCTGTATGGGGACGGACGTGATAGGCATAGTGACGTCACCATTGGGTCAGCCTCTGGCACAGATTGCATTCAATAGTTTGGGAAAGAATGGAAGTGTTGCCTTGTTGGTTTTCCTGTGGCTTTCCAGTGTGGCCAATTGTTCGATCCTGATGGTTGCGGCTTCGAGAGAGACTTTTGCTTTTGCTAGAGGTTAGTGACACCACTTCGTTGCTGGCCGATAAACAATATTTTCATATGACAGAGGAAAGTTAACACAATTTTAAACAGACCACGGCCTCCCATTTTCATCCTACCTCCGTGTTCTCTCATCCAACAAAATTCCAATCCGTGCCATCTCCTTCGTCGCTCTTTGCACACTCACCGAAGGTCTTCTCATGCTCGTCAACACCATCGCCATAAACAGCATCTTCAACCTTGCAATTATGGGCCTCTACTTCGCTTACTGTATGCCTCTCGTATCCCGTCTTCTTTTCGGCAATTTCACACCTGGGGTTTGGTACATGGGCGATAAGATTAGTTATATCAGTGCAGTCTACTCGGTTATCTGGATGACTTTCATCTTTGTATTGTTATTATTCCCCAGCTATGAAGATCCAACGGCGGATGAAATGAATTATGCGGTTGTGGTGTTGGGATTTGTACTGATTTTTTGTACCGCGTATTATTGGTGTCCGAAATATGGAGGGAGGACGTTTTTCAAGGGACCAGTCAGAACGATTGATGAGGTCTTGGAGGAGAGAGGTGATGTTAGGGAGAGAGTGGTGGATGAAATTGGCGGGAATGGGACAAAGCGTGAGGATGGAAGTAGTGGTTAGAATTGGGTTGTTTTCATTCTTCGGCGTCAGCGTAGTGATGAGAAAGTTGCTTGTTTCTTCATAGAGCTTTTGTAGATCAAGATTTTCGTGGTGTATCTTCTGGGTTAGTTGATACACATTGACAATGTTACTTAATTCATCAATTGGTGGTAACTCATAAACGGTCTTCAATTATTTCAATCTATCATTCAGAGTCTTGAATTTCATCTTCCTCCTAATTCATGTGGTTCTCAAATAATTGTAAAAATTAATTTGGTAAGTTCTTAATCGAAAATTATTGCGAGTCGCTTCATTGATGATGTTTTTATAATAGATCCCGAGATACAAGAGTGATATCATCGGGAGTCATTTTTGAAAATTTCCAATAGCTATCTAAAATTCATATCAATGCGAACATGAATCAATCAAGTTGAGTGAGTCTTATGGTGATATTTTGTGAAGCCTTTACGTGGATTTCTGTGTGAGGTATCGAGGTACCTCGGTGATAATTATCAATAACGTCATATTAATACTAGCTACCAGCAACATATCTAGCTGTCCATAAGTCTGCCTGTGCATAAATGCACAGCCTCTGCCAAATCAAACATCTGCTTCATTCAGAAACCCATTCCAATACACGGAACGTATGAAGACGGACCTGATTTTACAAAATCAAATTGCCCAGAAGAACCCCCGATTCTCCCTCACCCTCACTCCGCTGACCATCTCGAACTATTGAACCTGCTCGCCACGGTGACTCCATCATTCCCCGCCTCGGAAATCCTGCCAGTGTGATTCCGTCTCTTTTCGTCATCGTTGCTCGCATTGAAATCCTGAATACTTTCTTCAACAAATCCACCATCGCATCTCTTCTTGCTTCTATCGACCTTGGAATAATTTTCTGGTTCCTGAAACCATAAGTTCCACGATCCTCCAACTATATCGTCTTCGAAAAGACCATTTCCCGCGAAGTGAAAGTAATCATTTGATCCTGTCGCTTTCTCCTTTTCATCGTCCAGTGGGAACATGTTCAATCTTGGTATATGACAGTCAGGAAATTGTCGCTTTTCCTTCTCGAAGGAGAATTGGAAGAATTTGGCTACGCTTTTCGTAGAAGCTACTGGCATACCGTCTTGGAAGTCGCTTTCTACTCCTGTGATTGTGACTAATTCCAACGCATGGAATTGTACCATGCCACTCCAGCATGTGGGCAAAAGGCCTTTGGATGTGGCTCCAGGTCCATTCTCGAGCATGATCATAGGAAGATACAATGATTTCACCACTTTTAGAATATTTGGTGCGCACTCTGCTAAGTCCCTCAGGTCGAGAGACAACTTCTGGTGATTGCGCGCACCTCTCTGACGGACCCAACTCCTATCTTTCCCCGGTCGTGTTGGATAGTATACTTCCAACGCCATTGTATCAAGATCCGAATTGAAGTACAACGGATCGCGGAATAGCGCCGGATTCTGAATTAGATCCTTGTATTGAGAAAGAGTTTCGTTCCTACTTTCTTGATTTACCCAAAGGGTTGTGGGCATGGTTGCTTGTACTGAGTCTAAAGTGATTTTTAGTCCTCTTGAGATGAAAGAACGATAGTGGCAAGATTGATTTGCAGTATGAACGTGTAGAGTGACGGTCCGCCCTTGGAAAGCTGATTGCTATATTTGGTTGCGGATCTCTAAGGGAAGTCGAGAGAAACATGTGAAAGACAACTCTTTCGTAGGTTTAGCCACCTGCGTTATTGCTGTGAGTCTCTTGGGTAGCACTGTAAAGTAATATTAGCTTGACACATAGAAAAGTGAATAGCTGCGATTGTGACAAAGTCTGGCCTGATGAATTTTGAAGAATACAGAACTAGCATTTCCTAGCTCTTATCATTGAACCGTTACAATAACTTCCATCAACCCTCTGTATTGTGCGTATCGATTATCCTTCCACTCTCTTTACTGACTCTTCAAACTCTGTAGGAATTCATGGAGTTTAGGTATGGTAACTGAACGACCAAGGTTGAGTCTCATACTTACAAGAATGCTTTATGCTGCAGAAAAAGAACCCTAGCATCGATCCTAGCATCAGGAAGAGGATTTTTAAGGACCAATTCTGTTTCTGGGGACTATATGCGTCGTGAATTCCAGAGCATTGGACCATTTTGAATGACAGATTTGGTGATTTGTTGTCGGTCTCAGGTGGAAAAATGGGTATGCAGTTTTGTGTTTTGTTAAGTTGAGGTTGCAAATTATTATGTAGAAGAGTCGCTATTTCGTGGATAGAATGGCAATAGCAATGGATGAGTAGGCTCATAGTACTTATATAGACTGCGGAGAAGTTCGGAATGAAGGTGAAATAGTGCCGTATTCACGACTCGGTGATCGTGAGACCGTACAATTTATGAATGCAGTGTATACCGTATTTGATGATTCGTAAGAAGATGCGTATTCTTGTATGATATGCGATAGTATGTTGAAGAAGATATCAACCGAGAAGAAGCCTTGGGAGGTAACAGATGTGCCTGACTAATCCACCGTAGCGAATGAATATCTTGAATATTCCTAAGGTATCTGGTGCCATAGACTCTGTAGCGTAAATCAAACCTTAAGAAACAAGAGATACAACGCGAGCGTGTGGGTGAACAATAGGGTAGCAGTATTGCAATCCTGAAGGTAAGAGTCAAAATTGACACTTGAAAACGGTCAAGTTGAGTTACATGTGATAATTCGCATAACAATCCTTATTTAAGTTCTGTTGATCTTCCACGGCGGCGATCATAATACGACGATGATACATTGTGGTCATCTCTCTGTGTGATCCGCCAATTATCATCTTCGAAATTCTCCATTGATTTGATGGCCTTCCAGACGGGTTCTCGCACGACCCAACTACCATCTTTCGAGATTTTGTTGAGGACCATTGTCTCATTGACATTAGGCGACTGGACTACGATGGTTTTCAAGTTATGAAATTCGTGCATTAAATCGGGCCAAAGCACAAATAGACTGCCATAACATCTGGATGTTTCGCAGAGAGCTTCTTCTCGAGATACGTGAAAATGCTCCATCCTGTACATATTTGGTGAGTATAGCGAAATTTCGGCCAAAGTGTGGAAGTTAAAGCATAAGCAATGAGTAGGCAATGCACTCCATCTTCTAAATCTGTTTTTGTAGACTACGTGAATGGCGAGCTTATCAAGCTTTGGATTGAAATATACTGGGTCGCGGAACAATCCAGGGTTCCGAATCAAGTCTGTGTAGTGCAGAAGCGTTTCATATCGGCTTTCCCTGTTGATGCTAAGAGTCACTGGCATAACCGCGTGGACTGATGATATGGCCGGCTTATATTCGCGAGAGTCGTCGGTCCAGCTGTTATGGGCGGTTATGGTGACTACACGAGATTCGAAGCAGTAGTGCCAAATCATTAGACGAATTTCGTAGGGAAGGTTTGTAAAGCAGATGGACTCCGAGTCGACTGGCTCTGCTACAAAGCGCTTGGAATAACCTACAATGTCTGTCAGAGATTACTCACGTGCATATGTCTAGAGTTTTGACACAAGCATTTGCCCCCAGTGTTACAGGAAAGCAACTGGATTGGACTGATACTTACATCGCTCATAAATCCTGCGAGGGGAAAGTTTTGCAAGAGCCTTAGAGATGACAACTCTTTTTTTTGGCTTCATGCCACCAGGAATATGCGAATATTGCACCATATCTTCAACGTAAATAGAATTATGAAGATGTTTTTGAGGCAATCGATGATAGCTACAGAAGTCCAATGAACTAATTAATCACTTCTGAACTGTGTGGAAGTGATTTCGGCGGAGAGAGAGGTTCTTTAAATGACAATTTGATATAAAAGTAGATTAATGTACGATACTTGGTCAATGAGTGAGAGAAGACAGATTCGTCACTAACAGAGAATAGATGAAGAAGAAATTATGGGAATCAGTCTCAATTTAAAGTTACATGGCGCGTTTGATTAAGTGCTTTTGCTCTACGATGCCAAAATGCTGTCGGTCTACTTAGCGGGTGAGGTATGACAAAGTAGCTTCAAAGGTTCTTTAGTTAGTCTGATTACTTTGGGAAATTTTGACAGTACAAGAAACCTAGTCAAAGATAATTGGGTCTAGTTTCTGTCAATCACTCGAATCAATTATTGATCAGCAGCGATCGTCGACCATTGCCTTGGCTGACAAGTGTCATCTTTTCTCTCTCTCCTGTTTTCCGGGTAGTGAAGGTTTCTAGTTCACTAACGACACCTGGTGAAGCATTAAATTCTATTTCGGGTCTTCCTATATCAAGAATTGTCAGTTTTATCAATTTTTCGAGGTACGTAAAACCAGAGAGCTCTTTCCCAAAAATGCGGGCAAAACGAGAGAATCACACTTGTAGCGAATAAATTTCCAGATTTTAAATGAGTTCACATGATAAATAGCTGCAAGTATCACTTTTATGTCATGATATCATATCAATATGTCTTTGTAGTAATCGCCGTTTTACCTATGAACTTGTTTATGTACAGATATACACCCCTTTTTCATGCTTACTCCTATTCTTTTTCAGAAATCCGACTCAAACCACTTGACCCAACATGAATCGCACCTACGACAGCGGTAATACTTTGTATCGATATCTTCATATCTTCCCTCCCCCATTATCTCAGAGAAATTATCACTACTGTAAGGTAAGTGGCCCACATGATCTAGAAAAATTCGAATTCTTGGCATAACGCAAGCAGGATGCGTCCGCTTTATGATCTCAAAGTGACTTTGAAGAAATTTCTCATGCTGTAAATAGTAGACTGTGTTGTCGAGAAACTCTAACACGACAATCTCCTTCAATCCATCATAACCCCAACCTTCATTCCATGCCAACTGCATTCTCGTATCCCAAAATCGATCTTGACTCCAGCATGCTCTCGACATAGTGATGCGTCGAACGAATTTTGGAATTTCTTTATAGACAGAGCCCATATAACCCAGAATATATATAATGTCTTTGACGAAATAAGTGACTTCGGTCCATCTTTTCTTCGGGTCTGCATCACGAGCAACCTTCATTGCTCTGATTGCGAAGGAATCAAGAGTAGGATGAAAGCATATGGGCCTAAAATTTTCGGGGACTAGATCTCTGTACCACAAAAGTGCTTCAGCTCGACTTTCTCGGCAAACTCTCAAAGCGATCGGGACGCTCATGTGTGCTCCAACAATTTTCATCTTTTCAATATCAGTGTTCATTTTAACATGAACTTCCACAAGGACAATGCGAGTTTTAAATGTTGCTCTCCAGATCTTAGATGGAATCTCCTTTGGAAAATTGTGATAATACTTAAATTCGATCAATCCAAACTTTTTTTTCTTGTCGTTTTTGGTCCCGAGGAAAGGTCTCTGTCTCATGGAGGGGATATTTTGGGTTCCCGAATCGCTAGTACAAGTCTGTGTAGAAAACATAAAGGTAAACTGGTTTCACTATACAAAGTCATTGTTAAAAAGTGTCTGTGATAGGGAGCAGAAGGATTTTACTTACAGAAGTTTTTCAATTTAATGTAAGAGATCTTTGGCAGGTTGGCTACCTTCCTTACTTTGCCAGATCTTGTCTCCTTTTCCACGCGTGCTTTTGACCTGCGCTTAGGTACATTGAAGGTCCGCTTATCCTGTGTTGACTTCTTTCCATTCTTATTCTTTCTCTTCTCAGATTCCTTCTTGTCAACCTTCTTCTCGGATGGTCTATTTCTTGCTTGGACTCCTGTAAGGGCAGGCTTTCGCTGCTCCTTGTCTTTTGCTCTGTTGGGCAGATGTGAGGTCGTTACACCTTGTTTGACTGTGGAAAAGTAACAGTTGAGCAGTGATCATGTAGTTTCGAAAGAATGACTTACATTTCTGCTTGATACTGGCTATAGTGAGCGAGGAGGTCCTGGAGAGGGCCACAAAAACTTTCCGAAATCCCAGGGACTTGGCAGGCCGAGATTCGATGTCGTCTTTTGACATGTTGGAGATGTGAGAGTCTATTTGCTGAAGAGTTTGATGTTTATCCTTGCATTGGGGAGTATTTGAGATTCAACCCTCTAGAATATTTTGAGTTTCTTGATAGTAATTTTGGTCGACTTCAGATCAAAAGATGGTCTGGTAAATGATCTTGAAGGACAAGAGAGTTTAATTATTCACTGGAGATGATGGATTCGATGATGCAAAAACGTGGATTCACTGTTTCTGCTGTATCCTGATGCTCTCCACAGCTTCTATCACTCAATGATATTTTCTAAATGGGCTCGAATACCTATAATCCTCTGTATATGCAGTTTGCATCAATCTTACACATTTTTTGACACTGCCAGCTCACTCTATGAGATCTCTAAGAATCTAAATATCAATGGTTTCACATTTGCAGCCCCTAATTCAGAAATTCACATTTAGAATTGAAGCAAACTTGGCCGAAGACCTTAATGTTTCATAACGTCTTAATTTCCGGTCTTTGACTCCCAGAATATATTTCTGGATGATGTCCCTAAGTGGTGGGAGCATGTGCCATTCACTTCCTTTTCTCCAGACAAGACTGAATGTACCACACACATACCGCAAGAAGAGAAGCTAGAGGATAACCAGCAAACTTGAGTGAATTAAGAGCTGTGGCTTGTTTATTTTACAATTAGATAAGAGTTGGATGACATGTTATTAGTCTGCTCTAATATTTCCAATTCATGTAAAAAATGCGTCAAATCTCTCAACCAGTACTTGAGTTTCTCATCGAATTTGCACAGAAATACTTGTCCAATCAAAAAAGATACTAGTCCTACTACACTCAGCTTTACTTCCACCTCAATTCTGATTCACCATACTTACCATTATTTCGAAATAAAAGATAAGAGAATTAGAAAAATCAATGCGAGGTTGAAATGTTACGAAGTAACAAAGGGCAGATCTTGATTCGAAGATCTTTTAAGACGAACTACTGAGAGGTTTCATATGAAACCCTTAAGTAAATTGATAGCTTTCGAAATATTCAGCCATCAACAATCCCAACTTAACGATTCCACAAATCTTCCAAAACCTTGCGGTCAACATCTATCATGTCGACCCCTCTCAATCAAACTTTCTCCGATCACAAGATTACAGCTAATGAGTTGAATTCAAGAATTTCTGCTGTTCCAAAAAATGTTGATCCAGTTCCACCAAACACCATTCAGCTCTTTCTACAAAAAGCCCTAGAAAGCTCTATCAATACAGGAGAGATCCCAGCCAGCCTCTTTCCACCAATTGCAGAGAAGGATCACAATATTACTTCACACAATGACCCAGTCTCATGGCCACGTCTCAACTCAAATGCCAGAAACAATATCCTTCTCTATCCAGGCTCTTTCAATCCACCCCACCAAGGTCATCTAGCCACGATCCGCTATTTTGCGGAGCGTCGTGAGCAACTCGGTATTACCACTATGTTTCTCTTCGTTGATCCTGGCTCGATTGTCACAAGCAAAAAGAAGAAATGGGGTGAAGTTATACTTCCAAAAAACCTCCGCTATGAGCTTTTCTACAAAGTCCCCGAAATTTCTCAACTCGTTGCATCAGGATGGCTTCAGCTGCTGGTGGGAGATATGGATAATCACATCAAAGTCCTACGGGCGACAACCGATTTGGTTTCGGAAGTTGGGTATGCAGTTAAGTTGGTAGGACTGTTGGGTGGGGATAAGTTGACGGTAGAAAGCGCGCCACATGTACATCCGGGAAGCTTGCAGGAATGGGGTCCGGTGGATGAATTTCTTATCATCAACGCAAGAAGACCGGTCGATTTCTTTGATCCGAAGACAGATAAGATTCCAAGAGATCTGCCAGGTTGTACAAAGTGGAAGAGAGGTACGGAGAAGGGTGATGAGGAAGGGGGAACCATCGACGATGAGGTCGGTGTTCTGTGGACATGTCAGGCCTTGACCGTCCCTGGAAATCCGATCATACAATTCCGTGCCTCACAACATAGTGCGTCAAATGGTGTTAGTTCAACTAAGATTCGACAGATTATGACCGAGACAGTCGATGAAAAACTTATGGAGGGACTAAAGGATAAAGTCATTAGTGCTGAGTTTTTGGTTGATTGGTTGGTTCTTCAGCGTAATCAGTCGCGTAAGGTCTCCGATGAGAAAGCATTTCTTTAATTATCTTGCCAGGGCGAATGGTGGCACCCTTACACTGGGTCTCTACTTGTGTTGTCTCCAAATTCGGTCTTCCACCGTCAAGCATGGTTTGAGCCTATGGAATTAGCGCAGTGACGCGATTAAATTGGGCCATAGCTGTCTTCAGTCTCGATCTCTTAAAGCTTCTTTAGACAATGTTATTTTCTCTCACTCATGCCGCATTTTACGTGAACCACAGATCTCTTCGTTGCCTTCATCATTTCGATGTGACTAAAAAATTCTTATGACTATGTAATACCTTTACATTAAGTCAACTACCCCACTTTCCGACCACCCCCTCTTTTCGACCACCTCGAAAACCACACCGCTTTGAGTAATTATAAAATTTACACTTTGAATAACTCAACGATGCTTTAATCAATTAATTTGAAATTTTGATATTATCATAATTGTGATATGAAGAATAGATATACCAAAGAAGATATCGCAGAGGCTCTTAGAGCGATTACAAATGGAGCAAGTATACAAAGAGCTAGCTTGGATTATGGTGTTCCACATACCACACTTCACAATCGAATATATAATGGAGTTTCACATCAAAAAGGTGCCCAAATACTTCAAAAGTTATCTCCAATTCAGGAGAATCAACTAGTAGAATGGATATTAGTATAGGAAGCTCTTAGTACTAGCCCTATACATCATCAAATCAGAGAGATGGCAGAGCACCTCCTTATTGTACAAGAAGAGGATCCCTCACTTGGAAAGAAATGGATACATAGCTTTTTTCAAAGGCATCCTAATATTGGAACTAAGAAGCAATATCAAATCGATTCTGCACGAGTTTCAGGTGCTACATCTGATATTATTAAGAAGTGGTTCCGGAACCTCGCAATCCCTGAAATCAAGGCTATTAAGCCGGCCAATAGATGGAATATGGATGAAGCAGGTATAATGAAGGGTCAGGGTCTTAATGAACTAGTAGTAGGAAGCACTGATCGAAGATTTATTCAAAAAAAGCAATCTGGATCTCGAATTTGGACCTCTTTTATAGAATGCATTTCAGCCAATGGAAAAAGCATTACTCCCCTTGTAATATATAAGGGAAAATCAGTTCAACAACAATGGTTTCCAACCGATTTGACTCTATTTAAGGGTTGGAACTTTACCGCTACAGAAAATGGATGGACTACAGATGCTACAGCTTTAGAATGGCTGAAAAAGATCTATATCCCTCAAACTACCCCTATTCAGCCGGAAAATTCAAGACTCCTCATTTTGGACGGACACGGAAGCCATGAAACTACAGCATTTATGTTAGAATGCTTCAATAACAACATATATCTCTTATTTCTCCCACCACATACATCACACGTACTACAACCACTCGATTTATCTGTGTTCTCACCCCTAAAAAGTGCATATCGAATCGAACTTAATAAATTAAGTCTATTATCCGATTCCTCACCAATTGGAAAGCGCAATTTCCTTTCTTGCTATCAGAAGGCTAGAATAGAAGGTTTAACTATTCAAAATATCAAGTCTGGGTGGCAAGCTAGTGGTCTTTGGCCCAAAAATATGGCTAAACCTCTTATGAGTCGACTTTTGCTTGAAAATAGCAATAAAGAGGTTTTATCACTTAATCCTGAATCTGATGATGATCCTATTCTTCAATGGAATATACATTCATTGTTTATTCAATGGAAAACCCCTCAAAAAGGAGCCGATATCAGAAAATATAGAGATATAATGATTCAAGAGAAGGAGATCGATTTGCCAACACAAAGATTACTATTTCGCAAGATTATAAAAGGATTCGATGCTAAGGATTATAAACTCTTAGAGGCAGAGAATAAGATTAGAAAGCTAGAATATCAATTAGATGAAGCATTACCTAGAAAAAGGCGAAAGGTTGTGGTATCTCCAAATTCGAAGTTCGCAGGGATTAGAGCTATAAGGCGTACACAAATTGAAGCGGGAGATCGTGAAATTGAGGGAGATGATAGCTCTAGTGCTATAGAAAGTGATTCTACAGGCGATTTTATTGAAGTTCAATAGTTATTGAGTTATTAAAGTTTTAAGTGTAGATAATATGATTTTTTTAGGTGGTCGGAAACAGGGGGTGGTCGGAAAGTGGGGTAGTTGACTTAACGCACAACTGACCTGCACGCATAATTGCGACATTCCAAACCTTTTTCGTAGGATGTATAATATTTTTGTCTTACTAATCGTATCAAGCCCATGAATGAAAAATGACATGGTGAACTAATAGTCAGGATTAGCAGCCAATATTGCCAGGAACATGAAAAAAGCAAGGGCACTTTGGGAAACGCTTTCTAGTTTTCAAACAAGCTGTGAGACTTGTATCGAAACTAGGTAGGTAAGCACAAGGTAGGAAAATTTATTTTGATGCAAATCACAGATTCCGAAAAAGCCCCCAAGATGAATCTTCATTCGAGTGGTTGTTTCGATGACGTGTTATTTCTTTGGGAAACTATCTAAGTAGTTACAATCAGATGTCTCCATATCTCCAGTCAATACTCGGAATCAAACCAATCTGCAGTCTCCATCAAATCGTAGTTCTCATAGACCCGGGATCCATATGCTTGCTCCATCTCATCGCGAAAAATAGGAAGAAGAAAAGGTTCGGTATAGATCGTCACTTCTGGAATATGAAATGAGGAATTCTTTTCCACTTCAGCTTCAAACGTATGAGTGAGGCAATTCTCTAGATGTTGCACTCAGTTGAGTTGTCAAATCCAGAGCTTTGGGAGTCTTTTTGCGGCCTGCCACTTATCATGATAATCTCTTCCAAACAATCGAACTCGGCCAGAAGCGGTTCGATAAATGTGCTATAGATGCTCCCTTGTGGTTGTGGACGGTGCCTATTAATGATACCATAGTCATAAATGAAGTAAGTCGGAAATGTCAACGATCTGATTGGTCTCAAGAGTACTGACGACGAAATGTCAATTAGGTGCGTAATTCCCCATGAGAGTTTCTCCATGGTGTCGCACCCACGAATATTATGCCTTGAGCAATAGTGACGAGTAGCAAAGGAATCTAGCTGGTAGTTGAAATAGATCGGGATGTAGGAGACATCTGGTAGAAGGTTGGTGTAGCATCTAAGTGTCTCCATTCGACTTTCGTGGTTGACGAAAAGAGTTACTGGACTCGGTGTAATTGTGGTACATTGGGCAATTCGATCTGGATAATCAGGAACTTCAACCTGAAGCTCTAAATCATACCCCATGGAAATGTCAAAATCTACACAGACTTCAACATTGCGACCGCGAAAGCTATATTCAAAGATCTTGATTCGTATCTCGATAGGAAGTTCTGATAACAAGACAGAGCTCGAAGTAATGTCATATCTTTCGCGCATGGGGAACTTTCTCAAGTTTATCCATCGTCGTCGTGGAATGCGCATTTTCCAGCCGCGTACCAAAGCTCTATAAAGTTTGGAGCGACGCTTTTCTAGCTCATCGACTAGAGCCTTGCCTGAAAAATTCTTGCATCTTTTTGCGGTCAACTTGTTTTCGGGGTCCATGTTATGAGTTCTATCGTTTCCATTAGCATCGGCAAGCCTCACACAGCGTAACCGCTTTTGGGGCATGAAGGACATCACTTACTTATTTTGGATTGTGCTGTCTAGGATTTCACTCTAGAGACATACGGTTGGACAATAGCTTTTTGAATGATGTTTGACAAACTCTTAGACGAATCTCATCGATGCAAAAATTTGCCCCAGATGAGACTTAGTAATTAGAAGACTGAGTTCAGACTGGTCGCAAGGTACCGCCACTTGTCGAACTGAATGTGGTAAACTCTTGGGGAGTGAATGAAGATGTATACTGTATTTAAATCACGTTATCAGAGTACATCACATCCGCAGAACGGATTCACCGCTTTAAAATTGCAGGTTCCATACAGTTTTCTTGTGGGCCCCCGCCTTTCCTTGACATGCGACAATTTCCTACACAAATTGTTATCTTGAAGTGAATACATACCGATAGAGATCCTCTGACATATCTTATACATCAAGATCGGGTATCACAGCAATGAAGAAGCCGACATACCTACAAAATGGTGAATGGGTCAGAACCGATGAATCGGGCATAGAAGCGGCAGTAGAATCTCGGTATCAAAGAGTTTCTCTTTTGCGGAGAATTCCACTTAGGACATGTCGATGAAATTTTTCTTGATACGCATATCCAAAGTCCAAGATATACCTGGGATATATGGAGGCAGAATTAGGTGCTGTGATAATGACACGGATGTGGAAGCCATATGCTCGCGTTCTCGAAGAGAAGAAACTTGGAAGATCTGGTTGCCATATTTGGCCCTTAAAGTTGAGCTGTAGCTTTTGTCTCGGCATTAGATACCATTGTTTTCTTCATTATTTGGTGAAGATTGAGCTTCAAAATCCAGTTCCACCTCTTTCGATGTTCTCATCCAGCATTTCCTAGCGTCAAGACTACATTGGGTGTTAGCTACATTTATTACAGCTTTTTTGCGCCTTTTAAGGGGTTCTCGGCAATTTACAGGGTATTGTACACTATCTCACAGGGCCTTAGGTAAGTCTTGCCAACTTGCACTGAGCGCCTGTAAAAAATTCCACATAATAACATTGTTTTTCGACCCATTAATACTTCAAAGTTCGTATTTTCTCCATTTAATGCTGCAAGTTCAATTGAAAAATTGACTATCGCAAAAAAATGCTCTGCAACCAGGCCATGTAGTAAGCCCTAACAGTTGATTACTAAAAGCACTAGAACGTCTACAAGTCAACATCGTTTTTTATCTCACATATGAAAACTGGATGATTGTTTTAAAATAATCTCTATACTTAATTAAAACTTAATTTAATTAATAGAAGCATCTTATTATACATCAATGGTGTAGTGTCCAGGTAATGGCTGATGACTCGCTACTCGTTCGCTAAATCTTGATCGGGTTTTTTGATTCAATTAAGACTCCTATACGGAGTGGGAAAATTTAGAGTGACATTAGCAGTGATAAAGTGTGGAAATACAACAATTGTGGTCAAGAAAATACTTCGAAAGGCTCTACAGAGACTTTCTGTTAGTCATTGAGGGTGATGTCGCACTTCGAGCAATGATTTTCTTCCTGTCTTGATTGGATGAATCAAATGTAGTATCTTTATGTTTGTGGTCATTGCATATCGCTCAACATCATAGTCATTGCAAATGTTGCTTTATCGAATCACGGAATTCGACTCCTCAGCTTCGATTCAATTCTCGTTATGTACAGTACTAGGCCACTTATATCCGCCCCCCCGCTTATTTTATAGTGTCATATATTGCATTACCCTTTTTCAATATTAAATATTAAATTAATCAAGAATTATAAAATTATTAAATTTAAATAAATAAATAATATATTCTTATATTATTAATATATATAAAAATTATTCTATTATTGATTTTTAATCTATTAATATTTAGTATATCAGCTATTCACTATAATACAAACCTTAATTCTAAAAGATATATTAACTTCCAAATTATTAAATAATTCTTTATTCAATATATTTTAAATTATCTATAAATAATTCTTTAATTTTTAACAAATATATTCTAATTTGCTTTTATTAATAACAATATCAGGAAATATTTTATATACTTTTATCTTTAGAATCCACTATATATACTCTATAAGATTGAGATTAAAGAAATAAGGAAATCAATCCTTTAATAAAAGAATCTTTTTTTTTTGAAATCAATCTTGTACCTTATAAATACAATAAATAAAAATATTATTCTACATAAATTCATACCCTAAATCAAGCTTTTCAAAAATAAAATCTACTTCAACTTCAAGAATCTTGAAATAAGACTTAATACTATACCCATATTTTATATTCTCAAAATCCCTATCCATTATATATAAATTGCTTCTCCCAATATCCCAAAAGCTTTTTTAATATATAATCTTTATATTCTTATTCATATTATACATTTCAACCATTTCTAAATTCTATTTCTAAAAGCTAATACAAAAACACCATTCTAATCTTTTTCCTTTTTTCTACTCTATAAAGTACTTATCTAACCATACAATTAGGCTCTATTCTTTAATAATTAACTTTTTATAAATTAAACACTATTTAAGTCATTTAATAATATATATTAATATAAATTCTAATCTCTTTTTATATCTTCAATTAATTATATCATATTCAATCAAAATCCTCTTAATAATTCTAATACTACAATTAAATCTAACCTCTTGAATAATCTATTTATATATAATTTTCAAAAATAATCATATATATTATAATAATATTTATTTATTTTATTTAATATATAATTTAGATTAATTAATATATAATAAATATATATTATTATTATATATTAGATTTTATAAGAGAATATATTATATAATTCCGCAAAAGAATTTAAAACTTTTTATAATTTAATAAAAATTAAAGCCTTTTTTTGTTTTATTAATTATTTTACTGTATATATATAGAATAAAATACTCATAAAAATTATTTTATATATCTTTAATATATTATATATTATAAATTGAAAGTATAATTAAAATAATAAAATGTGATTGTGGGAATATAATGTATAAAAAAACGTGTTTTGTGGAGTTTTGACTAATAGAATTGCACAGTGACTGTACTTAGGAAATTACGAACTCAGATATGCAAGACTTTTTGCTGTGCTCAAATTGCCATTTTTATGTACGTGTACTCGAAGAATACAAAATCAGGCTATTAAATACTTAGGGCCCGCACGCACCAGTGCTACGAGAGGTACATATGCATATAATCCGATACCAGCAGCAATATACCATACTATTTTTCCTCACATGTCCCATTTTTTTATATCTCATAATAGAAAAAATATCATAGCTGCAAGGAATTTGGACCATACCCTCTCGCCGTTTTCTACGCTTCTTTGTGCGGAACTCTTCTTGCCATTTTTCGGCTTCTCGGTGCATGCTCCGCGACATTGTTCAGAGGAACATTCTTTTGGGGGATTTTCCAAGAAACAACAGCCATCTTAAGATTTTCATTACTTAAATATGCCGCGAAGTAGACAATTCCTTTGCTTACCATAAACGGAAGTGTAAATAGTAATACCAGCAGTAACTGTAACGGTATACTTCGACTTAGTCGCAACAGGGTCGTTAGAAAAACCGGCGGGTGTTTGATACTGTGAAAATCCATAACAAGTTCACTAAATCACTTGTTAATATCTTACTAATTAAGAGATATCTTGATGACTAATATATGTATAACATGATTTTATATTATTATATTATATAGTTAACGTAGTTTAACACTGAGTGGCTTATATTATCAAGTGGCCCACTTCAAAATACATACAAAATTCGTTTATACAAAACCGTATACTTTCTTTATTTATTAATAGAATTTTTAAAAAATTGAAACTAGAATATCTGATTATATAAATATTATAAAAATCTAATTTGTTTTGGAAAATCTAAATTGATATATAAGTTATTATTAAAATAATATTTTTGTAACGAAAATCGTAACAATTTCGATTTTTTTAAAAATTTAATGGAAATATTTATATAAAAACTAGATTTTTAAAAAACTAATTTTTATTAATATTTAATATCTTTTTTTTTTACAAAAATAATGTTTAGTTATTAAAATATAAATATTAGAAAAAGCTTGATATTGGTGTATTTTGAAGTGAGCTATTTGATGATATAGGCTACTCAGTGTTAAACTACGTTATATAATAATATCTCTTATCAAATTAATTTATAATGAAATAGAATAGAATGAAATCAAATGGAAGTATATGGAAAATTATTATTAAATTGATTAAATTTGATTGGTTGTACTTTTTTTTTATTATGTAAGTTGATTTTATAAGATTTGGTTTAAATCGATCTTATTTATAAGCATAGAAAATACTAGAGCTTCATTATAAACTATATAAACCTAGAATATTCTTGAAAGAAAATTTAGAAAAAAGCAAGCAATTTCATCTTAAAATAAGCCTAGCTCTTATAAATTGACTTTAATTCAACTCTTATGTATATATTCGATTTGTCCCTAAAGCCTAAATTGACTAGATTTTCCACTATTATTATAATAATAATTATTCTTATTATTATAAAACGTGACCTCCAAGAGATACACACAGGATTTTAATTAATTGTCTTTCGTTGGCTTTGCCTTTTGCGTCGTCTTCGTCGTTGACTTTCCTTTTGCTGATGCTGAGGAAATGAGCGCGAAGATGAGGAATATTTGGAGAATGGCGGAAATGTGGGCGCGTGGGAAGATCATGATGACAAGATGTTCTCTTTTGTAGGTGTTGGTAGATTACTTTTGCTTGAAGCGGATTAAATACTCCGTGTGAGACAATGTATCTTGCGAGTGATGCTTGTTGAGATAGATTCGTTTTACGATGCGGTGTTCCAATGTATGCAGTGTCGGACTGCAGTGTTCTAAGAAACTTTTAGGGTCATTTGGAATTCTTCTGATGTGTTCATTCCTGGAAAAATTGAGTTCTCTATGTTGAGTATGATTCATGGATTTTGCAATTGCGAAGTCACTTTCATGAGATGATTTGATTTGAAGGGGAGTCAGCGACCAAATCATACACCCAGTCATACAGAGACCAATGAATTATCTACTATCATAGTAGTCATCCTCAATATCATGACGAATTCAACAGAAGAATATTTTTAAGAATTCATATATTCATCCTACGAAATCGACTCCTCCATAAACTTCTCATCTCCCAACATGATAGCCCATAATATATTCTCACCTCAAATGAAAAGATTAATTCCCTCTGATTACATTAAATGAAGGATTCCAGAATGACAAGCAAGCCCAGAACAATTGTAACAAATATCAAGAAGGAATCTGTATCCATGCTTTTCAGTCCCAAGCTCTGAGTTGGGCTTGCGGTGCTGGAGTTGCCTAAATCAATTCAATTAGCAATCGCCAAACTAATACTCAAAATGGCTACAAGATCCTACTCTTAGTCTGTGTACCGGTGGTGGAAGTGGAAGTTGAGCTAGAGCCAGTAATAGGAACCAAATTTGAAACGGAAGCGGAAGACGAAGCGGCAGTGACGGTGGTGGGTTTTGAGGTTGTAATAGGGCTAGGAGTCGAGATGAATGTCATAATAGAGGTAGAAGTTGAAGTCGAAGTGTAAGAGACGGTGGAGGTTGGTGCAGGAGCCACAATTGTGAGGGTGACAGTGAGCTCGAATCCACCCGTAATAACTACCAGACTGGTGATTAATGTTCTAGATGATTTGATAGTTGGAGATTTCGTGGATCCACTTGACAAATGCAGAGTTGTTCCTACAGATTCAGGTGGAGGAATCGGTGGCAAGCTCTGAGCGACAGAGAGCAAAGCGAGTTTGAACATCACGAACAAGACAACCGCATTTTTGAAGCTTGCGCAAACCATGACTATGATCTGATGTCGTAATAGGTGATTGGTTGTAGTTTTTTATTGATACCCTTACGTTCAATCAACTGGTCGTTTTGTTGATGAGGTTTTATTGATGGTTTTATTGATGGTTTTATTGATGGTTTTATTGATGGATCAATTTGTGATATTTGGATGGAAGAATTGAAAGTTGTCAGGTACAAGGTAAGAAGCTTCGTATCTTGCATTATAAATGCCCAAGTCGCTAAGAATATCATTAGCTCCAGATGCATGAGTGATATGGTTCGAGTGAATCTGTTCATGGGACTATTTAGATATCTCCAGAGTGTAGTATGCGGTCCAAATCTACGTCCAAGGGCCTGAGACTTTTCATCCCCAAAGAAATTGAGCCATCCAATGAACTTAAATACATTCTAAGCGTTTCAGATTACCAAACAGCTTTCCAATACTAGAAGTTTGTAATCCATCTGCTAGTGCGGACTATCAGACACAATATACCTTCCCATTTGTTGGGTCGGATGTCATATAGGTCTTTCTACGGCTGAGTTCTTTCTTACCCGAACATCTTACTTGATTTTGGGCATTTTATATTCACTTTCAGATTGCGGCATTTGAACTTCCATGTTTTCCTGTGCGTAAACATATCCTCCCAAAGATCAATGAAGAGTTCTACTAACATGAGAGAGGCCTTGAAGTAGGCAGAATACACATCTATGAATGCATCCGAGCCAGATTCACATTGCAAAAATTCAAAGCACCGATCTACACTTCGATTCCACAGAAGTCCTTGAACTCTCGACTCTGTGCGATTTCTTTCTAGGTTTAATCCAAATGTCAGGCATCTTCAATTAACATACAATATCAACCTCATCCATCGATGATCCCCTCTCGATCTGTGAGTAAAAAATTTCCATTGCTTCCCGCACATAGCCTTCCACTCGCAGTATACCAAATCTATCCGCTTTCATTATCAAAAAACCAAATAACTCATGGCCATCGAAATCAATCCCAATAAAGCCAGTGACCGCATTAGAGAGGTGTCCAGCTCCATGCTCCGCCGTCCCGAACTATGACTTGGGCTTGGACTGTGGTTTGGCGTTGCGGATACGGTAGGGCTTGGAGTCGGTACTGTGGCTGACGCTGCTGGAGTTCCTGTTTGTAGCTTACATGTGGATTGGGTCTCACATGATCCTGGAATTCCGTTGCTCCGAAAGCAGCAACCAGCTGGAAAGAGGTATTGATTAGCAAGTCCTCACACAATAGAAAAGTGAAATAACACTTACGCAAGATTTGGGTATAGATAGAGGACGCAGATGTCCAAGTAGTGGTGCTCGAGTTGGTTGAAAGAAAGGAACGAAGGTGAGAACTGCTTGTTCCAGTTGGATTGGCTGGACATCCGCTTGCCATGATTTGAGGCAGACTGATAGAAAACGTCGCTTGCGCAATTCTTGTGAAGGCGAAGGTGATTAAGGCGAAAATAACAATGATCCTGTTAAAGCGTGAGAAGATCATATTGGGTGTTGGAGATTCGCAAACGATACGTCTGGTAAGCTCAGTTGCCAGGTCTAAGGAATCTGATATTTAAGGGTTCAAGTGCGCTTTGTTTTATTGGAACCAATATTCTAGACGGGTTCTCAACCCTTTTTGTAAAAAATTAATGAACACTATGCTATCAAATAGATTCTCAGACAGAGACTCATAGTGCATCCTTTGACGGGTGACTTGACATTTCCTAGTCATGCAATTCTTCATCATTCACTTCCAAGGACCAAGGACCAATGACTGGGTATTTCGATTCTATGATACTCATATTTCGGTTGTTATTACAACATCTATTAATAAATCCTGATGCTAAGTATTTAGTGACAGGATCAGTTCAGCGGTCAAAAGGTAAAAGTGTTCATGATGAATAAAATTTCAGGCTCTGGTTTTATACTTCTGCAATCCTCCTATCGACGCAACATCCTAGCACTCTCCGGTCTAATATTGATTCCCCATTCTCAATACTCTTGTCTAACCACAAAATAAAAGCCCCATTCCATTCAGAACTCCTACAACAGAGAAAAAAAATCATCAGCATCAAATTCGCAGGCATCATTCCATTACCCGCACTCGAACTAGGAGCCGAAGTCTCCGTCGGATTTCCAATAATGGGTGGGGGATCTGTTTTTGAGGGTGCTTCCGGTCCATCATTTTTAAGGTAATAGGATACTGTCTTTGTAACATATGCCGGACGACATGAGGGATTGTCTTGGCAGGAGCCTGCTTCATCCAAGAGCAAGAAACAACATCCAGCTGTTCAATTTGTTAGTGAGGTCTTTATGATGAGATTTAATCATGCATCTCTCACCGAAGATTCCAGTGTATGTTGAACCTGCAATTTGGGTGGGTGTCGTGTACGTAGCAAGTTGTGCACATTTATCTTTGAAGAAGCCGCTATGTGTCTCGAAAACGAGGATTGTCGAGATGCCAGCAGAGAAGATAGAAACACTCTTGGAACTTTCTTGAGGGCCAGAGGAACCAATAACAGCCGCAGGTGCGAAAGCAATCAGGATGAAGGAAATGATAATCTTCATGAGATGTATGGAAATCATTTTTTCGATACAGATGGTTCTTGTGTTTTGTTATGGTGAAATTTTGCTTGTCTTTAGATTTCAATCGAATGTCTAGGTGATGTCGAGAAATTTGTGGGAGGAAGCGGATATGCATACAAAGATGTGGTGTCGATGTGAATATGGGAATACGGAGAACAGTAGCACGAATCAGGATTCCAAATCGAACTCTGACTCACTGTGATTAAAATGCGCCATGAAGAGAATTCACGCATCAATGACTCATAAACAAAGTATTACTTGTGACAATCGAATAATTTAATTCTAGAAAGTGAAAAGGACACCCGCGGTAAATCAATAGAGCGCAAGTTTGAATCTCATCCAGAGCGACATGGAACCTGTAGTTTATCTCATATCACATTTATGAGACTCGGCAGGAGGAGGCACAAAATTTTGCCTTCCCAGAGAGACTTCCCGCATACCCGCCATCGGGTCAATTCGCGGCTTTTTGCAAGCTCACAGCCCAATTTATTTCACTCATCAGATTAATCAAGGTAGGAAGGTAGGACTTATTGGCAACTTTGGTTTTAAGTCCATATGTAAGTGGCTTACTTCTACCAGCTAGACTGAATCGCAGATTTGAAACATATACGATGTATGATGTATTTCGTGTAATATCGATATCGACGACATCGGTAGGGAGCCGTTCACACCACAAATAAATGCCCCTTTCGCTTACCAAGTAGCAAGCGACGACTAAGTATTCCTGTTTCCGCATGCCAGTAGGAAAATTCTAACATGCGATGATCTCATCTATTACCTCGAAACAATCTCATGTTACGATAAATTATTCGCGTTAAACCTTTCTAGTAACCATTCAGTACATATCGAATTACCAAATAAATACATCAATTTATCTCTCAATTCTCATTTGTGACGATTGGAGAGCTCTTCCAAACTTTCACAACATACCAAGTCCGGTCACCGTACCCGCCATATTTGCTTCCCAAATCAATCTCCACTCCACTCCACCCGCTCTACCCACTTTCCACCATCACCCACACATCATCTGCATGTCTTGTTTGTGATAATATATATTCGATTATCGTCGGGTCCTTCATTAATAAGCTTACAGCTTCTGTGGTCCAATGGTTAGGATTCCACCCTTCCAAGGTGGAGGTTCGTGTTCGATTCACGGCAGTTGCATTACCTTTTGCTTTTTTGTACGACTCAGCTCGTACCCCTGGATATCCTTTGGCATGGGCTCTTGAGCAGCATCGAAGAAGATGGTACGTAGGTATCCGGTACACATAAAGAATACCGTTTTGTCGACTAGGGAGAAAGAGATTTTTGTCCAGGATAAATTTAAAAAAAATATTCTCCCCCACATTTGGACACGCTAACGCTGCACTCAGGTATTTTTGATGTTAATAAGTCTCGAGCAAGCCACGTGCAAGCTTATTCCGCGGAGAACACCAAGGCGAGATATCTTCCTAGCCATCGAATACTTTTACAGCAAGAATAAAACTTCTCTATGGTTAGCTGCCCTAAGGATTGTGCAAATACCATCAGCATCTTGTTAACAGTTTAAATCCAGATACAAGCTCTAAGCACGATCAGTTATCGCAGAATTCGCATGAGATCAACAACGCTTTTATCCGAGAAATGGAAATCCAACTACCGAAAATTGACCTGGGGTTGTGGAAGGAGTGAAGCATGAGTTAGGAGATTATTTTCGTTCCTGCAAGTACATCCCAATTAAAGCGGATATGAACAGAGAGCTTGCAGTCTTTCAGTTTCCGGAGATCTTTTCACGTGTAAAAACACCAAGATTACTCGTAGTGGTAATTATAAATGAACATCTGGAAGTGTCAAGGCTAAATGTGGAATATCAAGAGGAGCGATTGAAAAGCGAACAATGATGTAAAATAACTATTATTGAGTCGAAATCAACGCAACAAAGCGGACATACTTCCACATCGATACTTTTAGTCGAATTGATCATCGGGGTTTCATTGTAAACTTCTTGACAAGCCATGATTTCCAATTCATAAACACTGCAAGACGCCCTCCACCAGCAAATCTGTACTCTGATGTCACTTCGTTCCTCCTCTAATGTGGCGATCAGCGAAAAAGTTCATACGAGGCCTTTTCATTTTGCACATGACCAGGGATTGCGAGCACATCTGGTATAACCATTAGATGTCCAGGAGGGCTTGAATGGCTCGAAATGATTGGTGTATACCCTATAGGAGTCAGATCGTTCGGAGCGTTTGGTGCATAATGATCATAAGCAACCCCCTCGAGAGATGAATCGGCTAGAAGAATCAACTCCGATAGGTAAGAGTAAGCAGACTGATGATTGGTGTGAATTTCATGGTCTCCAAAAGAGATTATGTAGTAGCCGTATTCATTCACTGGAATCATAATTAATGACCTGATACCCCGTAATGCAGTTGCCGTGTCCAAGAAGTGGCTTACAAATCCGGCATCAGTTCGATAAAGTCCACCTGGGTTTCCGGTGACAGCGACTATATAAATGGCTATTGTATCGAGCTCATAATCGAAGTAAAATTCCGAGACTACATATTTATAGGCTAGAGGTCCAAGGGCCAATGGCCTATAGTGTAGCAAGGTTTCTGCTCGACTTTCTCGATTGACAGATACCGTCGATGGTGGTAAAGTGGAAGTTTTCAGTTCAGTGACGTCTAGACGCATGCTGTATTCACTATCTGGACGGTAATTAAATTTCGTGACAATTCCAATATTACGACTTCCCCAACTCATCCGCCATATCTCTAGACGTAGCTCAATTGGAAGTCTTGAAAATGGGTGAAACGCTCTGTCGCATTTATTGTCGAGTTCGTGAATATCCCGCAGTACAAGAGATGAATCGATAGGAGCGACTACTTTTTTGGCATTTAATCGAGTTCGTCTCAAGAAATCCTTTCTCCCACACCAGCGGCCTATTGATCCTGCCTTTGCCTGTAAACCTTTTAGTGTTGGATATATTTTTGGAGAGTCGAAGTGTAAAGACCGACTTACCTTTCATTTTACCAATTTTGCCCGAACCACCCGAGAGATCGTGTGAACACCGCCCATTATGACAAGAAAGACAGCTGAATTTGGAAGCCAGTAATTGTCTGACAAAGGTACCGGTAGATCGAAATATCGATGCTGGTATATGGGCTGCGACAATGAGTAACGAGCCTTCGGTTATTCTCAAGAACGCAATTGTCGAATCATGCACTGGAGTGGAAAGTAGCAGGCAGAAGAATCCCTGACTTTAAGACCAGATTTCATTGAAAGGAAAAGTCTTTATCATCTAACGAGGTAGAGAACGAAGTAAATATAGACAATAAAAGGGTTAGACAGAAAAGTCAGTCCATTCTTTACTGGTCCTTGAATCTCTATTCACTTTCCTATCTCGTGCTATGTGCTATGTGCACATCGTACGATGGGCCATCTCATCGAGGTGAATGAGATTCTTCTGAGAAAATTACAGTATGGCGTGAATAGGATGTATGCCATGACGATCTTAATTCCCAATTCTGTTATTTTGAAATAGGATCAAGAGAATCTCATTCGTGTCATGCAAAGAAAAAGGAACTGAAAATGAGCAAGTTGATTTACCCATGACGAACTAGCGTGTCTATGATCAATAGGCAGGTGGTAATGAAGGCAAGAACGATTAGAAAATCACAAGAAAAATTGATTTTTGGAGCCCCGACCAAAAATAAAAGCTAAAAAGTTGAGAAATAGCTCAATAATTATGCCGGGCCCTCAGTTTTGGGTATATCTTTAAACGCCAAAGCCATCTCGTTCCTTTGTCCGGCCGCGACACAGACAAAGTTATCTGGCAGTCCATAAACTCCCACCCATCGCCCTGGTTCTACAAAAGAACTCTACCCTTAGTATTTCAATCGCCGCTCCGTCAATTAGTACCAACAAAAGTTAATTTCTCATTTCCCACCACTGTCTATCATACATATTAGCCAGGGTTCATGTCTTGGATTTTCGAGCATTGATACAACACCGGAGCCCAAGGATTCGGAAGCATACCTTCAAAACATTTCCAATTCCCGTAACCTGACCCGAAGCATTCGCGGACATGACATTAGCATAATTCGTGGCCATCAATTGAACTCCTGATACGAAGGCTTTATTGTCGAATCCACTGTATCCCCCCCAATGGTTAGCTATACTCGAGAACCCAATATCCACACCTTCCATCTCAGTCAGGCGTTAAGAGAAAACATACCAATGACCCCCTCCATTTGGTGTATTGTCCACTGTCTGCAGGCTGCCAATTTGATCCGCCGTCATTCCCGCTGCCGTTGCCAATTTCTCATACGCAGAAACTGCATCCGGAATAGCTGGTTGCAACAACGTCAATTCATCTTTCGAACTTTGAAAATGTATTTTCGTATTCTTCGCCAACGTATCCGGATCTACAACCGCTACTTGTGGAGTCAAAGCACCACAATTCAGTAAAACTCCCGTCTTGTACTGCGCCCCAAAAGCCGGCATGAAAAATCCGGAAAGTAAAAGCGAACCCCCCGAGACACCCGTGAAAAAGACATTCGCATTGTCGAATGCTACATCTTTTGAGAGTTGTGTTTGAATGAGTGAATTAACCGCAGCAGCATGTGCGACACCATCCGTACGTTGAAGACCTGATCCGCCACCCCAGAACATATTTTTATTGGGAGCGAGAACAACGACGCCCATGAGATTGTTCTGAACTGCTTGATTAGGGAAATCGAAAAAGGATGTTCCTCCATCTCCGTGAAGGAGAACGTTCAGACCCGCTGTTCCGGTGGTGTTGGCTGATGCTGTGCCACCAGTTACACCAGATGCTGAGGTGAACATATTGGCTGGAGCACTGATTTTGTAGCGAATGGGTAAACCACTGTTTGATTAGCATTTACGTATGAAATAGAATGGTATAAAATTACTTGATTTGAACAGTTTTGTCTAAAATCATTGATCCGTCCGATGCTGTTGTGATACCGCCAGATGTAGCTGCCTTTGTCGTACTAGTTGTGGAAGAAGCAGCATTTTTCTTAGGCAAAGCGTTAACGGGAGCGAGAAGAGTAATGAATAAGAAAACTAATAAATCTTGACTGAAAATCATGATGATAATGAACCAAACGCCCAGCGCTAAGAAAGGAAGTGAATGGAGAGAAAGATCAAAGTAGAGAGAAAGATGGAAGTAGACTCAACCAAAATCGACAAAATGATTGAACTTCTCATCTTTTAATGTATTTACCACCCACAACGCCTAAAAATTCGATAATATCTTAAACTGGCCATCAAACTACCAAGCCAAATGCTGTGATGAATTTCATCCTAATTTTGTAATGTGAAGCATTTTGAGGTTTGACTTGGCGGTCATGATTGGGGTCAAGAGTTTGACTCGGACCAAAACTTCTTGGCACAAGGGTTACTTCGTCAAATGAAATACGACGGAAAACTTGGGGTTCAGGTTTTAACTGAGAGATCAATAAGAAATCAATTTGTATAGAAAGAATCTGGGGTTTGAGGAGAAAGAAATATTTGTACAGAACGAGGAATGTTGTACATGATATGTGAGGATTTCAAGTGGAATTACTAATAAATCATGGTAAGAACAAACAAGTTCTGTCTCAGCGATAAGCTTCAAACAAGGTACTCGAACCACAACAAAAACCTTTAGACATGCCTCGGAATCAGCTAAATTTCATAGGGTCCAAAGAAATGGCAGTCTTTGACAATCGAGGATTAGAAGACATAGTTTTGTAGAACTTCAACATTTCGTTCCGTGCGAATGATACCTAGGTATATATCCTAACTTCGACATCATCGTAATTGATGTGAAACCGTCTAGCGACGACGTGGTTTGAAATGAAGGGGCACAAATCGCGAATTTATTACGGATCGAAAAACGAACAAATCTTGTTTCACACATGCGATATAGAAAATTCGATTTCCACATGATGTGAAAAGTTTTTGGTGCCTTGATCTTCAAGAAGCTACAGATGGAAATCGTGATGATGTTTGAAGTTGATGAAAATATCTTTTATACGGTTTCTAATACTTGCACTGACGTTATATTTTTATACATCTAGGGCGTTCCCCAACCGTGCAGAATTGAACTATGGGAGTTGAAGCAACCACTGCATCTGGTGCGGAAGTACTCATGGCATTGTGAAGTATGCAGCTCCACCGTTAAGGAAACCAGGTTACTCCTCTTGTACGAAGTAGCTTACCATCTTTGAGTACAGAGCATCTAATTTCGGAATTGCATACTTTATGGCTTCCTCGAGTATCTTGTTGAGGTTTTGATACCCTAGATCTATTACGACATACTTGACGTAGTTGAACTATTTTCATCTATCGTAAATCTATATTCAGAAAGTATCGACAACGGCTCGCAAGACCAATGTGCTAGGCGTTTGACAGCATGGAAATTCCATGGTGGAAGTATCCGAAATTGATCGTTTGTTAGACATTCGTCGGTCAGCCCTTTCATTCACAATGAGAACTTTACTCTGTAGACTCACTCGGCCTCGCCATGGACAATTGATTGTAAATTCAGATTTCATAGCTTTCGGATCAGGCACTCTCGACACCTAATAGTGCGCATACGGACATGTCATTCGCTGCAAATCAAAAATATTGTGTGGATTCCAAGTGCACCGCCACAGACTTTCATAATCATCCACTAAAACCATAATCTTGGCGTACAAACCAGCTGAAGAAACCTAGTAAATCTATACTCAAACGTCATCTAGTCGAGATAGAAGAAACCAATGATGTAAAAGTGTTATGCAAGATACTCTTGGGCATCTTATCCAAAGTAGTCGTGGTGGACTTACGAGTAACTTCGGGCGAACGTCTAGAAAGGAAGCTCGCTGTAAAAATTTCGTATGGACAGTTCCAGAAAGACAACCTTACCTACGTATTCAAAGATCCTCATCGATCCCTTCCCTGATCGGTGCGGATACATCGGAAGAGTTCTACCTTTTCTTGATGTAGATTGCTTCTCTTTGAGCACAAGCACTTAGACACATTCGGATAGCCTTGATTATATGTTTGCTTCTTACATGAACACAAGAGCAACTGATAGTCAGGAGAAGTTCATGTGCTGCCCTGCAGTTTTCCCCATAGAACAGAATCATCGAGTACTTTAGAACGACCACCTTCCTGTGACTTTAACCAGTAAAAATCTTTGATACGAAAATAATAAACCTGATTATCAAAAATGTTTCACACGGGCGGCTCGGCATTTATTGAAAAGTTTACTTGAATGTTACTTCAAGGATTCACAGCCTTAAGATCCCCTAAGATACCCCATAGCTTTATGAAAGGTTTGCCCAAGATTTAAACAATCGCGTCACAGTATATTGAAAGATACAGGAAAGAAAGATATCGCTAGGAAAAAGACTACTAGGTACATGCCGTCGTCGTCTCTTGGGAGGGGTTCGTTACTACTATTTCGTCTAAACTCAAGGGAGAGCTTGCAAAACCACGAAACTCAAAAATTGGAATATCCATAGTTAAACAGATATTAATACTCCATATATCACATTGGAGCTCTTGAACCCGAATAAGTTCAACACGATACGGTGCGAGCAAAGTACAGCAACCCACCACACAAATCTAGTCATCGTTTGTTTGTTTTTCCAACGTTGTCGGATAAGATAGCCAGAACCCCAGTGATCATCACTACTACAAAAGATCCCGCTGCGCCACTTCTCTACACCTTCTTCGTTTATTCCGTTGCAGCATCCCCACTTCACCTGGAATAACAGTAATCTTAGCAAGTTTCCCATTTACCAACAGGATAGATACGAAAAAGGATACGAAAAAGAAACAACTCCAGACGAGGTATTTCCTCTAGAGCTTCAATAATACGATGGTTGATACTGGTGCGGTCAAGAGGAAGGATACTACAAAGGGTCCTCCTTTACGTATATTATCTCTAGGTAAATCAAACAATCCCTTCGACCTTTCGCGCAACTTACTAAGACTATGTAGATGGAGGTGGTGTACGAGGATATTCTATGCTCATAATTATTCAAGAGCTCATGCATAGAACCTATGTCGAAATCGAAGGAAAAGCGCCCCGACGAGATCAAATCCCAAAACCTGCCGACCATTTCGATTTAATATGTGGTACAGGAACAGGCGGTTTGATAGCGATTATGCTTGGCAGATTGCGATTAGATTTGGAGACTTGTAAAGAAGTTTATGTGCGAATGACTAGGAAAGTTTTCGAAACGGACAAAACAATTGCGGGTATACCATATCGATCGACTCTATTCAAGGCTTCGAAGTTGGAGGAAGCGATCAAGGAGTGTGTGAGAGAACACACATTATTCGAGAAGGAAGGAAATGATGGGGATAAATCCGCGCCAGCATCTGCATTTCCCGGAAGTCCGATAAGTCCATTCAGCCCGGCAGCGAGATCAGAACCAAGACGACATTCAAGTAATGCTAGTGTCGCAAGTTTCAGTAATAGAAACCCCGCCAGCTACCAAAATAAACCATACATGTCGTCGAGGTGGGGAAATCCTAACGCTAGATTATATGACAATCGCCCAGAAAGGACTAAGACGTATGTTACGCTGCAAGCCTCAAATGCGCAATAACTAACATAGAACAGGGCTGTGACGGCAATCTATAAAGGTACACGCAAAGGTGGCGCGCCAGCCATACTGAGATCCTACGATTCACGGAAAGAACCATCACCTGAATACGATTGTAAAATTTGGGAGGCAGGAAGAGCAACATCAGCTACAGGACTCGCATTCAAGCCTATTCAAATCGGACAATCAGTGTTTATAGACGAAGGAGCTGGACAATATAATCCTGCGCCATTCGCTCTCGATGAAGCTACAGTCAATGAATGGCCTGGGCGAGATGTCGGTGTATTTGTTAGCATAGGAACAGGAAAGAGACCCCCCGGAAGCGATCAAAATCAACATATGTGGTATGAAGGTTTCTTGGGCGAGTTCGCAGATGCAAGAAGACGATTGATTGCCAAAATCGAAGGATGCGAGATCACACATCAATACATGAAGGAAGAGCATCTAAGCAAAAGAGGCGTCAATATTGAAAATTATTATCGACTCAATGTGGAGATTGGTGTAGGAGAATTTGGTATGAACGAATGGAACCGCCTCGCCGATATTAGCACTGGTACCCGAAGATATCTCGGCAAAAGTGATGTTCAAAAAATGAATATCGAAGCAGCTGTAAAATTATCAAAAATTCACAGGGCAATTCAGAGAGCTAATGGTCACATGAGGATACCATCAATGGGTAATAGAGGAGAGAGTTATAAAAACTTACCCGATGTTCCAGAAGCTAATCCATTGGCTGTGGAACTCCCAGCTGAAGTCCCTTTGACACCTGTTTCCGGTAATGCAGCATGGACACCATCCCCGAGACCAAGTTACGAATCAGGACATCATGATAGTCTCGAAGTTGCACCTCTTGGTTCTATCAAACACGATCCTTTTTCGCCAGTCTCGTCTCCAGATCACCAATCACCACATTCATCTCCTTTGAATCGTCCAGTAGACCATGGCGATCGATTAATGGTTAATTCTCCAACTCCATCACAATATCATACGGCGTCTGGATCTGATAAAATTGCAATTATGAGTTTGGATGAATATCCTAGACCAGAAATTAGAATCTCGGATCCGCCGCCAAGAAACCCGAGAAGAGTCTCAGGTCCACCACCGGTACCACCAAAGACACCGATTAATGGGGAGAGGCCTGGAGATGCTATGCAGAGAAGACCTATTGGAAACGGAAATGGCATTGTGGCGCCTTATCCATTAGAAGATGGACCGCCGCCAGTAGTTAATATGGCAAGAAAACCTAATTATGGAAGGTAGAGAAATTGAGCGGAGTGTGATCATTTGAATTGGCTGACTTGGCCATACGGGTGAAGATGATCAACTGGAAAGTAAATCGGCGTTCGGCTTGAAGTGTCAGACATGAGCAAGTTATTGATTTATTATGGGTTATGATGGAGTTCGGAATCAACCGATTGGTTGTTGCGATACCTTTTTGTTTTTATGCTTCTACGAGGATGACTGGAATGGAAGCGGATGAATGGGGGGAGTACCATTCTAATGGAATAGATGCGAGTTGATTGGAGTGATACGTCCTCCTGCGCGGATATACTTTTGATATACAAGTAAATAGTGGCTTTCTTCTAATGATTCAAAGATTTATTTATTATTCGAATTTATGAATTTTTCTTGCCTCTGGAGGTTTCAAGATAGATTGCTTTTGGTGCTTGTGCGATGTGAATATGAAAATCGGGGGTCAAGCTGGAAAAATATCTGTCTGGTCTGTCAATGCATTTTCATGGTCAGTTTTGATTGAATAGAGATGTTGGATATTGGGTACCCGGGATGTATATAGAGATAGATACATTAGCAGTACCGATCTTGTAACGATTTGAGATATTAAACATGGGAAAAGGGGGAAGCGGAAGCTGGGAAACCGGGTATCTACTGCTATCCTATCAATGGGAATGATGGGATTAGGGTCAATGAGGGAGTAGTCTAGAACTATAGTCATAGTGGGGATAGATGGGTTTCTTTCCGTGTAGGTGTGCGTGTGGTGGGTTATGCATGTAGGATGATATGGGGGGAGAGGTAAGTAGTGGCAAGTGAAGGAGTGAGTTGAAGTGTGAATGAATCAATGGGTGGAGATGGGGAGGTAGATTTTGGGGGTGAGATGAGGGGGTGAGGGGGCGGTGGAGTGATGAAGTGATATGATGCCAATGATGATGATGATAATGATGATGAAGATTAAAAGTAGCGAGTAGCAATTGTTACAATCACTTTGCCCCCAGGTATCATCGTTATCACCATCACCACACCATCATCATCACCATCATTATCGCTACCATTATCAATATTCTGTTCTCTTTTTCTCACTCTCAACACCGCACGAATATCCTCATTCTCTAATCTACCAAAAACATGCGTCTCAACAAAAGAGATAGGAGTAAGAGATTCATCACTCCGAAAATGCTGGACTTGCGAGGTTCTAGGTTTGTAGTTGGCTCGGTCTTGAATTTTATTGGTTGAGGTAGTTGTTTATTTGGTGCTTTAGGATATTAGATGAGGATGGGGTTTTATAATGTGAGGTGATGGGTGATTTGGGTGAGGGTTTTCTGGTCAAAGGATCTGCAGTGGGGAGAGGTGAGGTTAGGTGAGGTTAGGTGAGGTGAGATAGAATGAGGTTAGCGAATGAGAGATGAGAAGAATGAGCAGGAAAATATCTTGCATAAATTACCTATATTGAATCATCTCATCTAATCTAATCATGATTGATAGAAATTTGTGGTCTCCCCGCTTTGCGACGGCGTGTGTTCACGGTTACTCCGTGGACACATACCCAATTACTTCTTCGCTTTTTGACAACGATACCTGAGATTAATACCGAAAGTACTTATCATATACAATTAAATTCTAGGTACAGTTTCTCACAACATCATGTTCCATCTAGACTTATGGATCCCGCACCATATAAATCTCACGCATTGGATATATCTTATTCGTCATCTTAAGCGATCCATGTATCTGGAGATCTCCCTCTAGGGAAGCTTAAGTTGTCGCATATTGCGCATCACCCTCGACAGGTGATTTCACCATTCAAACTCTATTTCTCCACATGCTTAGATTCATTGCATGATCTTTCTCCCCGTACAGTTTCTGGACAGTCAAAGTACGACAATGGATAACGAGCGGCATGGCTGCAAATTCTTCGATAAGCTCTTTCAATATCCTTTATCTGCCGCCCCTGAATTAGACGACCACGAGGAGGTATCATCACAGCAATCTGAATTCCTGTAACACACCATTATAGGGAAGAAGAACTCATGCCAATAACAATGATGAATTTCTTTCTAAGCTAGTTGTCTTAGGCTATTTTTAAATCAAATGTGGCCTTTGACCGATTTAGTGCATTCTAGAGACCTTCTAATGTGTTTACCAAAAAGGTGGTCCCACTTTTTCACAACTACAACGCAGTACTCGTGAGCTGAGACTGCCTGTGATTCGTTGTCCGTAGAAGATAGCTTTTCGTGCTACTTGTTGGAGTTAATTGTGTACTAAGAGATGCTACGGTTTTTCAGTCCGCACTACCGTCTCAATGTGAATAAAATGCCTCTTTCCCCGTGCTGTCACAACCGTTCTCAAGAAAACTTATCAAAGTATCGCTCAAGACATTTTATCAAAATCGAGTCATCTAGTCAGATCACTGCATATATAAGAACTATATTTCAAACATTGTAAGAATCATTACACAAGAAATTTCCACCATCTCGAGATCGAACACTCTGACGTCATGACCATTCGTAAAATGCACAATTGGATGTCTGGAAGGGTGGTCGAGAATACCAGAGTCGCAAAGAAAGGCAAGGGTATCATGCGACCAGGACCACGTATGGAGCGGCAAGCCCTCCGGGCTACTTTCCGACCTCCCAATCCCGAAATTGATTTGGTATCGGACCGCAAGAAGCCTGCCGTGGAAGAAAACTCCTCGATCATCGATGAATCTCTCTCATCGCCGTCCAAAGACAATACTCCGATGATATCTGAGAAGGAACCGGAACTCGAGATTATTACAAAGCTCCCCGAAAACTCAAGTGAAAATGATTCAGAACCAGGCATGTTTGAAGGACTGTTGGAAAAGTTTCCTGACTTCACTCACTTAGACGAAGATTTATCGATTACCGAGCCTACTCCACCGATCTCCGAAGACACGATCGAATACGATTCAACATCCGAATCCGAAAGAAATAGAGCAAAATCGGCCCTGTTAACATTTTTGTCGTCGCCGAAACATAGGCGCGCTAAATTAAGAATAACCAAGAAAGACGGTGGTCTTGAAATTCTCAAGAACTGCTGGAGCCAGGAAGTTTCTGGTATAACGTTGCATGTCGATACTGTTGATGACATTATGGAAAGATTCTTTTCGGCAACTAATGAGTACGATACTTTAATGATATCGAGGGGGTTGACCCAGAGTCAAGGGATCAAGATTGAATTGCAGGGTTTGAGGAGGTCAGAGCCGGCCGCAGACCGTGGCGGCGTGAATATCTCAGGACTGAGCTTAGACGGATAAGAAGGAGATAGTTACACCGTTTCAGTAAAGAAAGATTAATGTATCTCGAATAGGGGACTGAAGTAAAATCTGTTGATTTCCGTCAGAAAGCATGTTTGCAAATTATCGGTGGGAGGACTACTGTACAGGAATATTTTAATCATCTTTAATTTTCAATCTCAACCTCATTCTTCATCCAAAGTGCCTTACTCTGAGAATGAAACCATCGGTATGAGGAAATTTATAGATTCCGATTCTGCAATCACCCTGTTCCTTTTCGTAATCATAATTCTAGAGCATATTTGGTAGAGCCTGTGTAAGCATCGAAGATGGCATGGCTTTCAATTATAGATCGAGGGTTTACATGTGAAGACTTACAAAGACATCTTTGGGTTTTCGAGAACACCAAAAGTCCATACGCCTGTACGAGTTTTGTCCACAGTGTATTTCAAAATAATAAATTTCTTTCTAATCCAAAAAGTAAGAGCACAAAATGTTCATAGCACCCATTGATTCCCCAGTCCAGCCAAAGATTCCTTCCATCCACTTTTCCTCGCATCGCAGAATGCCTTTCAAAAGCAGCAGATATCAAAAGCTCATAATACCTAGACGCCATATTGCCCATTGATAACGAAGAAGAAAATGTTAGAACACAACAACCTGCCTCATATCTCATCATCCATCTCTATTTTACGCGTCCTCTTCTTTTGGTCCGATATCGAACCAGCGTCTATCCCATATTCCCACCCATTTCACGTCCACTGGTAGTCGCCGTTGTAGGGTTATCATTATTCCAACTCAAATATGTGTGATCACCCAATTTTCTTGGTTTTATCAGATGAGTAACGGTGAAGAGCGCACCGAGTAGGATACAGAGACCTCCAACCACGATATAGGCGATACCTAAGAAAGGATTCTTACCACCCATAACGGTACGGGTTGAAAGAACAATTGATTTAGTACCGCCATATTCGGTAACATTGAAAACTGTGGATTGTTAGGAAATAAAAATAGAACGTTGCAGTTGTAAGCCTTACGATGTGTGATATTGACTTGGTATTGTCCAGTTTTCATAGTATCGTCGTCATTTCTCTGTAACAATTTACTAAATGTTGGCAAACCAGCCAGTCTCATCCAAACTTGGAATGCTTCATCATTCTCGAGATCAGGATGGTAATCGTCACTATAATTGTTTGGATATCGCTTAACCCAGTTTGGAGGAACAATGACATCCGACCAATTGTATTTTGTTTGACCATATAGCTCCCTATCACTACTCCATGACACATCTGAGTTGTTCTTCATAGGATAGACTACGCCACCCGAGGTGCTATTCGCGACGTTTTGTAGAAATGGACTTGAGAATGTGTCATTAAACACAGAGTTTGGAGCAAGACCACAAGGATAGTATGGCTTATCGACACCATTATCGTTTACAGTCGTGAGTGGCGTACAATCGCTAGAATGTATAGTACTTGCGGAAACGGCTTTGCCGGAAAGCTGATCAGAATCGAAGGACTTCGCATATCGTCGATGATTTTGGTAGAAGTTGGTGAGCTTATAGTAGAATAGAACAGGAGGCTCCATTTCGGATTTGATTGGAAATGTGAGTCGACACTGTACAGCTGGAACAGTAGCATGCGCGACACTGCCGTTGTAGTACGTTTGGTTGATATCTTGTCTGCACCATTGCGGAGGAGTTCCCTCATATACATATGGTGTTTTGAAAAACATTTCGACATTGTCATTAGGCATGAGAGAACCCGTATCGAGGTAGTCGGTGCAAGTTGGCGCATCTGTATGGCATTTCGAATAATCGAGTACAATTTCTTGGACCTAATCCAAAACATCAGTCATGACTTTATTAAGACAACTTCTGTAGAAATCGTCATTCATTTACTGACCACGCTACTAGCATATAACAACCCTCCACCAATTGGCGCGAAAATAATTCCGATGGCGAAGAATAATGGGAGTACGGTTTTTGGTGTTAAAATTGGTCTTGCATCGTGTCAGCTTCATCTTGAGCAATAAATACCAAACATCACTCACTGCCATGCCTTCAATCTTTGTTGTCTGAATGCCGTATCTATTTATTACAAATTGTAATCAGTGCCCAATTCATATGTGTGGCATCATATCAAGGGTTCCTCACTTGCTGGCCGTCTACTCTTCGTCTTCCCTTTGTCACCATGTAAATGAGGATCTTGCGAACTGATGGAGTCCTCATGTTGCATTGCTGGTGGTTGATCAGCCATCTTGAGATTGACTTGCGATCATGAGCCGAATATTGCGATTGATATTATTCCTCTGTGTAAGTCGCAGAAGATTCCAAATGATTGTTGAATTATAGTGATTGTTGAAAGATGTCGTCGCGATTATGATGATTGATTGCGCAGCCCGTGGTTTCCGCAGCCGCGATTTAAATTTAGCGCATTTCAGCCACACTTTCGAAACGTTCAGCCACATCAAGGAGAAAACAGAGGCGAGGAAAGGAGATCAGGACGTAGGTAGGTACCTAGGTAACTCTAGAAATACGATGATATACTCTCAATGCTAAAATGATCATTAGCCATCGGTCAAAACAATTTGGTACAGTTAAGCGTCGATCATGATGTTAAAAGTTCTTTTATTATATTTATATCAGCTCTAAGGCTCATAGCAGTACTGTGAATTGAGCAATGCTTCTAGGCAGCCCCAAAAGAGCCGCTGCAAATACCTAGCACAACAAATTGAGACCCCAATAACGCTATATGGATATATCTTTACTCCCAGAAAACACCTATCCCATACCATCCCATATGTACTCCTCATCCGTATAAGAGAATTAATTTTAATCATTTACTCGTCTTTGAATAACCACGCACCTCCGGGCCTCATTGCTTCCGCATATCTTTCGGCTACCTTTTCTCGCTCTATTTTCTTTTGCTTCTTCTTGAATGCCTCGTCTTCTTGTGTAGTAGGGAAATCAGCCTCCCAGAATCCAGGTGGTGTACTTCTCCTCGGGACAACAGATTTATGCTTCCCCATTGTGTTGGATGCTTTCCATTTTCTAGCTTGTGCTAAACTATCCTTTCTCTCTTCTTTTCCCATTGTCCAAATCTTATGTTTGTTGTCACCTAAGAACTCTTCAAGAAGTGTATCCTCCTCTGCCTTTTGTGAAGTTGTAGGGTTTTCCCTCATGGGATACAGGGCTTGCGCTAAAGCACCAAATTGTTTACCACAACATTCTTCTCTAACACAACCCGGAAGACATTGACGATCCTTACCACGAACTACTTCTGTGTATGCATAATCGTAACCTTGATTGAAGTTTGGATTTATTTTGAAGTGATCGAGTTTTAGCGTAGTCACAGGTCGTAATCGGTAAGGCTCTCGTTCTGGATCATCCGAGTCAAGATCTCGCCCAGCTCCTCTTCTTGATCTTCCCTTACTTGTTGTCGGTGCCCTGAAAGGTTCTGGCTTGGACTTTGGAGTAATTTTGGTAGGCGATCTACTTGCTTCGCGAGGTGTCTCTGTTGAGCCTCGTCTTGAACCTCTTAATGAAGGTCTAGAAATCTCTCCCACGATACCAGCTCGAGGACGGCTAGTGGGCTTTTTGGCGGTTTCAGGCCCTTCATCGCCAACAGATCCTCTTCGTTCTGGTCCGGAAGTCTCTTTCTTGATAACACTTCGAGGACGGCTGGAAGCTGTTTTGATCAGCCCATTTCCTTCGTCGCTGATAATCGTCCTTCTTCCTGGCACCGGAGTATCATCCTGTGTAGCTAAGGTCTTATGCTTCTCAGGGCGATTTTTCGTTATCTCTGTCGATAACTTGGACGGCGGAAGTATTACCGATCCTACTTCTGGGGCTACAGATTGCGGTGTTGGATAGGCGGTGATTTTTGTCGGCGGAGAGCTTGAAAGAAGATTATCAAGAAGGTCAGCAGAGTGAATGCGTCCTTTCCCGGCAGCTACGGGGGTTTTTGCGGGACTGGTTGACTCTCCATCTTCGAGTATTTCCTCCACCCCTCTAATGCTAGCACTTGGTTTTCGTTGACGTTTAGTCGGTAGATTAGGGTCCACTGTATTTGGAAGTATACGGTTGGTACTGAGTGGTCGCAGAGGTTTTCCAACTGAGCTTTTGCCTCTCTTACTAGCTGGCGTGATCATTGTCCTTCCTGGCTGCCCAATGGTGGCAGGTGCAGGGACTTGGTTTTGCTCGTTCATATTGCCATCTAGTAGCAAATCATCACTCACCGCATTCTCAACTCGGTTCTCGACGTCTTCGATGTATGGTATAAATGCTCGACGCCGCTTTCTTGGTGTGACAACCTTGTCACCAATGTCATCTAAATCCAGACTTTCGCTTGCATGAAGAATTCTTGCTGTGATCGGGCTACTGGACTCAGGTTCCTCTAACTTAACCTTAGGTAAAGGGTTTCGTTGTGGTTCACGCTCATTCCTTTTTCTTTTCCTCACTGGGCGAGTAGATATAAACTCTGGGGCATCGTCGGATGATGGTATCTTGGGCGTCTCTATGTTCGACTCACCGACAGTAGCAATCACCCTACTACCAGATGGTGAGGATTCTGGATCCTGAGTCGAACTCGAATTACCTGGTTCAATGGGCAGAAACGGAGTTTCCCCGGTGCTGGCCACACGCTGGGATCTTTGCACATGCCTCGGAAGCTGTGGAGACTCATGAGCTACTTCCTCATTTCGACCAAGTTCGTGGCCAGGATCATCCACATCAGACTGTCGATTGTTATCATTCGGTGGAAGATCTTTTATAGGACTCGTTACATAAACTTCGGTCTGCTGAAGAGCGACATCAACATGTCCTTGGTTGCTGGGTATCGTAGGCTTTCTTCCTTCCAAATCTTGCGACTTCGACCTCGACTTCCGGCTTCTCTGCGCTTGTACTTCAGATCCGTCAGCTTTGTCAGTATGTGATATATGCTGCTCGTTGTTCCACGCTTCCCATCGACGTAATTGCGCATTCTTCTCTCGCAAAATTTCGGCATATTTATCTGCCCTTTCTTTCTGCATCAGCCATTGTTCCTTGATGCGCTTGCGCTCGTTGTCGAGTTCTTTATAATTCGATTGCCGGCCTATCGAAGGTACTTGCCCGTTGTCAAATGAACTTGATCTCTCATTATCGGTACTAGCAAGCTCGGCATCTCTTGCTCGTATGGCCGCATGACCTAATTCTATCGATAACTTTTTGTTCTGCTCCTCAAGATATTCCACCCTCGAAGTCACATTCTGGTATTTCTTCAATCCCTCCAGAAGATGCCTATTCTCCTCTTCAAGTTTATCTGCCCTGGTTACCGCATTTTGGTTCATTCGAAGCTCCTCCTTGAGCCTTGACACATCTTCCTCCAGAATCTTAATTCTCAATCCCTTCTCTTGTAGCGAATTCTCGTTCGATCGGATCTGGGCAGCATGTTCTTCGCTATCAATTTCGAAGGAATTTGCCTTCAGACGCAATTTTTCCAATTCATCCTTTCGAATAATTGTATTGTCTCCGTTCACGAGTTCTGCGGGGCAGACACGGTCAGCAAACAATACCAATTAATCAAGAGGTTAGCCTTACCATTGTCAAGATTCTGCTCGATGTTATTGCAGATATTGGTCAACTGCTCAAACAATTCGCGTCTGCCATTCCTCCATTGCTCCATTTCTACAGTTGGTGCTGAATTTTGAGTTCATCGCGGTTGTGAAGTGAAGTGTTAAAGTGGCGCGTCGCGTTGTCATAATACTTTGACGTCAGTAATTTTGGCGTGGCACGGGCTCGGTCCGGTCACTGTATAGGTAGGCAGAACTCAACTTCACTCCCGAGACCCCCGATATTGTGGTAATTCATTCAACACAAACACAATTGATCCGCAGGGAATACATTTTTTTATTCGCAGTAATTGAATTCAAATATCAATTTGTTTCTGTATGTATTTATCGCAAAGTGATGGTTTCACGACACACTCTTTGATCATCTCGCAGATTGAGTGGAACCTTTTTGCCCACACTTTTGTGCATAGGAATTGATGGATTTGTCCAGTAAGCTGCCCTTTCACCGAGTCACTATGGTTTCTTCGCTGGATCAAATTCGCCGGTCTATATCAGAGCCTTAATTTGAAAGGAAAATAATTGGCTATTACGTCAATTTTCAGCATGAGCATACTGGCGAAGGCATCCACAAGAATGGATGGGTGGAGAAGGGTGAAGCAGTCTTGTGTCTGTGTCACAATTAGCAGATTGACTCCCAGAAGAAGTTCTAAACTTAAAAAGTCTATGTCTCCCGAATCTCGCTGGATCTCCATCACTGTGTCCAGGTTTGACTTGGGACCAAACCGAGCCTGAAGGTCTGATGCTGAGAAGTGGCTCCGCAACTCTCAAGCCTACCATCACTCTTTTACGCTCCCTCTTTCGTTGCTAAGGCCATGCGAGCATGTTTTGAAAGCCTTTTCACCAAATGAATAAATTTCCAAAGTCCTGCAAATCCAAGTTTTGTTGGTGCAACTGCTATGGAGATGAGAAATTCCGCGTAGTCAATAAGCCCAGGTCTCCTTGTGTGCCCAAGAGTGTTGCTTCCTGAGCTACCATGCGAGCAGATCAAGCGATTTTGTTAAGAAATCCTGGTACTTCCATCTCATTTAATTGTCTTGGGTGAGTGCGAACTCCGCGTAGGGCTTTGAGTATCTTTTCAACCTACGAGTGGTTCTTGTGATTTGGGCTGATCAGCGAGAATTCTCCAATTTCCACTGCTATGTGGAATTGTCATTATGAATCTCTCCAGGTCCAGTCAAAGACCCCGAACCGCGGTAATGCGATATTTTGCGATTCGGACTTAACTTTCAGATCAGGAAGAGCGTAGGAATTGTTGCTCCGGCGTGGCTGCGTAGGAAAAAATCTCAATGGCTTGAGGCTATCACCACAACTCGTCGAGAACCTCTCATTGTAGCACATTTACCGCGTGATCTTCCTTTTCTTTTGCCAACATGACCAAAAAAACCACAGTCGCTAAAACCTTTTCGGCCTTCCCTGTTCTGTTCATCAAGTCAAGCAACATACAGTATTGAATCGCCGGTTGCAATAAACTTCCTCTGGTACCCATATATTCGTAAATTCCGGTAAGACTTTAAGGTCAGCTCTCATTGTTTCTCTGTTGAGCTGGCTGATTATTTCATTTCTGCTGGATAGCGAAAGACTGAGCTTCGCGGTAAAAGAATTAAATTCCTGAAAGGATGAGTTCTTATTGAAACGTACAACACTTTTCTCTTGTATCCTTGCCCAGGTGGTAGGGCGGATCTGCTTCCGCAATCACATGTCTACTTTTTGTTTTGATGTTTACTGCTTGCATGCCTTATTCCATTTTGGTGTGATAAACGAGTGGTAATTATTATACGATGCTTCAAATGATTACAATTATCATCAAGGCTGTAATCTAAGTCTAATATACAGAAACCCACCTCGAGAATCGAGATCAGTCATTAAATTGTCGCCAAATCCGACAATTCATCCATTCGCAACAGAAAATGAACAAATCCACTTTAATTGACTTAATCATTAATAGGTCGTGGATGTTGGCTTTGATGCCGTCAGGATTTGACCTTTCATCGCCAACTCTGAGACAAGAACGACGGACTGCAAGCTTACAGTCGCAGTTGTTACTACCCCTTTTGTTGTCAAAACCTCTAGGCAGCCCTCACTTGACGCAGGTATACATCCAGCAGAGGTAGGTGAAGTAAGTGTCTTGTTCCTCACTCTGGTCTGAAGGCTGGTAGTGTCAGGTAAGCTGGGTGGCGAGAGATTAATAGCACAATCTGCTCCAATTGCATCAGTTCCCCATTCAGTGGCTGAGAATAACTTGCACCATTGCTGCCGGGTCGTCATGTTTGTATTGATTGTAACAGCATAACACGAGTCATTGGTATCATCCTTACTGCTGTTGAATCCTCCTGCGTTGTGATCTAAACATGCTTCCATACAATCATTCATATTGGCTATAGAATCAGGTATTGCAAACTGTATAAGACGTATACTCGAAGCTACATCGAAAGTTCGATTGCAAAATAGTCGGAAGTTCGTGGGTCCTGTTTCCTGATGGGACGTTACTCGGAGTATAGAGTTGTTGTTTGCCCCTGAATCAATCTGGCATGGCGATGTAACATTTAAGCTGTCTGTATGATTATGCCTAGTATTCATAGGTCAGCGATAGTTGCGCAAAACTTTACAAACAATTCTTACTTTGAATGATTATTTTTGTTCTTATCTTTCATGCCGCTGGCGATTCCACCTCCAATTCCAGCAGCCAGAAAAGCCGTAATGACCACCATAAGAACCCAAAACCACATGACGCTCACTCCCAAGATTCTACGATAACTTCTTAGGAATTGTCGGTTTCCTTCCAGCTCCGCCACAATTTGTCGCTGCATGAGCGCCGCCTCGTATTTTTTTTGTGCCTCCCAATCCACTTGCAGCCCATCCTGATGGCTGATAGGTCTCGGACGCCCAACCTCAAGACCAGCTTCGGGCGGAACAGGAATTGGTGACTCCATCATCCTGCTCGATTTCTCAGACATTATCAAACAATTGATACCATGAAGAAAGCATATATAAGAGATCTTGGAATTTCCTAAGCAAAAGGAAAGTGAGAAATAAAGGCGGGAGAAGTGCGGAGAAGTAGCTGAGTTCCAATGTAGAATTATCGAGTGCCATAACTCAGTAATTTGCGAGTGTTATGTGATAGTGGAAGCCTGGAAAAGTAGCAACATGAGGCACAGTGAGTAAGTGATTTATACTTGAAGGGTGTGCACCTCCTTCAATAAGTGTGTGGGAAGTCTGTCGTACCCGCAGCAGAAAAAATCATGCCAGTGGTGAAAAGCGGAAGAAGGTGTGAGTGGTATACTCTATAGGTGAAATAGATCTTTTGAAAGCCGTTTTCCACGGTCTCGCTGATGAATATGATAATAAATGGATTTATGGTAGGGCCGGGCCGCAATCCTACAGGTTCGCTATCATTATGTCACAGGTTGCGGCGGGGTTGTAGAAATGGCATAATCATTGTGAAATATTTGTTGTGGTGATTCCCGTACATTTTGTAGAAAGCCTTCCAATAACATAACTTACCACATTGATCTCTTGGCTAATCAAAATTTTGAGTCCGGATAGGCAAACTATAGCGCAATAATTGTGTTACCTACTTACATGGTATTCATCTGGTATTCTTTCATAAGGTCACTTCGGCAAGTTACGCCGCACACCTCAAACACCAACACGAAGGATCCGCTGCGACCCTACATAACTGTCAGTACAACCACCCGAGTACTTTTTCGGCACGCAGTAGAATCACTCCATCGCTCCGAAAGGAAAAATTCGGTCGTAGTCTGTTGCTTGCTTCAGATTGTGCAAGGTACCGTCACCTCCAAATGTAAAATTGAGCTTTACTTTTTGCAAAATGGTCTGATTTGTCTTCCTTTTACTGATAAAAAAGCATGAGAACTTTTCATGGCCGAGTATCTACAAATTTAACTATGACACAACCATCAAACAGGCCGACGTACAGCGAAAGTCTGATACAAATCCCAAGGAAATGGACAGCATGTTGTGAATACACTCGGCGGCTCATGAAACGCAAAGGTGGAAGGATCTTCTTTCAATGTCCTTTACGCATAATCAGACTTCTTCTCATTGATACGTAGTATATCGTATAAAGCTCCAAGAGGAAATGTAGAGATGCTATCGAATACGCGTATGGGCCACATCATTTACATTACAAGCCAAGCAGATAACTTCACTTTTATCACTGCAATACTTCCAGGCGGGCTGAATAAAGTCCGGATCACGGTACCAATTACCAGATAGCTGCTAATGATACCCACGCATATTCTTTTTCATCTTAAATTCTTCCTTCTGTGGTTTTGTGGATACTGAAATTTATTTATTTCCTCGAAAGAAGAAGACTCTTGGTCGTGGGTAATCATCACCATTCTAAATTATTTCAGTCTTGATGAATATCATCGGAGCACACTCTTACATTTAAAAAAGCTTCAATTAGTTGATTATTCGCTTTGAAAATATCAACAAAGAGTAATATAAGGTATCCAGAATATTAATGACCTACAAATATTTTTGAGTGATTATACTGACTTGGCCGTATTTCTTGATCTCCGATAAACCAAAAGCCTCTCGTCACATGAAAAGCGCGAATACACTGATATCCAAGAGCATAAATTTGATTTATCACTACGAATTATAATTTTCTTCTCAGAATATCGACTCAAGATCTTAGGTTGCATATCTACAACTCACGTGTGCCTTGATGATGCTAGACTTACAGGGTTTCAAGGCTAGATACTGTCTATCAAGGTACTCTAACCTAAAAAATGAAACCAAATGTTGCACGTCTGAATTAAAAGCCACGTGCGATAGTGTCTGCTTAAATGTGAATGTCTAATGTTGCACGTCTACAAAAAAGCGGCGAGGAGGCTCTCCTTGGCCGAGGGTGAGACGTTCCTCCACATTTATATCTGCTGGGCTGCAAACATTATAAAAACGGCACCGTCGGGCCAAGCTTGCATATATCAATGTCTCATGTTCGAAGTATGCAATACACAGAGCCAATGACACCGTCTTAATTTATAGCCGTAAACAAAGAGTTCTAAGCTACTCGCCAACTTCCTACCTCTGATCTTATCTTTTTCCGCTTCCCAAATAAGCTGCTTCTTGTATTGGCTAATCCAAAACTTTACAATACGGAAACGTCTCATGTCTTGATTTCTAGCGGTTGAACTAAATTATCCACAATTCATGCTGCCTACCTACTTCTTGCAGATTTAGGTGACTCTTATTGATAATGTTGCATATCTGATCATCTCAACTCTTTTTTCAGCTTTGTTGCATATCTCAAAATCTGGTGGCTTGGAATCAAAATTTGGGTGGTAATCATTCTATAATGAACTCTCAAATTTACTTTCATTGTAAATACCGTGATTGAGGCTTCTCTTTGTGGCGCTTCAGCACCTAAATAATCGAAACAATTTTTCATTCCAACATTACAACCTTTTGGAACAATTACTATCTCTGATGAGACATTCATAGCTTCTTATAGTTGACTTTTTCCACAAACCTAGTTGAAGACACTGCTCATCAGGGGTCGAAGCGACTTTACGCGACAGACGCTCAGACTATTGTGTTCATATTTTTATATAAATATCTATGATATACCAATCATCAACGAAGCAACATTGGCTCTTTCCGAGAATTATTATGTTCCTGTCAATTTTAACCTAACATAAATAATATATATGACGCTAAGATAAACACGGCCTTGAAATTCAAAAAAATGCGGGGAAGTGAACAAGAACAAGGTCATGTAGGGCTCTCCGAGGCATGTCAATTGCGTGCGGAATGGCCCATACGGGTATTCTGCTAACTCCCGTCATGCAGGTATCCAAGGTGAATTGTCTTTAATGTGTTTGATTGTAATTTCGCGATGTTCGCGGATGCCTCATTGCCGATTTCGTGTTTCCATAAAGGTTTCACGTCGTGCCGTACTTTCTGTCCCCTCGGTCATCACGATAATATACCTCAGAGATGTCAATCAATATTTCTGTTAGACATTGGGATTGAAAATTGAAGTCTTCATGAGCATGCGAGATTGAGTAAATCGACGCAAAATAACTGACAATACGCCAATACCAAGTTCTGACATACTTGATGACCTTCCAAGCACAGGAAGCTGACCCAATGTGGTTCAAACAAAACCTGTAGTAGATGTAGTGACTTGATTAAATTTATATCTCATGTTTCTGGCGGTATATATTAGAGCGACCATGTTTGACATCTACTTGATGATATAATTTAGTAGTAATTTAATTTCTCATTAATTCCCAATCACTCTGCTGAGGAATGAATGCGTTAAAAGCAGCCATACCACTTTACGACATGCAACAAGAATGCCAAACGGCAGGAGCTACTCATTTTATAGAGTGCACTCTCTTGGGTCAAGCTGCGTCAAAACTGAAGACCTCCGTCCACCGCTTTATGACATGCAACATTTGAGTCTGGATTTCCGGATCGCCCATTTAATTGGTCATGACCTCACTCTTCTCCCGTGATCAAAAGAGCAGAATCCATGATATTGCCAGAACATACTTTAATCCACCGCTTTACGACATGCAACATAACAATTTAAAAAGGAATGCCCGCTCAATCGATTGGTCCAAGTCCAAGTCCAAGTCCATTTGTGATCTACGTTTGGTAACTTTACTTCCACCGCTTTGCGATGTGCAACATAATTTAATCCTATCCCCTCAGCGACTCAACTATTTGACGTCTTCTTATATGATTTCTGTTAATCCGAAGTCTCAATTGGGGGTTTATACATTATAACTGGGCAAGTCTTGCTTTCAATGGACTGATTTCCGCCCAAGAACTTTGTATACGTCATTTTCATAACAATTGCAAATCTTCTCTCACATTCTTATACGCTATCGGAAAATCGCAACATCTTCTATGGGGATGATCTTATTCTACCTGCTACTATATACCCAAAATTGGTGATCAGAATTGAAGTTCCATATAGTTATCTCATAAGCAAACCTCAAATCTTACTAGAAGACATTGACCACTCGAAGCGAGAATATCCCCTTTAATTGATCATCCAAAGACCTTTCAACAGCAGGTAGAGCACATAGCATGACAAGAGATGTAAAATTATTAAACTTTTCTCCTCGACCCTAGGAAATCTAAAATGAATGTTTTTCACAACATAAAACTAAAATAATCAATTAATACATTGATCATTCTACAGAGTACATTGAATAATTTTATACTTCGCCTTCAAATATTGCATTTGTAGGATCTTAGAAAGATCTTCGCAGGTAAGAAGTATTATAAAAATGGAAATAAATAAGAAACAAAAAATTCACCCCCCTACTGAACTCCAGCAAACAGAAAGTATACGAACCGTTTAAACGAAAATTTGCAAAAGTCCAGAGTTTCTCTGGTGTGCTAATTATGTTTTATTTCCAAAAGAGAAATGAACAAGACATCGGCAATAAACTAACCCTCGCCAAGAAGTCAATCTTAGCCAATGATAGTTTTGTCAGCTTTTGACCTTTTCAGTGTACACCAGTAGGTGCACAGACTCACGGGACAACATAATAGGAAAGCACAATTTCACACTCAAATTTATCAATTTCAAAACTCAATCAAAATTCTAAATTCTATTAAATATTATTCAAATTAAAATATATGATTTATAAATATAAGATTTATATAATATATAAAGATTAAATCTTAAAAATGAATATTGAATTTAAAAATCAAATAATATATTTTCCTATCAAATCTTTTAATAGAATATTATATAATTGATTATATAAACTTGAATTTTATTGTTTTATAAAATAAAATTTTTATTATATAAAATTCTTATATTTAAAAATAATAATTCTTAATTTCAAAATCAAATATCAATTTTTTGAATTTTAATTGAATTATCAAAATAGCTCTTTTTGGTGTGAAATTGTGCTTTTCCTCTTAAGTGTCCCGTGAGTCTGTGCACCCACTGGTGGTACGACCATAGTAATGCCATAATGAGCCTACTAACACTCGTATTTTAAGTAACTAAGATTGAGATTAAACTGATAAAACCTACATGTAACGAAACCCTTTCTCAGCCCGGAGATGCTGAATTAACACTCGGGCTTTGCCGCTTCTAGGCATAGATATGGAAAGCGGGACTTGCCGACCAGTGTATAGCCTTAACTTAGGGCATTATTGATTCGACACCTCCTCCACCTCTTCCACTGCTACAACCCGAGCATTCACAACGTCCACCTTGGTATGACACCGAGGTGAGCGAGGTACACACTGGTATCGATATCATCATTTTTCGATAAACCACGCGTATCGGGAATTTCCCGCACCTCAAGAATACTGTGGTTTACGCAGGGAAAACTTTACTTTGTGGGGTTCATCCGTGCTTCGAATCTATACAGGGGGGCGATGGGTCGATGATCTGCGGACAGGTTCATCAATTAGTACTCCGTGCTAACAATTAACAGATACACACGCACGAACCTCTCCTTAAGTTCTTGATGGATGGCAATACATTTGGAATTCCGGGATCGTGTAACGGGGAATTTCCAGGCTAATGATGAAATGGCCGTTCCAAGGATAGGGTTGGAAAGAGATGTCTTAAAGCCCGGATGCCCATAAATCTTTCTCTGTGCATCGCGTGTTCCCCTGGCGCTTTGCTTTAATGTTGGGATGCATATGAAGATCTTACATTCAGTATCGATAATAACATGTAAGATAACGGATAATCAGAATTTCTTTCGGAATGGCGGACAGTGATGCATGGCAGCTATATGTAGCTGTGTGTGTTTGTTACCCTTTGGCATTTATCGGGGTGACATTAAGAACTTATGTCAGGTACTTCATACAGAAATTCATGGGATGGGATGATTGGTTGATGATAGTCAGTTTGGTGTGTAGATGTACCATTGTTTCAATTGAATAGAAGAATTGATAGCTAATTGAATATGGAACAATAGGCCGTTTATACCATGTACACGAGTTTTGTTTTAACAGGATTACACTATGGAACCGGACGACATCAGGTAGATTTGGAGGAAAACAATTTCCTACGGGCAACCAGAGTAAGTTCCTTCTTCGTCTGAAATATGAGCCATCATTCAATTCGAAATTTTACTAACTTCATAAAAAGTATTGGTATTTCGGTGAATGGTCCTATGTCGTGGCGATGACTATAATAAAAACTGCCATTGCCCTTTTCTACCTCCGAATTATGGTTATTCCCTGGCATCGAGTCGCTGTAAAAGTCATTATGTGGATTGTGATACTCTTCGGCTTCGTATATTTCTGGTGCGTGGTTATACAGTGCTGGCCTATACCTTACATTTGGGAACGATACGCCACGACTCTTGACAGAAGTACGGAAAATTGTTTGCCTAGAGGAATTGTTTTGGGTGGAACGTATTTGCATAGCATTATAAGTGCTGGAAGTGATTGGGCATTAGCTTTACTGCCGATTGTCATGTTGTGGAATGTGCAGATGCCAACTGGTATAAAGCTTATTGTCGGGGGAATTGTCGCGTGTGGTATTGTGTGCGTTAATCATTCTTCATCTTGCCTTCTCTCCTTCCTTTAATCGTACCTTGTGAACAAAGAGCTAATGCAATATGCCGCACAGTGCTAGTACAGCAACCATCATTCGCATTCCCACCGTTTCAACTATATTGGATCATGATGATTTCCTCTTTAAAAGCATCCCCCTAGCCGTTTGGTCGACCGTTGAACCTGGAATGGCTATATTTGCCGCATCTCTCGCTACTCTCCGACCACTACTTCGAAGAATCTTCCCCAATAATTTCCGAAACGGGGCAATTCCATCACTACCATCATTGAGAATTCCCACAAATCGGGCGAGGAAAGTAGAACCGTCAGATGATGTCGAGATGGGAATTAACACGGCATGCTACAGCGAGCCAAGACCTGGACAGAATGCAGAAGGAAGCCTGGAGACTATAAAAATTCATTTGGATGACCGGATTGAGGTCGATAGAAGTGCAAGTAAATCAATGGAAATTCACGAGGAGTCTCCAAGTCTTGATTCGAGTTCAGAAGAGAGTCATGATTCGAGATCACAAGGGAGTGGTGACGAAATGATGGAATTGTCGCATACTTCTCGGCGAGCATCTCTACGTATCGCACCATTAGTTTTCTCTCCAACATGTCTCTCGCACACGATTCCTTCGCCATCAACACTTTCACCTTCACATGTCGCGTCGTGTATGAGGGACAGTCAGTACAATAGGAATTCGAAGGTGGTCGTACCGTCTTTGCCTGTTTGAAGCTATTTCGAAATATCTACACAATCAAAAACATAAAAGCGGAGTCTGAGTAAATTGTTGCACTCAGTTATACACCAATCAATGTGATCTAGGACCGATGTCTAGATATCGGAGATGAGATGAAACATCAGGCGGGTCCCAAATCAATCGAAAGACACTCCGACGAGGTCCCAAATGCTGGCTTGTGATACCTCTAATCCTTAGAGACACAACAAGGATGGTAAACTTAAATTGAGAATCAAAGGTGAAAATGCAAGAGGGGCACACAAGAGCAGAATTCCGTCTTTCACAAATCGCAGATGAATCAATGAGAGACCCTTTCTGCAGCACTCCAATCACTATCTGTGGATTTCATGGTGACGTTCTGATTTACCTCTCGCAAAATCTTAGAAGAGCACATCGATATTCTTGCGTCATTTCGGTTTGAAAGACAATAGAATCAGACTGACAAATCGATCCTGCACCTTGGACATGGCCAATACGGGTTGGGATGGAGGATGATGTAAACGCAATAGGTTGAAGAGAGAAAGAGCATGGTTAATGGGGCTTAATGATGCAATGAAAAGCGTTCGGAGTAAGAAAAGAACACACATAAGGCATGATGTTGGGATATTGTCAGAATCTCGCCGCTTGAGCTTCGGTCCTCTGGGTTGAGGTTGAAACGGCAAGAGCCGAGGCCTGAACCTCTTTAATGGTTGATGGTTACATCTGTATCAAGATACTAAGTATAGATAACATGAGAGTATTTAATCAGATTACTTCCGAGGAAGACACTGTAACTTGTTATGATACAAGATCGTTGGCGGTGCTGCCAACCCCGCATACACCAACTGTGCCGAGGATGACTGTCTAGTACACGATGAAGGTCCGAGTGAAAATCAAACTAGGTGGCAATCACTAGCACAATGAACGAGCGTTTTTATCACTTCATTCCCATTTCCTTATCAAGTTACTTATTTGGTATCATATCAAGTGTAACGGCGCTCACTTGGGGACGTTTACAAGAAGAAATCCTTCAAGCTATCACTCATTCCATCTGTTTCACCCTTCCTCCCTTTCTCTAGTATGGCAAGTGCCTCTTTGACTGGAACCCTCACAGTCTTGACATCATCGATAGGCAGATCGAGTAGTTCATCTCGAGTTCGGTCCCACAAGTTCCCATCCCATTTTCTACGAGCAAGTAACAACCCTGTCTTATTCACATCATCACCATCTACACAGATGAAAAAGGTCTTATCAAGACCCTCGACGAAACGCTTTTCACGGCAAAACTATGAAAATCGTTTCACTGCCTCATCATAACTCCATTTAATCTGCTTTAGACTATGACCTGGCCGCTTAATTACTTGAGGCGCATAAACCAATCTCTCCTCTCCAGGGCTCCGTTTGGCGGCCTCGGAATCAATTGAGTCAGCACAAAAGCCAAGCTCTTTGCCATGCGTGTCGTACTGGAAGACAATGAAGACTGGCTGCTCGCGCACACTCTCCAATGGCCAATCAGCATCACCGTTAGCCAGGATTAGGTAACGTGTCTGAAGACCATCGTTGCAAGAATACGGAATGCGGATGTGCGGAGGGGTAGTAAATGTTCCTTTACCGATGCCGCGTAAGCTTGTGTTTCCTGTCGTTTCTGAGTGGCTTCCGTCCCACGACGGTAATTTAACCATCAGCATGCCGTTCTTATCAGGGTTCGCCGTGTCGATGACCAGGATGTGAGTTTTGTGCAGCCATTTGTTCTTTGAACAGCGCTTGGGATGAATAAGAATGGCCTGTTGGATGAGGTCCCGAGTAGATGTTGGACTGGTGGTAGAAAATGGTGGCGTGAGTTTGGCTTGAACGCGGCAGGCCAAGTCCTCTGGCGACTTATGTTTGAACCCTGGCTCCAGCTTGGCAACAACATCTTCTTCGAGTAAACTTGAGTGGATATAGATGGGAATGTAGTAACCTAGAGGGATATTTTTGATTGGTGCTGGTGGGCCATCATCATTATTAAAATCATCGTCGTTCTTATTTTTGTCAGTTTTATCGTCTTCATCATCTTCTTCGTCGGAATGTAGCCTAGTGAAATCTTTCAATTCGTCCAACCCATATTCGCAATTTGTAGGTTTGCGAGATTTAAGCCGGAATCAGCAGCTTTGGTACGAAAGGAATCAACATTACAATTAGAGTCCTCGGCATCCATCTTGTTCAGTGTGACTAGTATGACACCTTTGCTTCTCCAGTCTTTTTCAACAGCGGCGATAAAGTGAAAAGGCTCAAAGATGTTTTGTGCTGCCAAATCGATGTGATAATCAAATACAGCACGCAACGGTTGGCCGACAAATCGCGATTGCGGAGCGAGGCAAACAAAAGTACCCGATCCCTCCCACATTCGATACACTTACTTTCGCACTCGCGTTGACACTCCTCAAGTTCTGCATCGGTCAAATCGACGAGAGTGTACAAGACCGTTGGGGGTAAGTTAAGTGTGTGCTCACGATAACGTACCATTGACGGCGCCGTTAATGGTAGCGAAAGATCTGGCTCATTGGACATGGCGGTTTAAGTTTTGATCGAATGGCACCAAGGGTAATTGTTTGAGGTTTGGAGTAGTATTTGCTACGGTGAATCGTTAAATAAACAGGTAGACTTGGCTTGATAGCTTGGAAAAAGGTAAGGAGGCAATGGTGTAAAGTTAAAACGGCTTAAAGTTTTGTTCATCTTCGATGTATTGCAACTCAGGGTATGTAGTCGCCCTACCTAAACAGATAAATATTCCAATTACATAAGCGATCACTTTAATTGTGTAACCACTGACGTCAATTGAACCAGTCAGCGTAACGTTTTGAATCCTTTGCGGCACGATAGCATTATTTACACCCCCAACGTCAACGGTTCTTCAAACAAGCCCCCAATTAATGAGACGATTACGATTGGCGGTGGTATACGCTGTGTTTCTAAAACATATCGCGGTAAATTTATATGATATGAGTTATCAAGATGTAAGACAATGCCGTCATTTACTACTTATTCCACTTCTCCGCAAGGTATAAAGATTCATATGAACCTTCGGCAGTCGCTTACGTGATGAGCTATAATATTTTTTTGGATCGTCGTGAAATATGATATGTCTTTCAGCTTCAGATATGTATAGTGCATAATAATGATGGCGATCTTTGGGGCTCTGCAAGTGAATGTGATCTCCATTACTCGCGCACCGTTTTCAGAAGCATGAGGTGGCTGTTTCACGTCAATGGTAAAGATCTTCGATAGCTACAGCATTATAGCATGTCCGACATACCCCAGATCTTACGCACCACAGCTTACTTGGAATGTTCGAAGCCAACATGGTGTTTCTACTTAAAAGTGTGCCACAGCCCTGCAAATCCTGAGAAGTGAGGGTTAAAGACGATAATCATGAGGTCATAACTCATCGAGCTGATCAATTCTGTACGAAGGCAGCACGATCTTTCCAGTTTTGTTCTGTAAGATTTGTCGGTTTCGGTCTGTACCAAATCTCTCGAGCATGCAAGCCTATCCAACTTGGCGTGTCCGTCTTTCATAATTGTTCGACAAGCCGAGAGAGGACAACTATTGTGAGAATGCAACCCATGTTTTGTCAAGTGCATTATGCTTGTGAGCTTCAGCTTCCCCCGGCATTGAAGGTGATGGTAATACATGTGTACCTCAACCATCACCTCCTATGACTGCATCCGGGTAGTCAGGCACAGGGAAGTTCAACAGTAGCAGAGACATTTACAACGACGCCTGTGGTAAGCATAGCTTGGATCGTCTGTTTTGTCGGCAAATGAATTTGTCTGCTGTTCAACAACACTTATTGTTACTCACCCAAAATCCTACTCAATCTGGTCAACAACTTGCCAAGAAACTTGTGCCATACTCACCACAGCTCCATTTTAGCTAAAACATCACACTCGCGCAAGTCGTGTTAAGGAATTGGTGATCATTCGTTTGATTCGCATCACTTGAGATATTTTGAAGCTGCAGTTTTCGGTCTGGGTACGAAGGATTGAATTATCTTACGGCAGCAAGGCACAGAAGTATGACGGATGATGTGGAGGCGATGAATGTAGCGACGACTGACCAAATTTCAATATAGAAGCTGGGCTCAAGCAAAACTCAGATACTGGCACAGCAAGTATATAAAGATGTGCTTTCGTCACTTGTGTCGAGTCCAATCCGAAAACATTATCCTACAACTTCACCCAACAAATACCCAGATACAACACAATAGCTTGTTATCTGCACTTCTCTTTCTCCAGACTTTACCCATCATCATGAAGAGTGTCAGCCTAATTGCTTCATTCCTCGCCCTTGCTGCGGCAACATCTGCCATTGGCACTCCTGATACAGATCTCAAAGTTCGCGCGGACCCCGATGATCTTATGATTTTTGTGTGCAATGACGGCTTGGACGAGATATGTACCAACATGTGCTATGGTAGCCATACGCCTTTTTCTTCTCCTTTAACCCTTTCCTTTCCATAAATTCCCTAGTTGACACTGTTAATCACAGGAGCTTTCTGCGCCGGAATAGGCGAAAGTTTGCAATACGACAGACCTGACTCGTCCACAAAGCGTAACCGCCGTAAAGCTGCCGGTTGCATCGCTTCAGGTGGTAACCGCTGTTCAGTAAAAAAGGACCACGCTTCCGGGTTTCAATGTGATGAATATCCATTCGCGTCATCAATTCCTAGCAATGGTGCTACAACACGCCTCAACCATTGTGTACCGGCCGCTCAGAATCGTAAGCAAGGCGGAATCATTAGCGCTTTTTACAAGAGCAGTTACTGCACGGGTAACAATGGTGGAAAATGTACATTCACAGCCAAATTTTCTAATTCGGGAGATATTGGGTACTGTAACTCAGAAGAATGTGACGCCGATGACGATAACGAGGTCATTGGTCCTGGTGGTACAGCAAATGATGGCGACTCGGCTGAAGATGGGACGGACAACGATCCAGATGCAGGCCAGAAGAAGAAGATGAAAAGACGTAACGGTCTCGGCAAGAGACTTCCTGGTGCGCCTGTATATCGGACAAGCTCAGGTTTAGAGCTGGATATCCCAGGCGATGCTGTGATAGGACAGCGGGCTTTTGTTGTCTTGCCACGCAATGCGACGATGTGGGATGAGCAAGCTCAATTCGGAACCCCTAACCAAATGAGAGAGTTCCATGGCGACGAAGATGAAGATGAGGATGAGGAGGATTATGACTACATGTTGGCAAATCTGGATATCAGAGAAGATATGATCGTCGAGGAAGTTGTTCCCACTGTCTGAAGTCAAGGGGAACTTTCTTGTATGGTAACATTGTAGCTAGGGTCAGAGGGAAGTTTATAGAAGTGTAGCAGGGTTGAGGAATAATCAAGCTTTCTTTGATTATTTTCACTAGACGTAACCTCAGTGATCGATTAAGCTTGATAAACCAGTGAAAACGGACATAGTAAACTGGACTTCAACATGCGTACCATGGTTAAACGGAGGAAAAATTCATCTGAACACAGGAAGTATGGGATTGAACTTTGCTCACAGCATGATGGTGAAGTTTTTCTTGGAGAATCTTGAACAATGGACTGTTAAATAAATCAAAGGAAGGGTTCTCAATTGGTTTGTATTCAGAACCGTCAGGCCATGTTTGCTAGCCTCGGAGAGCCCTTTTTCACATTCCGATCCGAAGAATCACCGACAATTGAACAACTTTAGACAGAATCAGCACAACAAAAGCATTGTAACTCCATTTCACTTCACAAACCACCATGTATCGTAACGCACTTTAGAAATATATCCTGCCTTTCATTGCCTCATGAAAATGTGTCCTATGGTATGCAATTGATGATTCGAGAGCTAGAACCAGTGTTCACTAGACCTTGATTCCGTGCAGACATAATGGCACATACCAATGGCAAGTCCCTCGAGTTGAAGGACCAAACATTGAGAGTTCAGCCTCATATAATCATTCCTGAGGAAAGGCACGGCTCGGAAATTGTTGTACCAAAGAATTTGTACTAAAAGAATTCGAAGCTGGAGAATGGAATGATTCTCTTCTGTTGGAACCAAGTGACATCGGTATCTATGTAGGACAACGTCCTACCTTCAAGAAACGACCAGAATCTCAAGTGATATTCAATTCGAAGCAATTGCCCTTGATGTTCTGTCAATATGGAGTAAAACTTCTTTCCGACGCTTGCTGTCATTGAAATAATCTTCTCTCATCGTTGTCCAAGTCATTATGATAAAAAGCAATGACTGTGGTGAATCACTACATTAATTCACAATCGCGCATGTGCACTCCTATTTTTATAGATGGAGGTCGTAGGTCTTATTTTAATCATCTCGCTCTAGTATCAGAAATACTGAAAGGTGACATCGACCTACCTACACCGTTCATAATTGTGGTTGGCGGCTGCGTCATTCCGTCACCAAGTTTAACCATACATTACTTCCCTTCAGAAGCCCTCTTATCGAACTGTCAGAGTTTTACATTTATTGAGGGGTAGATCTTTCCTTCAACGAAATAATTACTCCTAAACTCTACGTCTGTGAACTTATTAGAGTGCTCTTGCCATCTCTGATCTACTACTTTTCTTCCGAGTGAATTCCATGTTCGAAATATTCCGACCTGTTTCAGACTTCAACTTATCATATGAAACTTATGGAACATGTGCAGCGACGTCGGAGGATATCGTGAATTATCATTGTCAAATCCATTAACAGCGCTCCTTCAAGTCACCTGTCAGGTACATTTGGGATTGGATAGAGAGGGGGTTGCTTGTGAACCAATTTGCAATTTTTACCAAGCTTTTCATGCTCCAAGTGTTAGGAAGAGATATTCCCAGTGCTATTCAGTGACAAGCAGAATAGGAATTGTAGCAAGGCTTCTCCTGGGTTCCTCGTCATATATCATAATCTTCGAATATCTTAAGCGCCCAATTAATGTAAGCCCACCTTAGAATCATCGCCAGTACATCAACAAAATCATTCTCCGTGTTGACATCGTGCTTTCGCATCCGAAAGTTTTATCGGGAATTTCTCGTCTCATATGACCCCCTCGAATAAAATCATTTGCCGATTCCGGTCTCTTCTTGGTCCCGAGACACAAAACTAACTTGCTTTACCATCCAGGAGTGGATCAAGATCCTCAACAATCACTTTATCAAATTCTCGCAGATTTCACTATTTAGGTATCCGATTTCTTCCACTAATTCGATTTCTACAAATCTGTCTTTCTGCAATCGTCAATACACGCCGATACAAACAACATACAGGCAAGAACTTCTTAACTATCTTAATTTAACCTTTCCGCTTCGTCGCATAGAGTTCGATCATACTGAGAGGCAAGTACGACACCTGCGAATACTCATAAAGATGGCAGGCTCTCTTGATATTGAAAAGAGTGAAGCGGAGCTTCCTGCTCACGTTGATGTTCTTCCGCCCACAATCTATCTTCCTCCGGGACGAATCTTTCGTGGAGCCCCAGAACTAATTGCTGCCAACGCCTGTTATCCCAACTCGACCTCTTCAATCTGCGACCCTACGATCAAAGAATGCAATCTCGAGCCAGGTGGATTGCAAATTATGACCGACCACGACACAAACTCCCGACCCGCATGCTTCTCAAACTGGGCTCAAGAATGGGCTTTCGTATTTACGGTTATGCTTGCTTCGTCCTCTACGACCATCATACAGGGTGTTATACTTATCATGACCAACACGATTGGCCAAGGATTAATAGCCTCTGCCTCTCAAGTAACCTGGATCGCAGCTGCAGTTGGGTAATTCTTCCATATATATCTATGATGTCCACTCTCACAGACGTGGATCAAGCAGTAGGATGCTAACAATTAATTAGTCTTGGCAGCGGTTCTTTCATGCTTTTCTTCGGCAAAGTAGCGGATGAAATGGGTCGAAAGATTCAATTACTTATCGGGCTACTATTCATGAGTGCCTTTGCTCTCGTCGCCGCTTGGAGTCCCGGTCCATATGAACTAATCGTTATCTGTGGTCTTCTTGGAATTTGTACAGCAGTAATTGCTCCACCAGCTCTCGGTATCCTCTTCACTGCTTATCCGGAAGGCCGTCGAAGAAATATGGCATGTGGTGCTCTTGGAACTGGTAATCCGGTCGGCTTCATTTTAGGAAGTATTTCATCCGGTCTCGCGGTCAAATATTATGGATGGAGAGCAAGTTTTGTCGTCATGGCTATCTTCTTCTTCTTTTTGGTTATACTTGCTTTTTGGACGGTACCAGTGATTACAAGAGTGAGTAATAGATCAGATGCGATTCGGAGATTCGATTATGCTGGCTCTATATTCATTGTCTTGGCTGTCGCTTTGTTGTCAGCAGGATTGACGTAGGTTATCAATCATTTCCTGTTCTACACTTATACTAATGACTTCGCAGAGAAGGACCTCAAATTGGTTGGCTATCAGTACACGTCGTTCTTTTACTTATATTTGGTGTGTTCTTCATCCTCGGATTTATTGTCTGGGAATACTTTTACGAAAACCCCCTTCTCGATCTTTCGGTTTGGCGCAACGGCAACTTTAGTCTTTGTGTAATCTGTATGGGATTCGGATACATGTCATTCATCACAAACGAATTCTGGATTACATTGTACATGCAGGATGTTCAACATTACACACCATTACAAATTGCTGCTCGTATGTTGCCTCAAGCAGTGGCAGGAGTATTTTGGAGTTTCTTGGGTCAATGGCTTATTCAAAAAGTGCATGGGACCATTGTGATGGGTATTGGATCTTTGATGTATCTCGCGGGGGCGATTTTATTGCTATTCATCAAGGAAGATACATCATATTGGTTATTTTTGTTCCCGGCGCTTGTCATTACAGTCATCGGTGCGGATTTTCAATTCATCGTCGCGAATGTAAGTTTTCTCTTCTAACTTTACTTCCTTTCCCATCACTTTTGTTATTATTTTCTCCTGGCATCTACCTGTTGGCCTCTGACAAAAAGCAGCTCTACGCAAATAAACAAATGCCAACCCAAGCATCCCTCGGTGTCGGAATTATTCAGACAGCCTACAGACTTTCCATAACCATTGGTCTAGCCATTACATCCGCCGTGTTCAACACCGCCACTTCAAAAGAAGCAAGTATCGAAGACCCAACTACCCCTTATCGACGTGTCTATATCTGCTCCATCATATTTGCCAGCATCGGACTCGCATGCATTCCATTCATGCGAATCCAAACTCGTACCAAAGACAACACATCTACACATCCGCGCCCAACAACTCTGGGAGCAGAAAATAACGCCAGTATGATTGTCAACCATCCTTCATCTCAATTACATTATGACACCTTACTTCGACAACTTAATCTCCATCGCGAAAACCCCCTCAACATTGACGAACGCGTTTATCGCGAACATCGTACCGAGATTAACAATGCTCAACGCTACGATCCCGCACTTCCAAGATCTATGACTATGAACGATATCGCCCAAGGTCTGCTCCGTCTTCCTCGATGGAGCTGGGAAAATAGACCACGGGCGGGTTTTTGGAGAAGTCGTAGAGGTAGTCAATGTCACTGGGAGAGTAGCAGCGGAGATATCTTTGAGATTTGCAAGAAGTGTAAGGAAGAGAGAAAGATCAAGGATGAAGAGGGTGCGTGGCAGGAGATTGATGAGGCGGGTAGGGATTGTGTTAAGGAGGGTGGAAGAGGTAAGGGTACGAGAGCCATGGAGGTGGAAGTTAAGGATGAGAGGAGGTTTACTGTCTAGGGAGGTGTTTGCGTGGAGGTCGTTTACAATGGGACGGTTGCATGATGCGGGGATACCCAATTTGATTTTACATATGACATTTTGCGGGGGGAATTTTAAAGGTTCGGAGCTGGATGCTTACTTGCCTTTTGCTTGTTTGCTCCTCTGCTTGCTTTCGACAATTGTCTATTGCATCAACATCTTCGCTTACGGTATACATGGAATGAAGCAACGATCGAAAGGGCGCAAATACGGGATTGGGATAACGCGAACTGCGGAACAAATGATACGACGAAAGAAACTGACGGAGAGACGAATCATAAAAAAGACATTATACTAATTATAGATACGACGATACGACACAATACAGTAGATAGCGGGGGAGATGTGTATTGCAAGTTCGGAGAGTAGATAGTTAGATAAAAAAATTAGAGAAAATACAATGGGATGTTTTTACACGCAACACAGCATCCCCAACCAAATTAAATCCATCTCCCTCATCCTCAAATCCAGACTCCAGTTCCCCCCCACCCTTCCTTCCGCTCTATATCATACCCAGT